CCCCCCCCCCCCCCCCCCCCCCCCCCCCCCCCCCCCCCCCCCCCCCCCCCCCCCCCCCCCCCCCCCCCCCCCCCGACTCACTTGCCGATGGCGAGAATGGCCTGGACGGTGATGTTCATGATCATCATGCCCTTGGCACGGAGATGGAAGGGCAGGACCTCGAGGGCATAGGCGACGAGGAGACCGGAGAAACCAATGGAGTAGAAGACACCAAACAGCCAGATGAAAGGCAGCTGTGCGTAGCCGGCACCAGCGTTTGTGAACACAGGGGTGCCATCAGGCCCCTCGATCTCCGAGTTCTCGTACACGGCACCGGTGATGGTCCAGATGGTGAAGGAGGCGACCATGCCGGTCGCGGAGATGAGGAAGAGAGGGCGACGACCGAACTTGTCAATGCACAGGGCCGCGCCGATGGAGACGGAGAGATCGAGAATGGTCTTGCCGGCGGACAGGGCGAGCTTCTGGTTTTGCTGCTTGATACCAGCACCCTCGTACACGACGTCCATGTAGTTGGAGAAGAGAGCGTTGCCGGAGTACTGGGAAATAATACCGAGGGAGATGATGATGGCCAGACGCCAGCGGTTGCCCTTGGTGCGGAAGAAGTCGAGGTAGCTGGTGGAGGTCTTGTTGTCACGGTCGGCCTGGATGGTCTGCTTGATCTCGCGGTACTGGAACTGGACGAGAGGGTCCTGGTCATTGCCGCCGCCGTGGTGCTTGGCGAGGACGGCCAGGGCCTGCTCCGTCTTGTCCTTGTTGACGAGGTAGCGAGGCGACTCGGGAATCCACCAGATGCCGACGAGCTGCATGGCGGAGGGGACGGCCTGGATGAGGGTGATGGACCTCCACGACCAGTTGCCACCGATGGAGGCGGTGCCCCAGCCGACGATGGAGACGACGAGGGAACCTAGGTTCCAGAGACAGTTGTAGACGGCGGTGAGGGGACCACGGTGCTGGGGATGGCAGATCTCGGTGAGCAGCATGGGCGAGCACATTTGGGAGAAGGAGTTGCCGAAACCGAGGAGGAAGCGTCCGCCCATGTACATGTTGTAGCCGTTGGCAAAGGTCGTGAGCATGGAACCGACGATCATGAGGACGCAGCCAGCCATGATAGTCGGGCGACGGCCGAGGCGATCCGCGATGTAGGGGGTGAAGAGGTAGGAGATGATGGAACCGATGTTGTACATGTTGATGAGGATGCCCATTTTATGGTCATTTTCGTACTCGGGGAAGAAGCCCTTCCAGGCGTCCATCTGCTGGGAGGTGTTGAGCAGCATGCCATCGTAGCCAGTGGTGGCGGAGCCGACGAGCAGGAAGATGGACAGGAAGTAGAGCTTGCGCAAGTGAGGCTCCTTGTACCAGGTGACCTTGTCGAAGTTGGGCGCCTGTTCACGGGCATGCTCCAGGTTGTCCACGGCACTGGACTTCACCAGGTTCTTGCTGACAGTGACCATGGTTGCGATGAGTGGTCCCGCTCAGGATCTGCTGCTGGGGACGAGGGGTTGTGGTGGTCTGTTGAGTTCGATATCCCAGGCTGTGGGGAAGTTGTCGACGGTACCCGACCTGGTGTGCTGGTGAGGTTGTCTGTGGATTGGCACGGCGGGGATGAGAGGAGACCAGGAGGACAGGATCTGGAGAACGGGGGGCGCGTGCTGCACTTATAATCGTGGAGGGCGCATATCACCATCTTCAACCCTTTGACCATCACCCTGGGCCATGATGAGTACAACAGGACAAGCACACATGGCGAAGACGAGGGTGCTACAGCATACGGAAAGGCGGGTAGAGAATGCCAGAGCCCGCGCGCGTTTGTTGGTCCATCTCGCCCACGGGACCGGTGGCATGCCTTGATCCCAAACAAGATTGGGAACGGTGGACTGGCCTCGAATCGTGAACATGCAGGGGTGCGCCCTCGGCAAAGTCGAAAAGTCGAAAAGTCGAGCCTCGAGACCCCGGACATGGTGATTCCTGAGACCAACCCCAAAGTCCAGCCGGCCGGGGGTGGATCGGAAAGGGCATTTCGCGGGACAGGCCAATGGATCATGCATCCATCATGGATCATTCATTGCATGGGTGATCCTTCACCTCGAGCCTGATGGCTCTTTTACGACTCCTAGCCGGTTGTGGATTCCGGCTGAGTGCAGTGTTCACATCAGGCAGAGATGTCCATGTCCGAGCACCCAGCCAGCATCCGCAGTCTCGAGACTGTGAGCGGCAGTCGTTCTTTTGCATCGTCTTCCCAGGCGGTTGGCTCCAAGCAAGGGTCTGCTATTGAATGGAACTGAGATTTTGCTCCGTCCTGGCAGGCGGTATGCCCAGATGTGGAGGGTCTAGATGAGGACCCCAGCTCGCCAATTCATCGAAATGCGAGCAAGATTGAAGGACATTTACCCCGACCAATCATCCCGGAGGCGGCTGCAGCTGCAGCAGCGGCTCCTCCCCATGCTCCCCTTCTTTTTACCCAAGATAGAGAGAGGGCGGCTGAGCTGGAATAGCCCGAAACGTGGAAGGCGCTGGTGCTGGCTGGTGCTCTGTTCATTTGATCATGCGCCTCGCTGGAGTCGCTGGGCAGGGTTAAGCTCAAGCTCAAGCTCAACAAGTCTTATTAAGCGTAAACGTGCAGTCGACTCAGGAGCAACCAACTTAATTGACAACGCCACTGTCACTAGGTTGCCAACCACTGCCATTGTCACTGCATCACCAAATGGCAATGCGTCTCCTGAACTTGCCCCAGGATGCTGGCTGCAGCTTCAGCATTACCTCTGGTCACGGTCACCCTGGCACGCAAGATCACTGGTGAGTCAAGCCAAGACACACGACGCGGATCGCCCGCGCACAGCCAAGTGCAGAGTCTCGACAGAGATGGTGTCTGGCGATCTTAGCCGAGACATGGGGAAGCGCGCTCTTGGGACGACACGGGCTGCCCCGATCGGACATCTCCTGATCAAAAACACCGGCATGTACGAATAAGAAGCTCATCTTGTCGCGTTTGTGGACGGCTTGACTTTGCCCTGTCCCGCAATTGCGGGAAGAGTCTGCCGTTAAGCTTCAGAACAAGGTGGTCCCATGTATGCATGCGTCCCGAAGGCTTGGCGAGACCGAGGCGGCGGCTTTTGGTTTTTGGTGCTCCGGCTGGACGGGCCTGCGAAGCAAAGTCCTTTCTACTGGCCGCCACATTGTGAGCAAGCGAGCTCTGCTCCTCGTTGGATTGCTCTGTCGATTACTCAGTGTGGCGCTTTACACCGGCTCCTCTTCAGGCTCTCAAAGACTCAGACATCTCAGGGCCATTCCACGCTTACTGGCCGCGTGTAGGCCTATTCTTGAAGCAGATACGGATACAGTTCGCAGTCATGTTGTACCACTGTCGAGTCTTGACTCTTGACTCTTGACTCTTGACTATTGACTATTGACTCCTCGAGCCACTACTCAACATCAATGCTCCACAAACCCCAGGCCATGTGCTTCTCGCTTGGCTGGGGATAAGACGGGCTTCTGAATTCTGCCTGTGGAGATTTCCTCTGCCAGATATGTGTGGGGAAGAGTTGTGGTGTTTCCGATCGACGACTCACGACTCACGAGTTCCTGTTCGTATGGGGATCCCCGCGTGACCAACCTGTCTCTTTGGAGTTTACATGCAGGGAATGCCACCCTCATGTCTGATTACCCATTAAAATCGGGATCAGCCGCCATCGCATAGACCGCTCCAAGTGCTGGAATCTGTTTGGTGCAAGCCTTGCCGTGAACTCGTGATGGTGAGTCGGTGCACAAGCGCGGGAGGCGGCATTTTCGGAAGCGCAGCCGCCGCGACCAGATTGGGACGTTTGGGGAGTTGGGGCAGATGAAGCTGGCGCGTGCCGCTCTCGAGACGCGTTGAGACGTGGCCTTTGTCTAGAATCTTCAGACTGGTCTGATCTGATCAACCCATGGTGAGGCACTGGAGAAGACCAAGATGCGAAATTGGGCACCTAGGCTGAGTGAGTCACTGTTGATCACTATTGCCAATCACAGCAACCACACAGGATCTTGTGAAAGCGAAAAGGGTCATCGACAAAGCCTGAAGGAAACTGTACCCCAAGAGGTATGTACTTGGAATCTTCACGGCCTCGATCGCGCCTCCTGGGCGTGACAAGGAGTTCAGGTTCACTGCCAAGCCCTTATCAGCCTGGAGAGGCTTGTTCTCGACCCTGGGACTACTTGTTCCCGCTTCAGTGTGAATGATCAGTTTCGCAGCGTGGCTAATGATGAGTCGAACACGGACATTGCTTCCCCTGGCTTGGTGACAGTCGATGTCTGCCTCCCATGAGAGCAGCGTCTCGTGTTTCAGACTGCCTTGCTTACTTTCCTCTAGGCAGTCAGTAGAACTATTGAACATCCACGCGATTTTGCCGTGTGTTTTGCCTCGTGTCTAATAACAATTTTCTATGTCGTCGTAGCCAGTCAGGTATGCTCGCACTCTGCACAGTTTGTCCCCTTTAATTAGTGTTGGCTGTCAGCTCATTTGTGTTCCATGTCTTTGACCACCATCATCCGTCAAAAAACAGAAGATCGATTTGCTTCGTTGAATATCTATAGCTTTTTTTCTTGGTTTCTATTGGATCCCTCCAAAGGTCTTTCTCACAGTGAGCCCTTTGCGTGCCGATCGAGAACACGCCCCAGCTCTTTCGCCTTCTCAGTCTGGGCTGTCTCTCGGCGATCCCGGGGCCCAGTTAGATGATCCATCTTGGCGACGGTATCATGCTCTCCTAGATCCTTTGTTCATGAGAGCCAGGTGGAAAAGATCGGCCCCCTTGGTTAATAGCCAAGAGATCACTGCGGCTCGAACCAGGGTCCAGAACCTTTGCCACCGAAGGGGGTTCTTTTGAGTAGCGAAATGAAAGCACGGAAATGAAATAGGGACGTCTGTTCGTAGACCCGAGATCAAGTCAGCTTCACTCGAAACCGGGCACCGTAACACACTCTTCGTCCTTGTCGAACACTGCATTGCTGGGTGTTCAATTTCACCAGGTCTTTTTCGGCGAGCCCGCACCTTGAATCCATTGAAGGCGTTTGCGTGTGATTATTGGGGGCCTGAAATCTCCTAAAGTAGCAGTCTGGTTCCATGTCACGGGCGCGTGTGGGCTTTTGTCAAGTTCACTGCATGCAGGTTCCATAAACCTTCTCCTCAGTCCGCTCGCTGGACGGGGAAGTAATTGTAGACTCTCATGAACCATTATATACTTAAATCGAAAACTAGATGTTGTCTGTTTTGGGTGGAATATTGTCTGTATGTTGTCACTAGTACCAGCCAAGGGTGCTACTCAAAGCGTGCATTTAGGACACGGAAAGCTTCCAGTCTGTCTCCGTTTAGAGAGCCAGTGGGGCTCTGCACATCTGTAACATTATCAACCTAAACATTGACTCACCCTTATGTTGAATTATTATGTTGAATTACTTGCGATAATCTTAACCTCATCGTGAGCTTTCCGCTTTTAGAGTGCGATCCTGTAGGCTATGACCATGTCAAATGTGTCTCGTTACCGACTGGAGGTACTATTGTGATTATGGAGATGAAAATTGCGCGGAGCTATAAAAAATAGTATTTGCCTTCATCTGAATCTTCGTATTTTTGTTGTTTCGCGGTTTACACCAAATTTCATCATTGCCTGAGGGGTGATCCTCAACAATGATGAGTCTACCAAGCCTCATTGGCATCACAAGCAGATTTTACTCTTTCTACATCATAGCATAGCCCCAGTCGAGGTTATAAATGATCACTCTGAACTTCCAATACCCTAGCACCGATTTTAACGAATTATACTAAAAGTGAGGCCCAGTTCCTTGCCTGCCAGTCTGGTACAGGGTAGGACAACGGACAAGCACGACTAGTTAGGAGTTTCAGTCAGCTGGCAGACGTGATGCTGATCAGTACTCGAACCGAATTGAAACTGATATCAAACGCCTCTTAATTTCTATTTTCTATTGTCGTCCATAGTATTTTCAATTAAGCCCTTGTGGTGCGTCTGAAGACACCACGATGGTTTGCAAGGACTCCGGAGTGAGTTCGCTGATAGGTTCGTGAGAGGAGCGTTGCCATTTACACATACACAACCATAGGCGATATGACGTACTAATGTATCCTTGTTTGCAGAGAGCCCCGAATAACACCTAGATTTCGGCAATACCTAATTTTTGGCAATTGCATCTTCATAGAACAGAGCTGGTAGACAGGGCTCAGCAGGTATCCAAGTGTGACCTGACATCGAGCGAGGGTACTTTGAAACATGGTCGTTTAAATTGTGAAAAAAACGAGCTATTAGGCTAGTGAGTTACTTACTTTCGCATATACATCAAGAACGCCCCCCATTATTACACTCCCACGACACCCCCAGCTCGGGCATCACTCCTGCGCGCGTCCTTACTCCTCCCACCACCGCTGGGACAAGGGCGCTCTGGGAGCCCTCCTCATCCCTGTGGGCTGCGCTACGCCCATCATGGTGGAGTTGAAAGCCATTGTCGGGCTGGCAGTGACGGTGACGGTGTTGAAGGCTGTGCTGATGCTCGTGGAAGGCTCGACCGATGAGCAAACGGTAGACTGGCTGGGGTTGACTGCGCCCTTGCAAGGCTTGCCGCTATCCTTCTGGCGACACACAGTCTCGCCCGTGTTGATGTTGATGATGATGATCTCAATGTCAATGTCATCGCCGCCGTGGCTCACGGTCTGGGTCACCGTCTTGTAGTGGTCTTTGCTCGGCACAATCGTGGTTGCGTCGTGCACAGGCGCAGCCGTCACGGTGACTGGGTGATCAATGGTCTCTGTGATAGTTTCGCCATCGACAACGATGACCTGAGCACTGGGCTCGAGACTGACAATCACTGTAGCTGGCTTCTGCTCCCCCACTTGCTTGTGTTGCAAGGTTTTGGTCGTGAACTTGTCCTGGGCATCGCCGTTTGTGGCTTCGGTCAGAGTCTCCTCAGGCTCGGCAGTTATCGTCACGACCGATGGTTCAGCTGATGCATCCTTGCTAGGGCTTGCGATGATGGTGACAGTCTTTGGCTCCTTGGCTGGATCAGCCGAATCGGGGTGGACAACCTTTGTCACCACTTGCGCCTCTTTCTCTTTCTCGTGTGCTTTTGTGATCGACTCGGGATAGATTGTCTTGATGATGAACTTGTCGTCGTTGTCGCCATCATCATGTTGATCCTTCTGCTCACTAGTCTCATTGGGATTCTCATGAGTGTCGTCATCCACGATTTCATCTTTACCCTCCGCTCCAGGTGTCTCGCTAGATCTGGCTGGATAGATCGTCTTGGTGATAACCTTGGGGTGATCCTGCTTGGGCTTGGTGGCGACGCCATCGGGCTCGTGGGTCACATAGATCGTAGACGCCGGATGGGTGACGGTACTCTCGACCGTTACAGTGGCTTGTGGCCTATCAGATATGTAGATAGTCTTAGCTGGCGGTGCCTCGGCCATGACAGTAACTGTTGCTGGCGCGCCAGAGCCGGTGCAAGGACAGCATTCTTCTGCATCCATGCGTGCTTTGAGATCGCCATGGCGGGCGAAGGAGTGGCCGGCCAAATAGAGCACGGCAAAGCTGAGTGAGTATCGCATGATGATGTGGGTTGACAGGGCTATGCGCAAGGGGTAGGTGGTTTGGAGCTGTTGGTAGTGCTCAAGGTGATGGTGCGAGGTTGTCAGAGTATCGCTCAAGTCGCAGGAGCTTGCGTGTCTTTATAGACAAACTTCACTTGGTCTTTCAAGAGAAAGGTCATATTTGGCAGCATTCGTTTTGCACAGCCAATATTCCGAAGCCCAGGGATACCCTTCAAGGCGAGAGCCAGGAGTCATTGTCATGGAATGGACTTCACATAAATTGATCAGGGAGAGAACCTTACGGCTATTGAGGGCAGCCATATCTAGCTGATGCCCATCACGTCGACTTCCAATCTGAAAATCTCAAACGCCCTGACAATGTCATGAGGGTCTCCCTGACTTTGAGGCAGACTTGCCCACTATCGACGGGTGAGACAGTCATTCGGGGCGAAAGAGAGGGAGATAGGTGGAGCACTGAAGAGAATTGGATATCATTCGAGGGACGCAATCTCAAAGTGGAACGACATGGAGCTGAACTCGCAAGCTGTCAAGCACAAAGAGGTACCGCGAGCGCCTGCAAAGATGAAAATTGCACCTCGAGGAGAAAAGAGGTTTTGACAGGACTCGGGACATGTGCCCATCATGAAGGGCCGGGGATTACCCGCTTTGATGGAAGCGCCGCCCCACCACTTTCCCGGAACTCAATCGCATCTGAAGCTGCAGGAACGGGCGAGGGCGCAGCTCCGCGACCAAGAGACCTCTTTCCCAACGAACGACCGACATCATCGTATCAAGGTCTAGAGCCTTGCCGGGCTGTTTGGAGGTTTTCGCTGCGACTGCGATGCTCTTCGACCACGCATCATTACTTAAATCCCCCTCTTGATGATCTAGTCGCCTGTTCGATTAGCATTCTCGACACTATGGGCGGCTGCCAATCTTGCCTAGGGCGTCGCAACAGCGATATATCGAATGTGGGCTCAGACAGCCTAGACACGCTTAAGACGACATACTGACGGGAATCAAGGACGAAAGCACAGGTCTTTTGTACGACGACCATGGCTTGCAGTACGGCAGCTTTGGCGACCAGGCTCTGAGCGGAGAGAACGAGACAGTCGAGACACAGCGCGAGAACGAGGCGATACAAACAGTCGTCGCGAAGATTTCAAAGTATGGCCGAGTGCGACGAACTTGCCCCGCGTGACTCGCTGACGCATGTAGCAACATGGTTGACGTATTCGAAATCGCCCAGGCTGTCGGCACCAACAGAGGCATGGCAGCTGGCTTCGCCCAAACAGGTCCTGGCCCTCGCGAAGCACGGTTCCAACACCTTCTCTCGAAACTCAACACACACGAGTCGACCTTGCCCAACGAGGGCAGAATTGGTGTGCTCGCCGATGAGGATGATCTCAGTTCCCAACCCGGCAAACCAGCCAGCGTAAACACCCAAGAAGGCGGGGACGACGCGCTGGTCGGTACATTCGCGGACGCTGCTGCCGCCGCCGCGGCTGGAGCTCCCTCGAGAACAATCACATCAGCATGATAGAGCCGTTTGCACGCTTATCAGGAAGTTTAAATCGGCTACCAGCAGTCTGGAAGTTGAGTCATGTGGCATAATGGTGGACTTATGCATACCTGCATGCGCAATTCGAAGCTAACAAGTGCCCGAACCGTTCTGGCGGATCATTATCACCATCGAATTCTCAAAGCACTCACTACCAAGGTCCTCTACAACCACGAGTGCTTAGGTGGGGCAACCAGTCCCTCTGGTTCTGGACTTCTGATTGCCATTTCTGTAATTACCATATCTAAACCCGACAATCTGGAACCAGGATAGCCTCAGGAGCCTCGGCTGGTTGCCGAGGGGCATTGGTTGACATGCTTCAGCCTTTAGTTGGAGAGAAAATACGCACCCCTGTCCGGCACTTTGACACTGGATCCCTCCCGTCTTCCATCCGCCACGAGAGGGCTCACCGCATCTTCAATTTCTGCGGGAAACTGGGTCACATGGACACAAACTACACCAATCGAAAGCAACTTTAGCATCCCCTTCTCCATCTCGTTGCATTCCGAGAGAAGTTTTCGTCTTCTCACTTGCGCTCGTGACGTTCTCGGTTGGGGCGACATCTTCGCGACCGACGTCGCGAGTTTAGCGTTCCCGATGCACCTTAGCATCCTCGACTGGCAGGCACGTGCTCACGGGAATGGGTCAGCTATAAGCAGTCACGCAGCGGCTCATCCACCCGCGCATACAGTAACAAGTATTGTAAACTTCTGATCAGAGTGCGCACGTCTCATTAAGGTGACTGACTGGCCGACGCGATCAGACTGGGCCGGCCGTGGCACTATCTGTAAGAGCTTGCGCGGAAGACCAAACGTACTCGTATCACTAGCCGCACAGACCTTCTTCTGTTGGTTCTGCCCAAGGGCTATGCAATGTCAGGCTAAGGCGAACAAGTGGAAGACGACCGATCCAAGGGTGGCGGAAGGATGAGAGTGCTCCATACGCCACCTGCTTCGGGCCATGTTCCAAACGCAAAACTCGGTCTTTGTTCTCAGTTAGGGCGGGTGCTGCCATTGCTCCCAGCTAGCAGGGCTACGAAACGGGCAGTATTGGCCAAGCGTGTGCCCAGACTCGACCGGCCATACGAGTGCAATCTTCTCCCGGTTCTGTCACTCCACCTTCAATCATCCGTGCTTTGCAAGTTTGGGCCGGCAGTGTCCCCTCGCGTACACTCAGCTTTGCTTCCTATCTAGGTGGAGGTTGTGGGTTAATCAGTCGTCGCAAGAGCAATCGCAAAGGAGACCCCTTCGCCTACGACAAGCGATCGCTCACGGATAGGACCGGCCCGGCCCTGTAGCCGTTACAGGGCTTCCCCAGTCGATGCTGACGCAGCGGTGGCCGTTTGATTGCGCCTATTACCATGTCCACACGCCACAGTTACCGTCTTCTATAACTCTGCACCTCTGCACGGCATTGGATCTGGATCAGTGCGGGCGGCGCTACTACGCAGTACACAGAAGCTGTGCTGTCTCCAGTGACCGGTCCCTATCCCTCCCGCCGTCTCTCCGAGAACTCTGGCGGTCACGAATCCCAAATCCGTGTCATGTTTTGCGAGGGATAGAAACCCCGCTTCACGATGGGACTGGCTGGCTCCGCGTTGGCGTAGCATCTGTGAACGGTCTTCACATTGTCAAGTCACACCAACTACTGGAAAGTAGACCTCATATTCCCTGAACCACAGTTTAGCATGAGCGACCGTTGAAGTGTGAGGGAAACTAGACCCAGCACTATATAAAACAATCCTCTCTCCGTGGAGGAGGAGTCCAAGCTCTGTTATCATACAAGCGCAGTGCAGGCCGGTACCCACCTGGAAGACTGGGTTCTCCTGTCTGTCCGTCCATCTGGCTGGCTGGCTGCCCTGTCCTTCTGTTTTCCAGGATCTCTGGCCGCTTGTCTTGTGTGCGCTGCGCCCTAGCGGTGGTGGAGCGCAACCGCAAGGCCATGAAGAAGCGCACTGTCCGCCCTGAGAATGTCAAAGACAAAGGGAATCTGTAGCAAGGCCGTGCGCGCCAGGCTACCCCTGGCACGCAGCCATCAACCTTTCCAGGTCCCCGCCACGGCCCTCCACGTTGCTCAGCACAAATGCGGTGGGCAGGTCAGGATCCGCGTCATCGTTCTCGTCAACAGCCGCCTAACCGTCGCCATCATCCACTGTACGTCAAAGTTTAGCAGTTTGTTCTCAAGCTAGCAGGCCCCCTGGACGCAACCTATCACTCTACACTTCCTCCATGGGCTTGAAGGAATCTTGCCTCCTTACCCAAGATGGGCTGTGCGCTGGCGATGGTCCTCTCTCATCCTGGCAATCTGCTCCAGCACGTCCTCCATGTCAGCACAGGTACGCTCGACAGTGGCGGGGCGGCCGCCTTCGCGCTGCCACCGCTGTACATCGCGGTACATCTTGTCGTACCGGCGCTGTTTCTTCTCGATGTCATGGCACAGTTTGCAAACATCTTCCTGCTCCTTGGTTTCGTAAACAAGCTTGAGACCGCAGGTCTCCCCCATCCGGTATTCTTTGTTGCATTGCTGCCGGAAGTGACCCCAACGCCAGAAGCCACAAGCCCATCTTGTTTGGTCAAAGTAGCACATCTTGTCCCAGTCGTACTGCAATGTGTGCGGCTTGTTGCGGAGCCTGGACGGTTCGATCCCTCTGAAGGACAGGCGTCTGTCTACTTGTTGCACGGTCAGCTTATACATCCTTGTTCCGTCGGCACAGCCTGCGACAGGGCGAAAAACTTCTCCCCCTGGTTTCCGCCGAGGGGGTTCGTACCTTGAGCAAGGACCGGGGAACGTCGGTGGCAAGTCGAGTGCCGGCGTTCTCTGCAGCGTTCGTTCTTGCGCTGGGTCTCTTCCGGATTATGGAAGCTCAAGCTTTGATTATTGATTGCACGGGCGCGGCGCTCGTGTCGTATGATAGTTGATAGTGGCCTCTCGACCACTTCTCCTTTTGAAGATGCAACGTACCAACTTATATTCAATTGACCACGCAGCGAGATGCTTGATCGACGCACTATATCCCACCTGTCAATCTTGACCACCCCATCCCCTGTGGAACTCGTGTCGGCCAACAAGACGTGTCTCTGGCATGGGGCCAACAGCTCATTCATCGTCATGCTGCTTCGAGCGGGACGAGACTGAGGCTTCACTTTGTGGATTGGGCATCCTTACCTCTAACCCATGCGGGCATCTCGCACACGCCCTGCGCGTCCATTGACAATGCACCCCCATGCGGCCCCTCTGCTTGCCGTGGCCGGCCTTAGCAGCGACCAACGCGGCAGCGCTCGAGTCCCTGCAGCATTGCAATGTCTATTCCCTTGCTTCGCCTACCTTTCGGCCAATGGATATCGAGGGTCCTCTTGTTTACTTTCGATCATGAAGCTTGAAAAGCACCCAAATGTAATCTCTTTCACTTCCTTTCCGTACCTGGTGGCGAACGTCCTTGACGGCAGAACGCTTCTGTATAGCAACAAATGCCGCTCCACCTCATCAGTGCACCTACCTCCGTTGTCATGGCAAGCAATATGAGTTTGGCGCCTCGCGGGAAAGACTTTAAGTGTGGTCATGGCCAGGCTCAGTAATTTACATGACCAACGCACTTCTCTCTCGTTGTGTTTCTTCAGATTGTTCCCGCCCTGCGCGTCTGCAAACCACATCATCACGTCAGGCAACGCTGGCTTTTGCCGTCTGCGAGTCTGCAGCCAAGCCTGGCTTTGCAACCCTAGCCTCAGCCAGAGTGTTCTGCAAGCTACCCGCTGCAGGCCTCGTCAACAGGTTGCCGACGGTCGGCTGAAGGGCCGTCTCGATCTGCGGCCGCAGTGGGGCCTTGCTTCGAGAGACTGGCAAATGTAATTGAAAAAGCTACGAGTCGAGCATAGCGCGAAGCTTGCAGTGGAAAACTCGGTGTCTCCCGGGATCGTGATTCGCTTCGCGTATCCCGAGGGCGCCCTGAGCCTGTGTCGGGTGCATGTTGAACTGTCCGAATCTCACTGCAACAGAATAGAGGGCTGACATGCGTGCAAGTCGTCGAATTGCACAGATACATTGACTTTATACATGTCGAACTACGTACTCTGATTTTGACATGAGAACGAGCGATACCGGGCGTTGGTGGAGAGCCAAGCCGGTCAGGAGGTGTCGTGAAGGCAGGGTGGTCTGCCCCCTGAGCCGGATACACAACGGGCTCAGGGGCTACACAAATGCGAGAGCATCACCGAGACAAAGTCGCAAACGGAATTAATGTCTGTAATTGACATTAGAGTCAAATCACTTGTCAAGGAAGCCGCGCAAATCAAGTGGCAGCGCAATGACAACAGGACGTTAGGCCCTGTCACCATCTGGTCAACCAAAGACAAGAATGGCAGCGTGCAATTTTAACGTCAGGAGAAGACAATGGAACCGGGGAAGCACCCATTAACAGTATGCTGCTCGGTGCTCACTGCGGCTCACGCAGCTGAATCACTCACGAGATCGTCTGCGTCCGCGCGACAAGTGGCAACAACTTGGTGAACGCAGACAGTCTCCTCATTGACAACTTCGGGGCCTAGATGGCGAGCAATCTCGGACAATCGCGCATCGCCTTTGACAACGAAAGCCTCACACCTCTTCCACCCTACAGCACGGTTTCACTCACCGGGCTCAGGTCGACGCCAGGTCTCGAATCGATGGGGACCTGTGGCTGTAACCGGCACAGCTCACGGGCAACCGAGCCGTCGCTCGATCAGCATCACGCGTATGTCGATTGGGCAGGCTCTTCTCCACGATGACCGAAGAGTGGGAAGCACAACCCAACCACTGCGCTGCGGGTGTGGCTACGCGCATCCGGTGAGCTCTCATTGCTCCGAGGCAGAAGCATAGCGCAGTGCTGCCCTGTGGTTGTCGATCCACGGTGGATGAGGAGACATGCAGGTTGTCCAAGGACTTTGCTCACCCATGCAGAACAAGGCTCACCGGGGAGTACAGAGACCTTGAATTCAGAATGTGTACTTACTTGGGCACGACCTGTCGACGGCACATGAAGCCACGCCTGCGACATCAGAGCAAAGACACAACCCTTGCACACTGGCAAAGCCCGTCCGGGGACACAGCAGAAGCAGGCACTCGGTCACAGTGCTTGTGCAGGGCCATGGTGCCAGGCCATGTGCGATGAGCTGGCCTCGTCGACGTGGAGTCGCCTGCATTCAACCGCGACGCATCGATCACGGCGTGCAGGGGGCTCATGCTGTGATCACCGGTTTCCGAGGCGATGCGCAATGCGTCGGGGGTGCATCGTGTTACCGTTGGGCAGCAGATCCTCGCTTTCCTCCCCTGTCTTCCCCCGTGAGAAGTCGATGGATAACCGTTGTGCCTCACCGGCCGGCCCCAAAGGACATGACGCGACGCGGGCCTGCCGACCTACACGCCTCGCGCCGGGGACGACAGGCGGCGTTGCATATTATATTGCGCGCGCGCAGGAATCCCGGGGATGACTGAATTGGTAAGTTTTACCTGATCGCGCGATCTGTATTTCGTCACGGTCGCAAGGCCGGACACAGACGCCAAGGCGCATACGACTCATGGACGGACATGGTCATCCGTGCTGTACGGACTACAGATACCCCTGGTCGACGCTTCTTTTTACTCCAAACGTTTTAGGGTCAGAATGCGGCGGGATAAGACTGGAGCCTCGCTACGGGCCGCCCACCAGACCAACGGCCCGTGCCGGAGCGAGAGAAAAATCCTATCAAGATAATAATACCACGGAGAAGATGGCGAGGGCCTCCAACACGGACAACTCGCTTCACGGCTACACTGCTGCCAGGGTTATCATTGGAGCCTGATCAGCACACCCTTTCACCACAAAGACCGACCAGGGAATTGCGTCCGGTCCCCGGTGTGTGAACATTGATGATGCTGCCGACGTGCGGCAGCCTCTGGTAATACACCTTCGTCCAATGACAAGCAAGTAAGATGCCGTCCTACTGACTGGTTGTCTCGAGGACCAATCCGAGTCAACGAGGCTCCCGAAGATGCAGATGCACGGCTACGGTTCAATGCGAGTGGCCAGGACCATCGGCGAGATCTCGTCCGCAAAGCCGGGACGCTGCGAATCATAACGCTTGACGAAGCTGCAGGGGTACATGAATGGTTCGTCTGCACATCTACATGAACCATTGAGGAGGTCTATCTTTTGACGGTATTCAACAATTGGTCCGCGGAATCATGCGGCTCACCCGTCGATTTTTGGCTCATTCTGCTCCAAGGAATCCCAAGCGAGGGCCATAAGCGCCATGAGCTCTCTCGACTTCGGAGTCTTGGACTAGCAACCCAAAGACCTGCTACTGGCACAAGAAGTGCGAGCGATGGTTGGAGCAGTCATAGTGTCGCCGCCGATACGAAGACACTCGGTCAGCATCGGTCAACATGGACCGGGAAAGAGCGCGAGCCGCCATCAAGTCCTGAATGCAGCGAAGAGAAGCGAGTCTCATCCCGATGCCGAATGCCGAATTGCTCACCAACATGCAACCGTCTTGGCCATTGGTGCCCGATGCGACGACTCGTACTGGAGTTCAGGCCGACCCTCCAACTTGGACGGCCTCACCGTGACACCGAAAGACGACAGGAAAGCTCTATTTAGAAGGGGCCACCACGTGTCTGTGGCGTGGTATTGCATTGCATGAACAGGGCGTCCGAACCACAGCCCTAGCGGAAGATGCAGGCCAACGCATCGACAGGTGCATTGACGTGTGGGTGAGGGAGCGGTATGGTACCCAGGCCTCGCGAACGATGATGTATGGACCTCCCGGCCTTGTATGACGAATTGAGACGAACTGGCCAAGATGGACAGCCCACGGGCCAAGGGTCTCCAAGCAGGTCGCATCGATGCGTGGTGAGTTGTCGCATTCTAAGCGATCCTGTTGCTACTCCAGAAGCCTGAGCCTGAGGCCAGTCACCAAGCCCGCATGAGAGCCCGATCATTGCCTGCAGAGCACGCGCGAGGGTGGTGCAGCAGGGGTCGCAGGTCTGTTGGTTTGAACGTCCACGACATGACATGACACGCAGGCAGCATGGCGCTATCCCCCGACCAAAGCGTGAGCCGCAAAACCGTTGCGGGGCATTGCAACAATCCTGGGCTGATCGAAGATATGAGAAAGCAATTGATTACGCGTCTGGTCCAATCGTGGTCGACTGATAGATGGATATTTGACGTTCGAATAATACTGGATCTACACGATGAACGAACGTACAGCTTTGCCCAATCGGCAGCAACTCTCGACATCAAATCACGAACACCCTCAAAAGATGAATGCAAGGTACTAGTAGCCGTGCAGCACATTCAAGGCAGCCATGCGTGACATGCAGGGGAGGACACATGACGTGGCAGCCGACTGGACGAATCAGCCACGATTTTGGCAAGCACCTCGCGTCGTCAGTGACAGAGCGCGGGATCGGGCGGACAGCCTAATAAATTGTCAAACGGCACGATCAGATAACCGACTCATGTCGACCTCCCAAGGACCAAAATGAGGCGGAAGTTCGGAACCCCGCCAAACTGAAAGAGGGCAGCGGCGGGCGGGGTGCGGTGCGCATACTGGTCAAAATCGTGTCCATGTCCAGCCCATGTTGTCCGTGGAAACAAGGTAGTGCAGCGCAGAGGGCAATTGATGCAAGGGCAGCTTCAGGGGTTCGGGCGCTGAAGCCGCACAGTCAACAAGTCACAGGGGGACAGAATCCAGCCTGGCAGCCTCCAGTGATCAGTCCAGTCCAGTCCAGTCCTCGTGACGTCGCCAGCCTGGTCCATGTGACCAAACATCCAAACGACCACCAGATAGTAAATCAGTCCACAACCTACCATCACGCCTTTTGTCTATGTGCGACCCCGAATTCACAGAAACACCATCGTAATCCAAATCTCGCTTTGTTCGTGCGCTTGACGTCCAGAATCATCGACTTCGGACATCCGAAACTCACACTACTACCGGCGCTTCGACGCATGCGGCCTGCTGATACCTACGTACATGACCGACGGCCTTGCATTGACTGACGCGCACGCCTCGACCCTCATCACATCACATCACATAGATCCGCGGCCGCGACCACCTTTCGTGGCCTCGCGATCCTCCCCAAACAGCTGTCGTAATTGCGCGTGCCCGTACACAGACGCATCGGATTCTACTACTGTACGCACGCGCGCCTGCGTCGGCCCACCGACTCGCGAACACCGATCGTTGCAGATGTGACAACCATCGTGCTCTTGTGACAAACCGCTCCCTCCCCTGACGCCCAGCCTTTTGTCCCTGCTCGGGTCCTATTCGACCCATCTCCAGCCCGGCTGCCCCTGACCACCGTCGCGCTTCCATCGTCGTCTCACTCCGCACCACATCTTTGCTACGCTAGAATGGATGGCCCAGACAGGCTTGCCCCCTCAGGCGAAGACCAGCTCATCGCGCAGACAGATCGGCTAGCCCTGGACCGCTTCTCCAGCCCTGCCTACATTGACACCCACGATCATCTCGAGGCAGACGAACCAAAGGTCGTTGCTGCCCGACCTGACCGTCCTGGTTCACGAGTTTATCCGTGCCCCCTCGCTGACCTGCCGAACGAAGTCCTCCTCCAAGTCTTTGCGTTTCTCGATGTCAGCGATCTCCTCGTCGTGTCGAGGGTGAGTTCCTCCACCACCCATTTGGCTGCGCATCCTGGCTAGCACAGTAGCACGCTGATGGACTGACATGGCAGACAACACACCATCTTCGCAGCCTCTGTGTGTCTCCCATTCTGCACACCTGGCGACTTCGCTTGACACGCATCATCCTCCCTCCCCTGCTCTACACCCGGCCTTCGCGACAGGAGCTCACTGCTCGATCCATCCTCCTCACCCAGACCACTATCGTCTCTCGGCGTCTCGCTCGGTCCTTGACGTCCATCCGCCTCTCGCGTCGACTCGCCACGCGCCCATCGCCAGAGGTCCTCGTCGAACGAGCAGTCTTGCCAAAGGAATGCGTGCCAGGCCTCACCACTGTTCACCTCACGCCGCGAATAGTGCAGCGCAAGAAGACCATTGAGCGGGAGAGGATCAAGGACGGGCTGCGACGCTGGATCGAAGGTACCTGGAGAGGCCGCGTCGAGGTGAAGGAGCTTGAGGCCCGACAATGGGAGGAACGCTGGGGCGTAGGACGCGTCTGGCGCCTCCGAAGATTCTGGGAGAAGATAAGCCGAGGTGAGGTTGTGTACTGATACCCTGTGTAGTAATATTATGTCGATTGGCTGGTGGGCCCCCCGGCCTGAGCATGAAATACCTTTTGGGGCCCGCCATGTTATGTACAGCAAGAGATATACAAAGCATCACTTTCCATCCTTTACAGTTCATCGTGTGCGAAAGCGGAATCCATCCCAGTCGTCCTCATCCTCGTCCTCGTCGTCCGACTCCTCGTCTTTCCCCACGACGGCCTCGTTCTCTTTGCCGCCCCTTTCGTCCTCGGGTATCGTTGGTTTGGCGCCCTGTAGACTCTCCGCTCGCCTCTTCCGCAAGTCTTCTCTTCTTTCTTTCAATTTGAGGACCTTGGCCTCCAAGTCCTTCATCTCGTCGAATTCCTCTTCCAATGCCCGCTGCGCCTCCTCGCGCTCGTCCTGCAGGTCAATCTCCGGTTTGGACGGTTTGTGTTCCTCGGCAGGCTGGTTCATGAGATCGGCCGCTGACATGGCTGGCGCTGAGATGTTGGCCTCAACGGGGATAGCTGAGGCGGCAATGTCCGCCTCAAACGCTGCCCACTCATCTTCGTCCACTGTATCCTTGTTTCCGTTCTCTGCCTCGCCGTTTTCTTCGGGGAGTATCTGTGCTTGTAGTTCTTTCGACGTAGTAGTGGCCGCCGCTGCTGGGTCGCGGGGCGTAGCGGGTCGACTGGGAATCTGTAGCTCCATGCCTTGACTGGGTGTCCTCGACGAGCGACGGGTCAGCGACGGCGGCGTCCTAGCGGCGGGCTCGTCGAGCGACGGCTTCGATCTTTTGGACATCTGATCGTCCGAGCAAGAGGACGTATCGTCGGCAGAGTGCTTGCGCTTCTTGTGGGAGGTCACGACCTCCATCTCCAGGGTCTTCCCTCCATCGGCTTCTGCGATTGAGTTGGGGCCATCCTCTGAGGGACCTTGCCGCGCTTGTTTTTTAACTTGCTCTTGAGGCGACGTCTCTTTGAGCGCGGCAAGCCGGGACTTGTGGCTTGCGGAGGCGAGATGGGAGTCCCAGAGCGATTCGGTCTTGACGGATTGGCGGCAGAGGGTGCAGAGAAGGGTGTTGGACGGGGTGTACGTTGCGTACGGGTGTGTTATTCGCCGAGCAGCACGTTGCTCTCGGAGAAGTGCACGGGCGTCAGACATTGTGGCGATTCGTCGGGTGCTGACATATGTTTCTTGGCTAGAAGTGGTCGTCGCCAGGAGTTGAGATTTGAGTCTGAAGGTGGGATGACGATGCTGCTAGCTGCTGCCATGTACCATGAGCTACCCTGAACCTTGTGGACTTGCGAACAGGAGCTCAACTTAACCCCACATATATCTCACCAGCTCAGCTCATTCATCCATCTGCAAGGTCGCGGTATCGCGGTATCACACTTACTCCTTGGGCTACTTCATGCTCCCTCAGGGCAGTTGCTGCAATTGACCAACGTAATTGATGATCTCAAGTCGCGCGGACGGTCACAATGGCCGATGAAGAAGACCCTCAGTCCCTAGTGGGCACATTCCCCGAGCCACCATCCTTCTACAAAGACTTCACCCCAGCCAACGTCGCTCGGATCGAGGAGCTGCGCAAAACCGCCGGCCTCAAAGATCTTACCCCCAGATTACCAAATGTACCTGAATATCTCATCAACCTGCAACCTCCTGCTGAACCGGAGGACGGCAAGTGGCGGGTGTTTGGCGATCACTATACTGTGAGTCCCACACGATGCTCGCGTCGATCAAGGCCGCTTGCTAATGTCCATCACAGCTCGAGGACAAGTTACCGACGCTCGAAGAAGTCGGCGCCGTATCTCTACCCCCAACACACCCTTCTCGTCTCCAGTCCTCCCCTTCCTCGTCTCAGGTGGCACAGAATAACCACTACGACCACGCACTCGAGCTCAAGCGACTCACAAAGTCCCTGCTGCTCAACTTCCTTGAGCTCCTCACCACGCTGTCGCAGAACCCAGGCCACGCCAGCGCCAAGATCAGCGACATCAACACGCTCCTTATCAACATACACCACGCGCTGAACGAGTATCGCCCCCATCAGGCGCGAGAGAGCGCTGCCGAGTTGATGCAGGATCACCTCGACACCATTCGTCGCGAAACCACCTCGGTGCGCGAGGGGGTGGATCGTGCCCGTCGCGTACTCGAAGGCCTGGGCAGCCTGACGTTTGCGGAGCGCGAGGCCAGCCAGGCTCCGGTAGATGAGGAGGCAGAGAAGAATCGGCTCAAGCAGCAAGAAGAGCTTACTCTGTGGAACTGTGCGGATGCACTTCTCGCTTGATTACTGGAAAGACTTGACGGATCTTACGTCAAAGGGTTACGGAGTCTCATTATGGCCAAAGACTTAGGTGCCGTTTGCGGTCATTCCGGAGCGCAAAGCTTGTGCCTTCATTTAATACCCAACACGAGGTTAATGTTGGACGAATAGATGGCCTTATAAGTGATGGTTTCGACGGGCACTGCTGGGTCCCGCTACAATCGCGGGTCAAAGCGTTCAAGGCGATGATTATGCCCAAATTACGAAGTGTGAAGACAAGACAGAAAATATAATTTGCAGACCAATATTTGGCCAGTGGATAGCTTCTGAACAAGCACATCAACACAGATTGACGTGTGCCACCCAAATTTCTAGCTACATACCATGTTCACATCATCCGGGCGCTAAACACGCCATTCAACATCTCGACTTGTCGGTGGTATCCTCTCCTAGATACTAGTGCGCCTCATTGCCTTCCATTCGTGACTTCTCGAGTAATTGCCCCAAGAATCCTAAATCATCTCGGCTCTTGGGCTCCCGCTCATAAAGACCCCTGATCACCTCCCATTCCTTCTTCTTCATATCCGCCGCCTGCGGTAGCAAGAACTGCACCGTGGGGCAAGTCATGAACTCTGGTCCAAGTACCTCAAGGGCCACCGCCTGCCCCTGGGCAACAGCCGCCGGGTCATGATGAGGCGGGTGGGGCTGCATGGCAGCGGCCGTCGGGTGGGTTGTACGACTTGTGTAGGGAGGCTGTGGGATAGGTACCGGTGTGGTCGACTGTAAGGGATAGCCGTTGGCTCCCACGGGTGTCGCCGGCGAGAAGCCAGGGCCTTGCGAAACGGAATTGCTTCTCTGGTTGGGAGCAACTGGTGTGCCCGAAGAAGCTGGCTGGGTCTTGTCGCCCAATTTGAGCTCGCCGGGATCGTTTTTCCATACAAACACGCCAAGAAGCAATGGCTCCGTTCTTTCTTTAGGCACAAAATTGTCGTTCAGGTTGTGCAAAAACTCGGGAATGTCGTCTCCTGGCGAAACAGGCACCAAGTACGTGTCGCGGACATTGGCCAGGACCTTCTCGCCCACGACGCCATACCGTTTCTTGTCCAAGAAATATTGTATCATGGCGAAAAACTCAGGGCGCTTGTCATCTGACACGGGAGAGAAACTCACGATGATGACATCGTTGGTTTGGCTCCATCGCTGGTTGCAGAGATACGTATTGGCCTGATCGTGTGATATGCGTCCTGCAACACTAAGGCGTGGATTGATGAGCTTATCCCACGATCCGTGCTTAGCAAAGTCACCGCCAGCAATGTACTTTGCGGTGGCGGAAAAGTTGGCGATCGAGGTCATCGCAAGGGAACCGCGCCAGACGACATCAGGATCCTGTTGCTCCTCGGCAGGTGAATACGGGGGAGAGTCGTTCTCATCCTGGAGCATGCGATCGACGTCTGCATCCTCGCCAGGCGTTGCTTGCGGCACCGGCGCCGAGGGTCGTCGGGCCTGGGACACGGATGGCGATCGGACCTGAGAGAAGACCTTGTTGATATCGAAATTGGGCTGACTGGGCGAGCGTCCATCGGCCGTGGTACCCTCGTCTCGGGACTGTGATCGAGCAAGTGCAGTTGGTCCGTCCTCGGACTTGTCTCCTTCGGCGGGTAGGTTTGGCTTTCTGCCGCCACCGCCCATGGGTGGTAGGGGCACAGGTGTTTCCACCATCGCACTGTTCTCGTCCTCCACGACTTCCTCACCCTTATGTGTACGTCTCACCCTGGGGCCGGAGGCATCTCCCTGGTACAAGATTGATGCCTTGTCCGCCTTGGCTTTCATCTCGGCGTTTTGCTTCTGCAGATCGGCTGAGGCCATCTCGTCACTCGTCATAACAGCCAGTGTAGGCGGAGTGTGGAGGCCATGCAAGAGTCCACGCACGAGTTCAGGATTGTTCTTGAGGTTGAACGTAAGCGACCGCGTCTGCTGGCTATACTCTTTCTGCCCTTTAGCCATGGGATGTGTTTCAAAGACAGCATACTCAATCCGGATGGCAGAGCGTTCGGCCATGCCGTCGACAGTCGAGTTCTCAGCAACCTCAAGTTCGCCGGTCTTCGCCATATCGGTCATCACATGCAACAACGACTTCTTCAAAGCCTTGGCTGGATTTTTGCGAGTCGGTGGAAGCTCGTCGATAGACGGCGCAAGGTCCTTGGGCTCCGTGTACTTGGGCTTGACAGAGGGTAGCGGAGGCTGCGCTGGCTCAGGCGACACGCGCCTGACTTTGGCAGCCTTGTCCTCCGATTCACCGGCATCCTCGCGTGTTTTGCGCTTTCCGCTACTCGCTGCGGCGGCTGTCGTGGCATCTTCCGGTGCGCTGGCTTCGACTGCCGGCGTTTGATCAGGGGTTGCTTCAGTCTTCGGCTCGACCATCGGCTTGGACTCTGCTGGCGTTTCGACAGGTCCGGGTGAGTCGTCGCTGGGCTTCTGAGGCTCAGCCGACGTCTTCGCATCGGTCTTCCTCAGTAGAGGCCCACCCCGGGACTTGCGCTTGCCCGTCTTCTTGTTCTTCTTTTCCTCCTCTTTCTGTCGCTTCTCCTCGGCTATTTTCTCCTCGTGTCGTTTGTGGCGATCTTCCCACGGTTTTTCGCCTCTCTTGATACCCTCCAGAAGTTCTTTGTGATCCTCAGGCTTGCACTGTTCGCACCAGTATTTGTCTGGGATTTCGTCATCGTACACGCTGACGCCCACGCAGATGTTGTGCTGCCAGGCACCGCACCCGTCGCAGGCTACCCAAGACAGATTCGGGTCATCATCTTGCTCGAGTGCGCCACAAACGCAACGAATAAGCTCGTCGCCCTCGTCTTCGGCAGGCGTCTCCTCCTTGCCCTTTAATTTCTTCGATGCTCCGGGCTTCTTATTTTGGCGGCGCTTGGGACCGGCAGCCTGGTCGAGCTCGTCGAGCGGTCGAGTGTGCTGGCCCTTGGTCGCGCGGACGGAGCGCCGTGGCTCAGGTTCTGCGCGAAGAATGTCAGCACCTGCTATTACTTGTCTCGGCTTGCGGGGCATGTCTGAGTTTGCGCAGTGTATGTGTCTTCGCAGGACATGGAACGATTGGAAAGGGAGGTGTTGGCTTACCTGACATGGTGCCTGTTTGCTGTTGTTGACTGTTGTTGGCAATGCTTTGCTCAATGCACGCAGCCGCGTTGTCGCGGGCGGCCGACGGGTACGCGTTCGACTAGCAGTCTCTGTACTGAGTCGGCGTGACGGACTACTGCAGTACGACGGGATACGCTCGTCGTCGAATATATGTCCGTCGCAGTTACAAGCCGACGTAGAGGAAACAGTGCAAAGAGAACGTCACGTCACGAGGTCACGGGCTGTTCCTTGACTACAGCTGGCGCAAACGGCAGAGCTCGAAATGGGGTTTGCGGACTGGATGACAGGAACAAAACAAGCTTTGCGCGTGCCACTGAGCCTGCGCGACTGCTAATGCCGAAGGAAACTATGAGCGCTGGTAACTGAAGGCCCGCGCGAAGTGTCGCGTGTTTTTTTTAAGGGTCTTCAATCTGCGCCCGCGTGACCACTGGGGTATTTCTCGCGTGTGCTGGAAGTTGGAGTCGGACTGAGAGAAGATCCAAGAAACTGATCGTGAGGCGACAAGCATTGGCTAAGAAAGAGTTGCTCCCGAAATGTTGGTGGTGCTGTACGGTAGGGATTTGCGAGGTGCTTGAGGAGAAATGGGAACCAGCTGGTGCGATAGCGAGGAACTGAAGACCTCGATGCGGAGGGCTGGGATGCAAGTGGAACCAATTTATCAGCCACGTTTCTGCCTCTTCAGCCACAGAGTGCCGGTCTAACTGCGGGTAAACTGCCGATGACCTCAGCTTTGACTGTGGCGCCTGCAGTCAGTGCTGGAGCTACGCGGCGGTCGTGCCTGGAGGAGCTTCAACGGGTAGGCAGACCTCCAACCATCACGATCTTCTAACCACATCACAACACTCTCTCGAAGCCACCAAGTAGACTTCGCTTGTGGCGAGAAGTGTCTGAGACTTTATTTCTCATCCTCGAGCACTTTTTTCCTCTCTCACAGCAACCATGTCTCGCCGCTACGATTCACGAGTACGTTTCGAGCACCCCACCTCTACATGCTTGGCCCTGGTATCAGCTCTAACAAGTACAGACCACGATCTTCTCACCAGAGGGTCGACTCTACCAGGTAGAGTACGCTCTTGAGGCCATCTCGCACGCCGGTACCGCCATCGGTATTCTTGCCAAGGATGGCATCGTGCTCGCCGCCGAACGCAAGGTCACCTCCAAGCTCCTCGAGCAGGACACCTCAGCCGAGAAGCTCTACATCCTCAATGACAACATGATCTGCGCCGTCGCAGGTATGACGGCCGACGCCAACATCCTCATCAACTATGCCCGACAGGCAGCGCAGCGTTACCTCCTTACCTACAATGAAGACATCCCCTGCGAGCAGCTCGTAAGGCGACTGTGCGACTTGAAACAAGGCTACACACAGCATGGTGGACTGCGACCATTCGGTGTGTCGTTCATCTACGCTGGCTGGGACCCGCGACGCGAATTCCAGCTGTACCTGAGCAACCCATCGGGCAACTATGGCGGCTGGAAAGCGACAAGTGCAGGTGCGAACAATGCGAGCGCGCAAAGCTTGTTGAAGCAAGATTACAAGGAGGATTGCACACTGAATGAGGCATGCGACATGGCTGTCAAGGTGCTGAGCAAGACGATGGACTCAACCAAGTTGAGCAGCGAGAAGAGTGAGTTCAGCGTCAAATCGACCACAACCTCGAAAGCTAATGTCTCTCAGTCGAGTTCGCCACAGTCGGGCAAACGGACGACGGCAAGATCTACCACAAGCTATGGAGTGCCGAGGCCATCGACGAGCTGTTGGAGAAGAACGATCTTGCTAAGAAGGAGGAGAGTGAGGACAAGTAAAATAGACCGTGTACAACAACAATGGAAACGCGTCATGATCAATGATTTTACAGCTCGTTATACATATTGACTTGCTTGGACGCTCTTGCTTCGATTAACCTCGTGCTTTGAGTTGTCCGTCGATTCGAACCCGGTTACTCCGTCTCCTAATCCTACACCCGTGGTCAGTCATGTTCCACCTGCAATGGCCGCATTTCGTAGCCTACATCAACACCAGCTTCCTCCTCATCTCGCACACGCTGCCACACGGCATTGGCGTCTCCATTCATACCCTCCCTGGTCGGCATGGGGTACGGCTCGCTGCACTTGGCACTGGACAGCTTCGGCCAGTATCTCCTGTAGCTCCAATATGCGACGGACATTCCCAGCGCTGAGCCTACGCATACGTCGTATACATCGTGGCGATAATCTTCGCAACGAGATATGGCGATCATGGCGGCTCCCACCAATGGTGCGAGGAAGATCAGGAATCGTCCCAAATCGCGGCTGCCGGTATGGAAAACGCCCAGTTGACCAGCAAAATACAGTGCCACGAAGCCCAGTCCGGAGAACGAAAAGCTTGAATGTCCGCTCGGGAAGCTGCGCCATCCATCCTGTACAAGGTGCGTGTTGTGTGGCGCCGTGCAGACACTGATGTCCACGGGGACGCTCATCGGCGCGTCACTCGCTGGTACACATCTGGCTATCAAGTCCGGTCTGGGACGGCCAACGGCGTTCTTGAGGATATCGGTGAGGAGCGCAGTAAATGTAATAGAGATGAAAAAGGGGAGATATGTCGCCTCATGTTTGTGCGCAGAAGAGCGAAGTAAGAGGATGTTGATCAAGATGAGCACGCCCAGTGGTATAAAGAGCGCGTAGACAAAGTTCATGACTATGAGTCAGGTTCTTTGAGTTTGTGTATTGTCACCGTCAGTGGGAGGAAAACATACAGACAGGGACGCGTTCATGCTCAGCATGAGGAAATGAGATATTCACATCGTTGATGAAGAACAATCTTTTAAAGGGCGTTACGAGAAGGATTATCTTGAAGCCCGAGTCAACGCGCTGCCTGTGTCATTTTCTCAGGCGGTACATACCAGGATGTACGAGACGACAATCGCAACCAGACCGACATAATCCGGCGCATTAGTTGTCTGTATCTGTGAGTACTTGATCAATCGAGTCGCAGGATATCATACCGTCCAGAAACGAGCTACGCTCGACAGTCGACCCGGCGTCGAGTGATTGCGTCCGGGAGCCATGGCACAAGAACAATGGTTGGCCGAGTCAGGTTAGATAACCGTGATTGTGAAAATGGCTCGTGAGCGCACGTGCGGCGGATTAGACCTGTCTATCAATGACGCGCCAATGCTCCCATGAAGAGTACGTTGGTCGTGAATGAAGACAACAGAAGCCCGAGTCTCGAGACGGCATCCTTGGCAAGGTGATTGGTGGATCGCCGGGACCCTACCGCGACCACCATACGTCTTGTGACTAGTTGCTACAGTTCATATATATCGCAGCTGATTATGGTGATATGCGAATTCAACACCAGCAGCAAAGAGAATTATTTTCTTCATCTTCCAAAGGTTCGTTAATGCTCAGTCAACTGGTCACACCTGGCGACAAGCTTTGGCCGCCGTTTTATACCTGTAGGGTAGCCAAGTCAGACCCGCAGTGACGTTGCTGAGACTGGCGCTACTCCCTAGATTTTGGACTTTCAAAAATACACCGATCACGTCTTAACTCAGAGCTCTTCATGCCCCCGAACGAACGCGCGTCGAACAATCTCCCATGACTACTTGAAACCCCAAGGCCATGCTCAAGTCCACATATCAACGGGCCGATGCCGCGGCACCTGATGCCCTTCCACCAGGCTGGACAGAACACAAAGCTCCAACAGGTCATACCTATTACTATAACGTGTCGACCAAAGAGTCAACCTACAAACGTCCTTCAGCCCAGCCAGAAGCGCCATCGATTGTGCCAACATATGGACGCAACCTGTCCGAACCCAGCGTCGCCAATGCGTACGTGGCGCAATTCAACCCGCCTCTAGCGCAGCAGTCGCATCGCGGCGGCTTTGGCGCAGGCAGAGGAGGCAGGGGTGGGCATGAAGGGCGACCAAAGCCATCGCCGTTTGATAAGCCTGTGAGGAAGGAACCTATCCCTGGCCATGAGCCCTGGATCTTGGTGTACACCAAGTACTCGAGACGCTTCGTGTACAACCCGGCCAAGAAGACGAGCTTCTGGCGCATACCCGAAAAGTTGATGCCGGGCATCCTCGAGTTGGACAAGGAAAGAATACGGAAGAAGAACGAAAATGAGACTCGGCCAAAGAGTGCAGAATCCGAAACAGCTGAACCAGAAGAGGCGACAGTTCAACGGAAAGAGGAGACACCGACGGCTGCGCCCGAGGCGTACGATAGCTCGGAATACGAGGAAGTGGAGATTACTGATGACGAAGACGAGGAGGGCCATGCGTCCAAACGCCAGAGAACAGACGGCGCAGCGCCAGAAGAAGAAGAGGGACCAGTTGAGTTTACAGAGGCGGACATTGCAGCACAGCTTCAAGCCATGGGCACAGAATATGGTCTTGAGCCGGGCGAGTACAACGACGGTAACATGGCTGATTGGCCCGAGGGCGCAGAGGGCGTCGAATTTTCGGAAGAAGACGCCAAGCTACTTTTCAAAGATCTTTTGGACGACTTTAGGATCAATCCATTCAGCCCCTGGGAGAAATTGATGGAGGAAGGCAGGATCATTGAGGATCAGCGATACACGGCTCTGTCTACGACACGAGCTAGAAAAGAATGCTGGGATGAATGGTCACGCGAGAAGATCGCGGCCCAAAAAGAGCAGCGCGCCAAGCAGGAGAAGAAGGAACCGCGCGTCGCATACATGGCCCTCCTCCAGGAGAAAGCCACACCGAAGCTCTACTGGCCAGAATTCAAAAGAAAATACAAAAAGGAGCCGCCGATGAAGGACCTGAACTTATCGGACAAGGACAGGGAGAAGGCGTACCGAGACCTGGTCAACCGCTTGAAGACGTCGCAAGCCACAAGAAAGACGAAGCTGACGACGATGCTCAAGAGTCTGCCTCTGCACGTGCTCAACACCAGGTCCCTCGCGGACGGCTTGCCGACGCAATTGCTAGTCGATCCACGCTACGCGGCCCTGGAGCCTTCGATTAGAGATGGCTTGATTGAAGCCTATGTTCAGGGCCTTCCTCCCCCTCCTGATAATGTCGACGATGCCAAAGCAATCAGCGACGAGCGGGAAAAGCGAGAGAAGCGAACAAAGGCTCTGGAAGAGCGCAACCGCATCATCGACGAGGAGAGGCGGCAGCGCGAGCGGGATATTGCCAGGGGCAAGGCCAGATTACGGGATGGAGAAAGGGATATTGAGATGGCCATGGCCGTGGACAAGACCGGGCTGCGCCGTCAATTGGAGGATGCGGCCTAGGTCGCTCACTGCACGCCATCCCTCTTCTCTACGAAATCCGTCGCAAAATCCAATCCTGCTTCCCGCCGCAACACTCCATACAGACTTGATGAATCCAGAGGTCGTTCTTCTTTCCGCGCCTCCTTTAGGTGTGCCAACACTATCTCGCCAATGTGCAGCTTTGCGCCCACGTCTTCAGCGCACTTGACACCGTGACCGACGTCTTTCACCGCAAGATTCAGATCTGACCATGGTCGTTGCCCAGGTGGTGGGCAGTACGCTCCTAGGGTTAGGCGTTCTGACATGGTGTGCGCGAGAGGTCCAAAGTTCTGTTTGAGGAGCGTGGCGACTGCGTCGCTCGGGAGGGCCGCCTTTTCAGCAAAGACATGTGTCTCGGCTATGAGCTCCATCATGCCAGCTGTCATGAAGTTTCTATCCGGTCGGTCAGCCTTTGTACGTTAGACGGGCAAGGAAACATACCCCGCTGTCTTCAGGAGACTGCTTTGGCGGACATCCTCACCCAGACGGATCACGCCCCTGCCCATCACACCGGTTACATATGGCATGATCGACGCCACATCTGCGTTCGGCCCCGCGATCATGAACAGGAGCTGGGCCTTCTGAGCGACCGGACTGGCACCGAACACGGGCGAGGCAACAAAGGAAGCCCCTCTCTTTTTGAATAGGAGTTCTGCTCTGGCTGAAGAATCGGGGTGGACAGTTGACGTATCCACGACTACTTTGCCGTCAAGACTGCTTTCAGCGCGGAGAATAGCGCTGATTGTAGCCTCTAGAGCAGCATCATCACTTAGGGACATGAAAATGATGTGGGATTGGGCCACGACGTCCGGTACAGATGAGCACGATGTCGCACCGAGCTGGAGCAACGGATCGCCGCGGGACAGCGTGCGGTTAGTGAAGCTGAGAGGCTCCCCCGATGTTGACCGCAGATGTGTCTGGAGGTTCATAGCCATGGGAAGGCCCATGGACCCAAGGCCTGAGGCAGAATCGTGAGCAGTTTTTGATGGGCTAGTGAGAGCAGTGGACATACCTATCCAGCCAATTTTGGGCGCGGTCATCATGTGCTGGTATCTTTTGGTGACAGCGACATCGTCAGGGTCCTTACGAGTCTAGCATTTTTTGTCTTACTCGCACTACCGTGACTTTGAGGAAGTGGGGAGGGCAGTTCGAGTTTAGCGTTGGCGGGGTAGTAAGGCATTACGCAGGTACCCACGAGTCACGGGTAAATTGCAATCAATAATGGCGTGACCAATAGCCAGAGTTTTGAATCGTTCGCCATCGCACGTCATTTTGAATGCTCCAGTCCAGTCCAGAGAACATTGAGAACAGCGGAACCGATTGAACTCGGTGAAGTGTGTTGGGATGTCACTGTAAGTGACGAAAGAACTGCCCCGCGCCCCGATTTAAGTTAGGACCGGAAGCCCAGGACTATGCGATTACTTCATGAGGCTGAGGTCGTGCCTGTAAGATACAATACTAAAACTCAATTTGTTGCTTTCGCACCTTTACAGCCAAGCCACCACCAAACCACTTACTGAGATATAGAATGTATTGGTTCAGATTCAAGCTTGACGACCCACAATTCAAGTTGGCGCTACGAAAAAGGGTCCTTTGGGTATTAACTGGCGGTCATGACATAGGAGTGATACCACCCCTTCCTTTTATGGTTCATTCACTAGTGTCGAACTCGAATAAATCAAGACAAAAACAACTTGCTTGCCATTACGTATCGACAGCAAGTAACGTGCGCCCAACGCCAAACTTGCTAGATCCGCCATGCCATTCCTCGTGGGCGGGACTATTTGACATCCCCATCATAATCCATTGCTCGTTAATCATACATGTATCTTGTCGCGTCTTGTCATGATGTTCTCACACCATTGGCTAGAAAACAGCTACTCATACGCGATCGATGGTCCAGCGTGACTTGAGGCAGAACCGCAGCCTGGGCTAGGGCGGAAACCAATGCCAGAAGAAGAACGCGGACCAAGGCTAGAGCCCGGTATACAGCCAGATCCTGAAAGAGCGGTAGAAACCGAGCCAGCAGGGGAAGATGCGCTGAGCGCCAGGCCGGAAGCGGCATGCTTGATATACTCGTCGATGTGGCCGCACCCGCAGCCGGCATGCTCCAGGACCATGGACTTGAGCTGCAAAGTTTCCTCTTTCAGATGGGCAATCTCGTCCGCAAGCACGCGGTTCGCTGCGCGGGCGCACTCCTCCTTGTCCTTGAGCTTGCCGACTGACTCCCTCTTGCGTTCACGAAACTTGGCGGCGGCAACACGGTTCCGCGCTCGGAGATGGCTCTTGTCGCTACCGTGGTCAGAACTATCATCGGACTGCTTAGTGCTGTCTTTCCGTGAAGGAGTTTTTGACGCCTTTCGTACTTTTGCCGGAGAAGATTTCGTGTCGGCGGACGACTTTGCCCGGCTACGCCTGGGACGGCCACGCTTCTTGGGGGGCTGTGGTTGCGGCTGGTCCACATTCTTTGGTTCGATTGAATCGGCTGTAGATTGTGCGCTGTTGATGCCGTTGCCGCTCTCCGTCACCGATGGAGAGATGGCTAATGGAGATTTCGATTCCGGGTAACTTGGTTGCCCTTGGAGGTGGAGCATGGCTGGGTAGGGTGTTGGCTCGCTCTGCGGCATGAAGTCCATTGGAACCCCGGTTGAATGGAAGGGATCGGTGAACATGGTATCCGGGGAAGCATCGAATGGTAAGATACCGTCGTTGACTTCCATATTCGTGCCAAGAGGTTGATAGTCTGTCAATGGGTACGTGTATGCTGCTGTGGTCTCCATTACGGAGAGGATGTATGAGGGAGTATGTCGCGATCGAAATGTGAATCTGTCGAGTGAAGAGGTGCAATGGCTGTAGACATGTGACAAGGGGTAAAATGCTTGCTTTTGCTTCTCGGATAAGGTGTGTTAATTTGGTGAGGTTCGATTGTATTTTTGGCAGTGATCTCAATTGGAAGATTTATCAGGGGCCGAACGAGACAAATATATAAGAATAGATGGCTGTGATATGACAAAACCACCTGCAGGACAGCATACATCCACTTCTTGGGATGTCGATAACGAATTTTGGTAGGCACTCTATTTTACTGTCACAGATCGGCGGTTGAATACTCTGACCGTTAGACAGCTGGAGGCAACTGAGGACTAGATGAGGTGCCAACTGTGCTACGCACCAATCAGTAAGCCCGGACGGTCGCTGGATATGCTCCAGTCAAGTCCCTCCATCAGACGGCAGGGAGAATAGCGCTAACGGGAGAGTGACAGCAGATGCGGAGCTAAACTTTCGGCGCCGCGGCTCCAGTCGCTGTGCTCATGCGTGCCATTGCATCAGCCAGCTGCGCGGAGGAGGAGACGCAGGAGGTTTATCTCTGGAGGGGCTGGGCGTGGCGTTGAGTGACAACATGAAGCTGCGCAAACATTGTTTCCTACCACACTGGGTGTCTTAAGTCCCAACTCAATTCGCATGGCATGGTGCGATATTGACAGATCGTGGCGTCCTGTAGGTTGTGGTATACTGACTGTAGTACTGTACCATCCTAGTAATTAAGCGTGATCATTGGTCCATTAGACTGATATGGAAAGATCTACGTGGTTACACCACCTCTCCAAAGTCTACAGCCCCGCGGCAGAGAGCAGCATTTTAAAAATCGGAACACTGTGATGAATTGGCGTATCACAATGGACCTGATGATGTTTGTTCTTCACTCGCACACCCGGGGCTTGGACGTTTTGCTCCGCAATACGCTGCTTAGTCCCACCGGTGGCGATTTTGATGCCGTGCCTGGAGTGCCACAAGGCGCGCGCACGCATTCTGCTCATTGGCGAAAAATGTGTGTGCGGATGGGTTTTATCTGCAGCCAACTACATACTGTAGAGGGCGTAGGCCAAAGTTGCCGCGGAGATGATACTGATTAGTCCATCGAGGAAACAAGAACCTTTCTCACCCAAGTCTATGTGCGTAGGTCCGTACGTGCATACTGTGAAGGGACCCGCAGCCATTTGTGCTCTACTAATATTCTGGCATGCGATTGGTTGTTGACCTCCCACCGTTTGTTGACCTCCCGTCCCGCCTCCGGAGACTCAACTGCTGGAATACTGCATGTTCACAATGCTGAATTGCTGATCCAAGAATCGCATTGTCACATCATCTACTTAGTAATCTGGCGCAACGCCCCGCGCATGAGATCATGAGCGCAAAAAAGCCTCCGCCATCAAACGAGTCTACTTCATCCCGAGATCATTTGCGTTCTTGAGTATAAGTTTTTGAGATAAGCACTTTTATCTGACACTACTAACCCCCAGTGCCTGGAACCTGTGCGCGGGCGACGCTATGCATGCCTATGAGGCTGTGACAGGCCCCGCTCAGGTCCTTTCTTGAACACCCTGCTTGCCAAGTCTAGCCAGCCACCAGTGATAGGCACTTGCCGCGCCGGAGAGGGCTCCGGCGGTTCTGAATGGCTGATTCCATGGACGCCAGCCATGGACAGAGTACCTACAGTCGCATCCACGCACCACGAGGTTCACCAATGTCACCACCAGATTTATGACGGTGAGAAATCACCAAGCAGACATTGAAAGAGGAAAAATGCAGCCATTTTGAAAACATGAAATCACAGAATTTAGCTCAAATGAACGCGTCAGCACAATTTCTGGAATTTTGAAATCCTACGCATCACTTACGGCGAATCCGACTGACTAATGTAAATTTACCAATCTGCACAACTTGTGAGATGAAGTGGAAAAATACTAACGTGTCTTCTCAGGGCATGCTGTATTGGCCGAAGCGCTTGGCTGACGACACCCGCATCGAGAGATTGTCCTCTTGGACCAGTCTCGAGATTCTCTTGAGTACATATTCTTGACCTCTAGGGCCCACTGGTGCAGGGCGCTTGGATGGAAGCCTAGCGAAGACTCCTATGGGCCGTACCGCCCTCTGAATCATGCCGCGCTGTATTACCAAATTGCACTATACAAACGTGCTGATGGTAAGGCAAATATTGATGTTGATGGAAGCTGCTTGAGTATAAGTGGAAAGTCCTGCCTCTCGACGAGGCTTTGTTCTCGACGTATGTGGAGGATTTGGTCACCCACGACCTTTCGGCACCAGTGAATCTTGTTGTGCGACAGTCCGAATATGGCACTGTCACTGCGAGGAATGTTGCTCGCTGGATCCGCTTGCAATGTATTACAAACCGACGGCAAGCTGCGATCCGGCACGGGTGGACGTCACTCTGGAAGAGGGGGGACTTGGGGGCATGAAGGACGTGGGATCTCTCGGAGGCCAATGTACTCCTCATGATTGTGACTTCTTCCCAGAACCCAGTCTCTGTCGCCAGTGAGCGCGGGTGCATGGTCATCTCCGCAATGATGCTGCATCGTACCCCCCAGACTCTCGTACATTGGTCATCGCGAGCAGTCGAGGACTCCATACGTTCTGCGCTACCGTAAAGAGAGACGGACTGCGTAAGTGAACGGGGTATCACGTCCGGACAATCATGTAGTATTCGGATTGGCGCATTGAGTGAAATGTCCAGGCAGCCAGGATCAAACATTTGCCCCTGTCTACATGAACGTTGCGTGGGACTCCAATGGGGGGCAAAACGGGACTGATACGGTGCCAACGTTGGCCATTCGACATTAACCATGCGTGTACGTATTCTCCTTTCGTGAACCTTCAGGCTCCCACCGTTCCAGCCCAGAGTGAAGCCTCAATAGGAGACGCATTCCCTTTGTCCCGCAAGTCCACCAACCCTCACACCCAGCATCGGTGACCCAACATGAGATAAAAGTCCTAGAAATTGCTTGTCCAGCTTGCTGGCATGGAATTCTTTCGCTCAAGATCCCGCGAGCTCGAGACCTGGGCCGAAACCCTTCGACTGTCCTCGGCGCTTCAGCAGTGGGTGTGTAGTCCATTCCCCCCCTTTTGTCATGCGCTCTACTTGTGTGGAAGCTAATTTGACTTTCAACAGCCTAGTAGAATGTGAGCAGTCAATTTCGAGATCAAGTCCAATTTCGACTGGATGCTACCTACCGTTCGTCATGAGGCACCGAAGCACAGCATCCCGCCCACCCTGTCAGTTTCGATTCGCAGAGAAGTTGCACTCGACGTTTCCTTCAGATGCCTCGCTCGCAGATAAACGATTATCAACTATGAGCCGGCATCCTATCGACGACGAATTATACCGGATCCCCTAAAAAGTAACAGCGGAAGACTGAAGTCGTCGGCAAGTCGCCTGCCAGTGGGGTGTCAGAATAAAGCAGTTGCCCTCCACACGCGTGCAGTCACCTGCTGACCGTTAAAATCTGTCCACTGGTTTCCCGCGGACAGATGTGGAGTTTTCCGAGATAGAGTCCCTTCGAAGTGCCAACATCGAAGATTGTGTCACCGCGATTTCAGTTGACCACAACCACGGCTCGAATTCTAGCCTCCGTGAACAATGTCTCTGCGCACACTCACACGCATTTCAGCCTCATCTGTCGCGCGAACAGTCCAACGATGCACCTTTGCGACAACCTCGCCCGCCGAGGCCCCCCTCCAGAAACGCGCCGTCGTCGGCAGTTTTCTGTTCCGTCGACATGAGGATGGCAGGCTGAGAGTTGCTCTCTTCAAGAGAAGCGACAAGGTGAATACATATCAGTGAGCTCCCGACGGCCCTTTATCTCAAATCTCATAGACAAGCTAACGGGCGCCAAAGGCACAAGTACGCGGCCATCTCTGGGGGAGTGGAGGCGGAGGACGAGTCCACGCTGAGTGCAGCGTTACGGGAACTGCATGAAGAGACAAAACTCTCCGAGGCCTCGCTGCATTATCTCTGCCACGGGCAGCCGTATTCTTTTGTCGACAACAAATTCAACTACGAGTGGAGCGTGCATCCATTCGCCTTTCAGTGGCCATCATTGAGCACGGAGCCTCTGACTTTGGGCTGGGAGCATGAGGGCCACGCATGGTTCGAGCCCTCGGAGGTGCCTGAGTCCGAGGTGGCGGCTGGCGTCGTGGAATCATTGCGTCGCGTCTGGCCAGAGGGCGACCTGGGGAGGATCGGGGTGCTTACCAGATACTGTCTAGGAGAGGCGGCGGGAAAGCAGACGGGCGAGGACGCGCGACGCGATCCCCACGAAGCTTTCACCGCCTTTCGCGAGACGGTCGGGGAGATTACAAGCTCTGACTCGGCGCAGTGGCGACGCTATGTGCGACTGGCTGCATGGCATATCTGGAACCACGCGGACCGCAGCGTAAAGGCGCCGCTGCTGACGAGGCTGCTCCCGGGTCTGGAGCTGATAGAAACGTTGCTGGAGCCGCAGCGCGTGGAACTTGCGCCGCAGTTTGAGAAGCTAGCAGCCATGGCACTGGAGAACGTGCAGCCGCAGAAGGAGATGGTGGGCCAGGGCGCGATGAGTGAGGAAGACATTCAGTACTTGACGAAAGAGGCGGATCGCTTCTTCTCAGGACTGTGGCCCACGCCTGAGTAGTGTGCAGGTTGTATGTATTACTATTACTATCGACAACGGTGGTCCGGTCCATCATCGAGGGAATTGTTGACCTCCGAAAGACCAGTCGTGCTCCATCCACGACAGCACGTCATCCTGCAAGGACACAACGTCCCCTCCAGCCACGTGGGCAGACATATCTGGTGTGTCCCACGTCGTGTTCTGAATGAGGTGCTGCTCAAAAGCCTGCTCGATCTCCATGGCTGTTTGCGCCCCTCTGCGCTTCGCCATGAGCATGTGCAGCTCTCTCAGCGCGTTGGCGCAGTTCAGGCCGTAGGTATTGCCCGTCTGCGCCTCCCGATCGAAGAGCTCCACGGCAAAGTCCACCTCGCGCGCCGTGTTGTGATCCTCATTCCCCAGCAGGCTCTGCAGCATGAAGCACAGGACTGCGCTGAACACAAAGTGGAGGCCGGCGTGGAGGAGTCGTCGCGGTCGGTGCAGTGTTGCAATGTGACGGGCCAGGCGCATGTTGCGGAGGGCAGCGGCTATGCAGGACTCCCACTGCGGTGCGTGCGAGGGACTCTGTGAACCATTGTTGGAGAGTGCGGATCGCACGGCTTTGAGGAGGGCCGGACGATGGATCATGATGACCAAGTCGTTGGCGTGCATGTGCAGGGCGCAAGTGGCAGGGTCGTTGCTGACGCCTTCAGGGTTGAGGTGAAGGCTCGCAGGAATTTTTTGGTGCCACTGCTCGAGGAGAAATGTCGCCTTGTCCCGGATGGAAGCTGAGGTGTCCGCATTTTCGCGCGTGGCAGCAATGCGATAGAGATGGCAGGTGATGTAGTCCGAAATCCGCGCAAGCTCGACGTTGGCATGCAGTCCGGCTGACGGAGGCATGTTCCTACTTCATGTGAGCCTGCGAGTGGCATGTATTTGGTATAAAGATGGAACTTACTGCGAGTCAGCTGGCAAAGGCAGCATCAAAGCTTCGTCCTGGATAGCTGTGGGACGCCCAAGGAGACAGCTCACCCATCTATCCAGAACGTACAATGTCCAGAAAATTCGTTTCCCTCTCTCGTCAACATTGCCTCTGTGAGCGCCAGCGCCAAAGGCCACACGGGAGGCGACACCAATGTACACATACGCCGCTTCCACTCGATCCGACTCGAGCAAGTAGTACGCCATCATGGTAAGAACAGACACTTCACCCATTGAGCAGCGAGTCACATCGAGGGGATTTCCCAGCAGTGTCGTTGCTCGCGCAAAGAAGGGCTCGCTCCTGTCATGCGAGAATCCAGACGCGGATGGCTTTGTCGAGGCAATGCGGCATGCCAGTGCCAGTCCCGTCTGGTAGAAGGCTAGCCGACGAGCGCTCCTCGTGTCTGTCTCCACGTTGCCGCTGGACGTGGGTATCGACGGCATGGAGGTGAGATTACCAAACCAATACAGCCCACCACTGGGCGATGCCTGCTCATCTGCGCCGTCTTGTAGGAAAGAGCGCAAGACGGACAGCATGATACGGGTCGTGTTGGGCGGTGGAAGCCACAAGGGATTGGCTTCAGGCGCCGGTAATGGGCGCGAGTCGGCGGTCTGGCACTGCCCTATAGTTGAAGGTACGGTGCTGGCTTCTCCCAGGGGTAGCAGCCCTCTCAAGAAGGACTTGAGCTCCTCTGTGAAAGCCTTCTCGCCCGTCTCGCCGTGGAAACGGGGAGTGCCGACTCCATCGTGCAACAGATGACCTTCAATCGCAAACGGTGAAGCTGGCTCCTCTTCGGTGGTCCCCGTGGTCTCCGTCTGTACGGGGCTGAGAGGCTGGTGACCGTACGCACCGGTCCGCGATGCGGGAGAAGACCCCCTAGTCATTGGTGTAAGGGAACCGGCTTGAGAGCCGAGTAGTTCCCTGCGCTTCTCAGCATCGGGAATGATGTCTTTGAATGCTCTTTCGTATGCTTCCACGCGATGACGAAGATCTTCGAGCTCAGCCTTGGAGACGGATACTTTGGGTGAGACCACTGGGTACACGCATTCACGGGATGCAGGTGCGCATTGTGTGCAGGGCTGATCACCCGAGCATTTTGTCCGTCTGAGGTTGCAGCTGTTGCATCTGTCCTGTTGATCAGCCATGGTGCACAGCTACGATAAGAGGGCGCGGGCAGCCTGGTCTAGACGTACGCTGTGGCGACACGCTTTCGGTGCTCGGGGGGAACCTTATGTCGTCTGGGGTTGACAGGCAGTCGTTGCGAGGACTTGCCCGAGTCCTTGTGGGAGGGCTGCATGGTGTCGTCTGCTGTTGCGTAATGTCGTTGATCGCCACTAACCAGTGGTCAGATGTGCGGCAGCAGAATATCTTGGTGCGAAGTGTGCAAGACCGAGATGAGTTCCCGAGTATCAAAAAGACAAGATACAACCAAGCGCTCATTGTGGTAGCCTTGTGGTTCCGCAGGGCCAGCCAGCTATGTATGTGCGATCTCATCAAAGGACACCCCAGTCTTGTTGACGATGAGCTCACAGCTCAGGTACCGGCTTAATCCCCCCACGACTGGATCTGAATCCATCTTCGTCATGACCTGCATGGAGACCACGACGACTTCCAGCCGAAAGAGAGCGACGGACCCTGTCGACAAAGGAACCATTGTGGAAGCGTCGTTACCCCTGGGCCGAGGGACAAGGGGGTATCATGGGTCAAGCAGTGAGGCTCCGGGCGGTTCAAGCTGATTGCAGAGAGGCAAACAGGCAATCGCGCGTACTTTGTAAGCCTAATTTCTTCAGCCTATGCTTGAAGCAAAGAAGAACGTGGGCCCCTGCTGGGGGATGATGAGGTCCTTGGTCTTGGCGCAGCGCCCACACCCGGGTCGGTCCCTTTGGGCTTAGCGGATGCCCGCAGGCACCCCCGCATGCCGCCTGTTGTGCTACGAACTTTCAACTGTCCACGTACGCGTCGTCGCGGCTTCGTCACGGTCTTGCGTCCTCTCTCCTGCAGGCAGGTCTACCCTACATGTCTGGGCGCCTCATGTTGTTTCATTGTGTCAGGATCGAATCCATTTGGGGGTGCCTGGATAGAGGGCCAACTGCTGCTCATCTCGTCGGAACACGTTGCACAGCGTCAACAACCTCCCTAATTATGGGGAGCTGATCCGCTGGCGATTCATATGCGCTCATGATCAGCGAACATGGCTTGAAAGTTGAAAGTGAAGGTGTCGTTGCCGCGACGCTCTCACCACCAGCACGATCGCAAACGATATACATGCTTTTCAATTCTCCGTCTGGTGTTGACTCACTCCAGTCTGCAACTGCAGGGTTCCGACACGATCATAAGGTATCCGTAGCTCTTGTGTTTTAGACGCCATGGCCTCATTGTACACACGAGCTAATGCCCTGACCAAGACCTTTTGAAATCGCGACAGCCAGGGCCTCGGACCATCTCTCCTCCATATCTTCACAACATCCAGCCCCTTCCAATCATGGCTTGTGTGCAAAGATAGAATCCACAATTTCGGCAGAACGCGTCGCAAGAACTGACAATAGGGTATCCGACAGCTAATAAGATAACGTTGTCAGCATTACGCGTGTCCCACGGGGTGCTCATCCGAGCGGGCGAATCAAGGGCCAAGACTTACTCCATGCGTTCCTTCACAACAACCCTGCAACCAGACACCAGACCCGTCCGCGACAGTCCCGGGGAGGAACTTGACCTGGTAGTCGCGGCCGACAGCAATTGTTCGCTCGCCATCCTCCGTGTCCACGTTCCAGCCTGCGATGCCCTTGCGGTACTCGACATTGCTGGGCAGCGCCTTGGGCAGCAGATCCCACGCGCCGCGCAGCATGTCGACGTGCGCACCCCTCTTGTAGCCCGTCGCGGCGATCACGAGGTCAGCCTCGAAATGCTCCTCGACACCGACAAAGCCTTCTGGGGTGATTTCCTCGAGACTCTGGACATGCAGGTCGACCCGGCCATCCGCGAGAGGCTCGATGCTGCGAATCTGCCGCCCACCGAGGATCCGATGCGGCCAGACCTTGTCGTCTCGTCCTAGCTCACGGCGCTGCTCATACTGGCGCTCGTATAGGTCCTCGATAAGCTCGAGGCGGACCACGCCATAGTTGGTGCCGCGCGCTTCGGCCAACAAGTTGTTACGGTGCTTGGCTGAACGGGGAAATATGTCTTCAATATACTCGGGATTGAAGACGCAATTGACGCTGTCGGTTAGCTGGATCTCTAAAGGACAAAAGGGGTGCCTCCACTGCTTACAATGGTGAGTCGTCACTTGGACGCAGAAACTCCTGCCTCATGAGCAGCCGTGTGTGCGAGTTGGGAAACTTGTTCTGCAGGTCCCTGAAGATCTCGGCCGCGCTTTGCCCAGCACCAACGACGGCCACGCGGTACGGGGCGTTGGGGTTGCTGAGGATTTGTTTCACGACGTTGGCGTATTGTGACGAGTGAATCACGCGTGGGTGCTTCTGAGGAAAGCTCTTGGGCAGAGACGGCGCACCGCCGGTCGCAAACACCACGTTCCTCCCGCGGAATGAGCACACTTGGCCTGTCTCGACATTGCGAGACTGGACTGTGAAATTCTTGACGCTCTTGGCCCCCGAGTCTGGCGAGACGGAGATGACCTCATTGCTGTACCGCACCACTTGTTCAAAGAAAGAGGCGGCCCAGCGCATGTAGTCCTCGTACTCGGCACGCGCCGGTAGGAACGTGCCCAAGTTTGTGAAATCGACCAGACGGCCTTGACGGTGGAGATAATTCATAAACGTGAATTCTGAACGGGGATCCCTCATTGTAGCGAGGTCCTTGACGAACGAGATCTGCATCTTGGCGCCAGGCAGGAGCATGCCCGTGTGCCAGGCAAACGTAGACTGCTTCTCTATGAACAGAACGCGAGGCGCGGTGCCATCTGGCCGAAGCTGTTTGCCCGCAGCAATGGAGTCGTGGAGGGCCACGGCAATGGCGAGGCTCGCAGGCCCAAACCCGACGCAGATGAGGTCATGCTCGCTCTCAGGGTCGGTGTCGATCAGGTGTGGCGACCTCTCGCGGTACTGAGGTTTCCCGTCAGAACCTTGGCTCACGGGCGTTGAGAGACGGGTGCTTGAAGCTCCACTAGCACCATTGGCGTGGGCATCGTGGGCGGTGCTGTCGCCATTCGTGTAAGAGCCGCTCATGGCGCGGTAGTCCATGCTATCGCTGTCAAAGGTGTCCTCAGCATGTGGTGACATGTTTTGTTCAGGTAGCTTGTCCAAATCGCTGGATGCTATCCCTCGAGACCGCGTGTATATATATTTACACAGAGGTATTGCTTCAACGCGTGTAAACGATGGCGTCAATGACGGGATAGTGGGGGTGCTATTCCTTGTGCGTGGGTGGTGCCAATTCTGGGAGTCGGGACTGAGACAGTGCTAGCCTTACTAAGGCCGATCAACAAGAGCCCGTCGATTTGAGACTGATGCGTACGTGAGAAAGTTGGTAGGATCTGGAGAAGTGTGAGATTCCTGGGGATGGCGCTTCTAATATTCTTCAGAGACTGGACTGAGAAGTGTTAGACCCATTGGTTCACAGGGGGTGAATTATAGTGCAAGACTCCGTCATGTACCAAAAGTACTTATACGTACCTTGGTATAATAAACCTCCACAGCCTTCCCGCTCTAGCAATTTGACCCGTTACGACATGAGGCACACCGTAGCAGCGTCCTTTGGTTCCTTCTGCCGCACGTCCCCTGGTCATGCAGATTCTAGTCTGGCCCGGTCCCTTGCGCCATTATGAGACTGGAGAAATGCGAGGCAGAGGCGGCACAATTGCAGCCTGTACGTAATGGGGGGAAGTCCATGTTGAGCCATTAGTGGACAGCCACCTGCTCAGTGTGCCGAAGGTAAACCCTAGTGCAGTTCCGCAAATGCCCGTCACTGGTTGCTTCAGGGTCTCAAGGTACCCGCCCCGGCAGTGGTGAGAATGAGTTGAGGCAAATGACGATCCCCACAGTCGACTCAGATGCCGATACGTAGTGGCCAGTCGGCAGTCTATAAATGCTTGTGCTTCCCCGTGTCGGCTAAGAAACATTCACTACCAACTAACCTCACAAATCTCAGGGGCTCAAGCGACTCTAAAATCAGAAAGCTGCTCGACCTCGCTGCGCTCGCATTACACCGTGCAGTAGCCCCGGCCTCGTGGCCATGTCGAGCCGAGATGGCTACTTAGTCTTGCAGATCCCATGTCCACTTGCCGTGTGCACCCAAATCTAATGTTGATCTGATAAGATGGTGTCAGCAATTAGAAGAAACCCCACTGTAGTTTGCAGAAGCATCGGCTGTTCAGCTGCCCCGATCTCGCAAATCCTATACACCAATGCAGGAGAAGTAGGGTCAGACCTAGCTCGTCTCATTTCACCATCGGACTTCACAAGCCACCAGCGTCACTGCGAAGCCGCCACCAACCAGCGGCCACCCACGCACATCAGCAGCTGTTGTACAACCAAGTCCTTGACGTAGGAGGCCCTGGCAACGAAGAGCTGATCTGCCGATTCAATGCAGGGCTTGACGATGTGGTTCGATACTTGAGGCATTTTCCTGATTGATTAGATGATCTGATAAGATAAATTTTGCTCTGCAGTGGGGTATGGACAGGGGGTCTTTGTCCGCTCCTCGTCTGACCCTCGTCTTCATTCGCTCCTGCCCACCTTCTAGATCTGTATCGGGTCCATTGACTCCAGTCGCTGCTCTTCGCGGGAGGTGCTCTACCTTTGCCCCTGCCGCCTTTGTTTCGTCCTTCTCGGGGTCCCACTGCACGAGAAAAATTTGCGTCCCGTATGACCCCGTCAAGGTCTGCTGGATCATGACTCCATCGTGCACATGGCGCGAGAAACGGAGCCGCTCTAATCAACCGCCGATGCTCGGCATGCCAATAATACAGACACTGAATCCATCACCAGTCCTACCGGGGAATGGAAATCGCAGCGTCGGAGAGCTTGCGCGCACACGGGAAAGCATGATGCCGCAAATCTCTTCATGACGTTAAAGCAGCAGCTACTACTTTAAGACAGCACGAGAAAGTACCCGTTGGGGCCACCGTTAGGGGCCAATTTCTCACTTCCAGCCTGCAACGCCAACAGTGGTCCCTTGGGGGGCATGGCGCGCAGCCTCCCCCACACATCGTGGGCATCTCTTGAGCTGAGAGGAGGGCGCTTCGCTCTCCACCAGAGTAGCTTCCATGCCCATGCCCGATATACGCTGCATCGCTGCCCTGAACAGACGTAAAATACCCGCCGTCTCCAGACGCCGGCGTGAACGCTACAGGTGCTGCCAGGCTGGACCACCAAGCTGTTTGTTGGGTCTTTAGGGTGAAGGACTGCCTGTGACTACGTAGCTTCGATCCGGTACCCAGAGTCCCAGACCGACGTGGTATGGCCGCGCTTGGCGGGTGCTCCGTCGACACAGCATTTACAGTCTTTTGCTCCCCTCGCGATGCCACGAATGTCCGCTTTCTCACTGAAAGAGGTGACAGCCGGATCTGAACATTGACACGGACGCGACTACTATTTGCATTCCGCCTCGACGTTGAGTGGTGACGCCATATATTGAACACGCTCCATTTTCGGTCAAAGCGGCCACATCCGCAGCTTCACACGACACCTTAGAGATCTTCACAAGCATTCCGCGCGCGATCCACGCCACGGATTATTCAAAGCCACCACGAACTCTAAAGGACTAACGCACGCTACGCTGTAAAAGCAAAGAGCAGACGAATGGGCACAGGCGACCATATTCACACCAGCACACTTGCCAGTCTTGCCGCTGGACTCCGCTCCCGCGAATCCATAGCTGAGTAATTGCTGCACTCTGACAGGCTGGAGCTCTGTTCACAAGACAGATACCAGTGCCTCATACAGCCTGGCTTTGACAAAGAACCACACACGTTTCTTGCAAAAGAATCATCGCTGCTACCATTGGCCGACCACTTGCAGCTTGCGCCGCTTAATAGCCCTTTTTTGGCAAATTGTTGCTTTGGGTTGGATGTTGCTGGCACTAGCTGCATGATACATCATACTCTTCTCGGCTGGCTCACTGGCAATGGTCTATAAGATATATTCGGCCTCTTGTGTTGCGTATCGGGTGTGTCCGAGTATCTCTTCTTGTTTGCGGGAGCTTTCATCCTCACATTATGGACTCGTCTGAGATGTTATCGATTATCAACCCTCAGCCGGCGAAGCTGCCTGGACCAGCCCTTCTACATGAGCTTGTTGCCGGTCCTTCAAGCTCACCAGCTTTAGACCATCTCCGAGGGTCAGTTCGAACGTCCTTCACATACGACGAACTACACGCTGTTTCCGATACCATCGCAGTCAAGCTATCGAGTGTTGTCCGGAATCGCGATGCTCCCTTTGTGGTCCCGATCCTGATGAGGCAGTCGCCTATCTTGTACGCTAGTCTTCTGGGTATCCTCAAAGCCGGTGCAGCATTCTGTCCCTTGAATCTCGACGCGCCACCGGAGCGAGTGTCCTTTATCCTCCAGGATGTCTCTGCAGCAGTGGTTCTCGTGGAAGAAGATCTAGCCGCCAGGATGCCGGAAGGGGTAGAGGCAGATATAATGGCAATACAGTGGAAGTCTGACAAGCCCGCTATATCCGAAAATTCACCGAAAGTCGCCACGACGGACCTCGCCTATGTCATGTACACCTCGGGGTCTACAGGGACGCCCAAAGGTGTTGGCTTATCGCACGGCGCCGCCACTCAAGCACTGTTTGCGCATGAACGACATATACCCCTATTCAAGCGATTTCTTCAGTTTGCCGCCCCGACCTTCGATGTCTCGGTCTTTGAAATTTTCTTCCCATTGGCTAGGGGACGCACTTTGGTCAGCGTGGAGCGTGGCCAGTTGCTCGATGACCTAGCAGCCGCCATCAGAGAAACCAATGTTGATGCATGCGAGCTCACACCAACTGTGGCGGGGAGCCTGTTGCGGTCTCGAGATGCCGTGCCTGAACTCAAGCTTTTGCTGACCATTGGTGAAATGCTCACCGAGCCAGTCATCCATGAATTTGGAGGACGCGAGGGGCGAGAGAGCATTCTTTGGGCAATGTATGGCCCGACGGAAGCGACTATTCATTGGTACGTCTATGGCAGCGGATGACAACTTGGTAGTCAGCTAACATGGCTCAGTACTCTTCAACCGGCTATGCAAGCCGCATCGACCGTTCGAAATATTGGGTTTCCACTCGACACCGTCTCTGCATTTGTCATCCAACCAGCGGAATCTGGTGAGGAAGTTTTGAGGATCTTGCCGTTGGGTGAGGTTGGAGAGCTGGCAGTAGGTGGCCATCAGCTGGCCGAGGGCTATCTGGATCGGCCAACACAAACAGCCGCTGCTTTCATCGAAACCCCCTATGGTCGTCTCTACAGGACCGGGGATAAAGCAAGAGTCTTGTCGGACGGCACTCTCGAGTGTCTGGGTCGGTTATCCGAAGGGCAAGTCAAGCTTCGCGGCCAGAGACTGGAGATCAACGAGGTACAGCAAGCCATTCTACGTGTGAAATCGTGTCATGGTGCTGTTGTCGCCGTTCACGAGTCCACATTGGTCGCATTTTGCGCCACGGACCCGGGTGTACTGGAAGACGTCATCCGGGACGAGTGCAAGAAGTGGTTGCCTCAGTTCATGATCCCAGGCGTCTTCGTGATGAGCGACTCTTTCCCCAAGCTCCCGAGTGGAAAGGTGAACAAGAGGAAGCTGCTTGGTGATTACGCGACAAGCCTATCGGCGAACACAAACTCTGGAGAAGAGCATGGCATTCCGGAGTCGTTTATGAGTGCCTTTGCAGATGTCTTGGGCTCACATGTTGAAGCACACTCAATACTTCCAGCAGCAGGTCTGGACTCACTTTCTGCGATTCGCATAGCTTCTTCCTTGGGAGCTATTGGGTATCCAACGCCAGCGGCATCTCTGCTCAAGTGCAAGAGTGTTGCACATGCTTGGCGTCTGGTACAGACATCAGATGGGGGGCTAGAGTCCGTTCCAAAAGACTCTCAGAGAAGCTTGTTCCATCGCTTGGATGATGTACTGGCGCAAAATCCTGATACTGATGTCGCCAAATTTGCGATATCAGATATTCTCCCCTGCTCAGCTTTGCAAACTGCCATGCTAGCCGAGACAGTCGGACGGCCTGGCCTGTACTGGAACGAGCTCGAGCTCGATGTGGCAGACAGTGTCTCCCGAGTGGCAGCAGCTTTCACGAAGATACTAGAACAAACAGCCATACTTCGAGGAATATTCGTCTTGCTAGATGGCAACTTTGTTTGCCTTGTCAAGCAAGATGTTGATGAGGAGCAGATCAAGATTGTTGATTGCCAGTCACACTTTTCACTTAGGCAGACAATCGCCGATCCAACCTTTCAGGTTCAACTCTGTGACAATGATCATGGCGGGACCAGGGTATGCATCCTTGCTCATCATGCCATCTATGATGGCTGGTCTATGGATATCATACTCGCCGACATCAACCGACTTCTCAGTGGCCAGTCTATACCGAAGCGAACCCCCTTTGCTGAGGTTGTCGCCGTGCAGCGATGGCTGGCTTCCTCGTCTGCCGCTGACCGATCAGGCGCATACTGGGCAGCACATTTACAAGGATTGACCAAGGATTCTTTTCCAGTGCTCGTCGATCGCTTAGGAGGCCAGCCTGATCCGATCGTTATCGCAGATCAAGTGGAGATTCCATACTCTGAGGTTCACGCAGTCTCGAAAGCTCTGGGCTGCAGCATGCAAGCCCTATTTCAAGCAGCTCTATACGTCGTGTGGGCCGGTATACTTGGCAGCGCTGATGTTGTCCTTGGCGCGGTGTCCTCAGGCCGGTCCTTGCCAATGGGCGGTATCGAAGAAACCATCGGCCCTTGCATCGCTGCATTGCCTCTGCGCGTCGACTTTGAGAGGTTTCCCGGAACCGAGCAATTGCTACGCCACATTCACTCCTGCAATCGGGCCATGCTTGAGCATTCGATTGTCCCACTGGGCGAAATCAGGAAGATGATGGGTTTGCGCGCCAGTCAAACGGTCTACGATCTCCTATTCGTATACCAGCAGTCTTCGGAATCCGAGAGCAAGCGACGCAGTCTACTAAATGAAACTCGGCGCTTGGATCGACTGGAAACCCCATTCCTGTTCGAGGTTGAGCCGAACGACACGTCCTTCTCGATTCAGATCACATATCATCCAGACTGTGCTCGAGTTGACATGATGAGAATGCTTTTACAGCAATTCAACCTGGCCTTTGGGCACCTTGTTGAGCAACCACACTGCACACTGGCTGATATGCGTCGGGCACTGAACCCAGTACCGGCCCTGTATAATATTTCGCCAGTCCCGCTTGAAGGCACGTTGGACTTGGCAGCCATGTTTGAGCAAGTTGTTGAAAAAAGCTCCGATAGGGATGCTCTTTCCTTCACTGAGCCAGGGCACGAGTCTCCATTTGCCAAGACGACAGTGACTTATCAAGAGTTGAACGTACTGAGCAACAGAATTGCGCATTTTCTGCTCAGTCAAGGCGTTGGTGCCAATCAAATCGTTGGTGTCATTCTTGAAAAGTCTATATTCCTCTATGCAACTATCCTGGCCGTCCTCAAGACTGGCTGTGCATACCTGCCTTTGCTACCATCGACTCCAGCTGATCGGGTGGAAGACATACTGCGCCTGGCAAAAGTGCGGCACTGCGCGGTGGACACGGCCTCTGTCCGATTGTTTGGACATTTGGGAGAAGCTCGACTCGTTGACGTGGAGCGCGCGCCTCTGGACGACTTTCAATCCTGTAACCTGGGCATTCCACATGACCGCGACCGCCTGGCGTATGTCATCTTCACTTCAGGTACTACCGGAACACCCAAGGGAGTGGCAGTAACCCACGGTAACATCGTGAGCAACGTCGACTATCTCTCTGGGGTATACCCAGTCCAGCGAGGAGTTCAATCAAACTTTCTCCAGGCATGCTCTCAGGCTTTCGATGTTTCGGTGTTTGAGATCTTCTTTGCTTGGAAAACTGGCATGTGCCTCTGCACCAGCGTCAATGACACGCTGTTTGCCGATCTCGCACTAATGATCAATGAGCTTTCCATTACGCATCTCAGCTTGACACCGACTGTAGCTTCTCTCATCAGTCGTGAAACATGCCCAGGTGTGGAGTTCCTAGTCACCGCGGGAGAGCCCTTGACACGCAGTGTGTTGGAGCAATGGGGTGATATACTTTGGCAAGGGTATGGCCCGTCAGAGACGACCAACATCTGCAGCGTCAAACAGATGCAAACCGACATGGTGGTGGACCATCTCGGATGGGTATTCCCAAACACTTCCGTCATGGTGATGGCCATAGGGAGCCTTGAGCCCGTGCCAGTCGGATGGGTTGGTGAATTCTGCTATGGCGGCGACCAAGTGGCACAGGGCTACCTTAACATGCCAGAACTCACGGCAGAGAAATTCCTCCAAGATTCCCGCTTCGGACGGATATATCGCTCAGGGGACATGGGCCGTATGCTCCCTGACGGCTCGCTGGTCATACTAGGCCGCATTGACGATCAGCTCAAGTTGCGTGGGCAGCGCATCGAAGCGGCCGAGATCAACAACATCATCGTGTCCACGCCCTGGGCATCATCTGCGATTGTCATATTAGGGAGAAGATCTCCGGACATGCCAGAACAATTGGTCGCTTTCTACGTGCCAGCTGAGCATGTCAGTGGCGATGGACTGTTGGATGTCGATCACGAGGCCAGTGCGGGTCTATACAGTCTCATGCAGTCCAAGCTGCCTTCTTACATGGTCCCTTCTTACCTGATTCCTCTCGCCCGCATTCCCATGACGAGGAGCGGCAAAATAAACAAAAAGCATCTTCAAGTTTGGTTCCAGGATTTGCCATCAAGGTATCTGGAGGCTGCTGTGCCACAAGCGACCCTGACTGAAGACGGAAGCAAGTGGTCCACGATGGAATCGGATCTTCATACCGCCCTCATACAGTCATTGGAGATCTCTGCAACCGAAGCCAACCGATGGACACCTTTTGCCAACCTAGGCATCGATTCCGTATCTGCCATTCGTCTCGCACGCGACTTGAGCATTTCGCTGAATTGCAGAGTGGCAGTTTCGTCCATCATCCGAAACCCCAGCATTGCGCAGCTTGCGCGTCATCTCGGTGAACAAGATTTCGAAAAGGCTGTGGTAGTTGGCCAGAAGACGTTGCTGCCTCAATCTTGCGTAGAGAAACTGCGGCATTCATTCCTCTCTCAAGACAAGGCAGTAGCTTCCATTCTGCCATGTACGCCTCTGCAAGCAGCCTTGTTATCGCGGGGTGGTCGCAACTACTACAACAAGGTCCTCTTGCGGCTCAAGATTGACGCCTCGAGAATGCAGACATTCTGGAACTGCATGAGTGAAAGGCACGAAATTCTCAGAACTTGCTTCGCCACGACAGAGGACGCGGATCACTCCATCGCCCAAGTGGTTCTTCGAGAATGGAGCATTCCCTGGCAGCAATTCGATGCAACGACTCCTTCATTCGAGAAAATCATTCAGTCACATTTGGAGCGACTGCCGGACCCGGTCAATGCCATGACACCACCTGTTTCTTTAGCTTTGATTCGGCGTGGCACATCATCGTTTCTATCGTTCATATGCCATCATTCTCTTTATGATGGCGTCGCCATTGATATTCTATGGCGCGAAGTCGAGTCACTCGCTGCGGGCGAACAACTGCTACCAGCAGTACCTTACGAACCTCTTCTACAAGAGATGGCCAACCTGCCTGCCAATACTGAAGCATTTTGGAAGAAACACTTCCACGATTTTGTCCCCTCATATGCCTTTCCCTCCACTGCAGGCGAGACCACAGACCAGGCATTGGTTACTAAATCTGTACGTACGTCACTGGAAACACTCAACCATCGCTTGAAAGGTCTTGGGGTGTCTATGCTTGCGGCATGCCAGGCGGCATGGGCTGTGACTCTCTCCATATCATACAGATCCACAGATATATGCTTTGGTAACGTCAACAGTGGCCGAACTGCCGATGTCGACGGCATTGAAAGACTGGTCGCGCCCTCTTTCAACACCATTCCGCTGCGAGTGGACTTATCAACGGTCTCGCACGGCCAGTCGCTCCTTGAATATTTCCACCAACTCAGTTCTGATGTGTTCCCTTATCAGTTCACTCCACTTCGTCTTGTACAGAAGATCGTTGGTTGCCAGGGCGTCGGCCTGTTCGAGACGTTGCTCCTCCTTCAGCAACCCCTTCACCCTATGGACGATCGCGTCTGGATCCTTGAGGAAGACAAGGGCACTATGGATTTGCCAGTGGTCTGCGAAATAGTCCCTTGTCCGTCCTTGGATTCACTGGTCGTTGATTTACACTACGACATGAACTTTATTGATCCTAGTGTTGCATGCGCTCTCGCGGGTACATTTGTTTTTGCACTCGAGTCACTGCTGGAGACTCCGTACGCTACATTGACAGGCAAAGAAAAAATACCCGGCGCATTCCGGTTTGAGCTCGAGAAACTGCGGCCCAGGCGCGACAAAGGCCCCGTCATCCGAGGTCACCTAAGCTCAGGGGAATGGTCAGTGGACGAGATTACGATTCGCAAAGCTGTAGCGGAGCTGTCCAGACAGCCTCTCGAAAAGGTTGCACGCAATACGACAATTTTTCAGCTGGGACTTGACAGCATCAACGCCGTGCAAATTGCGTCCAAACTAAGGCTTGAAGGCCTCCATGTCTCATCCTCTCAAGTCCTGGAGTACCCTACTTGCGCAGCACTCGCCGAAAACCTCAAGAAGGGCTCACAAATCAAGGCGCCCTCGTTGGCCTACAATCTACGTGTCTTTCCCGGGGACGTGGCTGACGAAGTTGGTTCGAAAATCGCCACTTCAGAGATAGAAGCTATTCTCCCATGCTCTCCGATGCAGTGTGCCTTGCATACAGCTTTTCTCCAGACGCGAGGTCATCATTATTTCAACAGCATGACATTCAAGGTCAACAGCTCCATTGGAATCATCACTTTTACGGAGGCTTGGAAATTAATGTGTCGTCAACATCCGATGCTGCGTACGGCGCTCGTCCCGGTCTCTCACCCTGACACCGCATATGCCATGGCTAGACACGCTCCCATGTATGACTTGCCAATGACAATACTCAACCACGGCGAGCAAGTATCAGAGCTAGTGGGGGATCTCAGAGCTAGCTTGCTGGCGCATCCTCAACTGCCCCCTTGGCATGTCTTTGCACACGATGGCGAGAACGGTATCACAATGACGCTTCTCATCCACCATGCCCTATACGATGCCCAATCTCTGGATGAGATTTTGGTTAGTCTAGGCAAGATTTTGCAAGGGGAGGCTCACGAACTCAACATCGCACCAGTCGAGCCGGGTCTGCAGGTGATCATGTCACGACACATAGCGGACCAAACTGAATCACGGCTCTTCTGGGAGTCAAAAGCTACAGATGTGGTGATCAATAACTTTCCGATAATGACGCCTCTTCGCGAGGCTGCAACGTCCCTTCGGTCTGAAGCCTCAACCTTGTCGCTCTCGTTTTCGCATCTGCGAGATGCAGCAATGGACGTCGGTGTTACCGTTCACGCAGCCATAAATGCGGCGTGGGCAAGAGTTCTCGCCTCGTATCTTGGAGAAGAAGCCGTTGTATTTGGGTCGACTATCTCAGAGAGGACGTCTGAAGCTACCAAGTGCACGCCGATCCCCTGCATCACGACGCTTCCTGTCCTCGCAAGGGCCACGCCTTCGAACCTGGGTCTCCTAAAGAATATGATGGAGTTCACGACCCAAGTTCGCAAGCATCAACCAGCGTCTTTGAGCTCTGTCCAAAAGTGGTTGGGTCATCCTGCCACTCCCATATTCGACACTCTTGTGTCTTATCGGAAGAGAGATGAACAAGAATTTTCCCGGCCTTTTGAACTCCTCTCTGACAACGCCACACTTGACTACAAAGTCTCGATGGAAATTGAGGCGGGACCTGATGACTGTGTGAGGCTCACGACCACATTTATGCCGCACATTCTCCCAACTGAGCAAGGTCGCATGCTCTTGGATCAATTTGATGCGGTCCTGTCCCATCTTGTACTTCACCCCGGAGAGACGGAAGATGAGTTGCATCGCCTCACCCCGAAGCTGTTTTCCCGGCTCCCTCCAAAACTCCCCGTCATGCCCACAACAGTTCAATACCTGCACCAGCTGGTCGAAGAAAAGGCGCGAACTAATCCTGATTCAACTGCGCTCGAGTTCATCGACTCGTTGCATCAAGGAACCATGGAGAAACGCATCTGGACTTACCGCCAGCTGAATGAGCGTGGCAACCAGGTTGCGAACATGCTGAGTACCAAGGCACCTGTGGGGAGCATTGTGGCAGTTCACTTTGACAAGTGCCCAGAGGCATATTTCAGTATCCTTGGTATACTGAAGGCAGGCTGTTCTTTTGTGGCTTTGGATCCCACAGCTCCCGCCAGCCGAAAATCTTTCATCTTGGAAGACTCCAAGGCCCCTTGCGTTTTGACGACAGCCGAAAGCACATTCAGCGGCACCACAACAGAAGTCGTACGCACCAGTATGTCTGTCTTGGATGAATTTTCTACAGAATCGCCTGTGCTTGATATCCTATCTCCCGATGCAACATGCTACTGTCTATACACCTCCGGAACCACGGGAACCCCCAAGGGCTGTGAGATCACGCACGAGAACGCCGTACAGGCAATGATGGCTTTCCAAGATCTGTTTAGCGGCCACTGGCAAGCTGATTCACGCTGGCTACAGTTCGCGTCTTTGCACTTTGACGTCTCAGTTCTCGAGCAGTACTGGACTTGGTCAGTTGGAATCACTCTTGTTGCTGCACCCAAAGACATAATCCTAGACGACTTGCCGGGTTCTATCAACAAGCTCGGCATCACCCACATTGATCTCACTCCAAGTCTGGCCAGACTCACGCATCCCTCCGAAGTACCTTCCTTGTGCAAAGGCGTGTTCATCACTGGCGGTGAGTCCTTGAAACAGGAGATCCTGGACGTTTGGGGGCCAAAGGCTGTGATATACAACGCGTACGGTCCAACGGAAGCAACGATCGGTGTCACCATGTATCAGAGAGTGCCCGCCAACGGTCGCCCGAGCAACATTGGCAAGCAATTCCCCAATGTCGGATCCTACGTGTTCAAGCTGGACACTGAGGTTCCGGTGTTGCGCGGTGGAGTTGGTGAGCTTTGCGTATCAGGCAAACTTGTTGGCAAGGGCTATCTCAACAGACCGGACTTGACTGCGGAACGCTTTCCCACGCTACAAAACTTTTCTGAGAAGATCTATCGCACCGGCGATCTCGTGCGGGTTTTGCATGATGGCTGTTTCGAATTCCTTGGAAGAGCAGACGACCAAGTCAAGCTACGAGGACAACGACTTGAAATTGGCGAGATCAACCACGCCATCAGGGGTGTTTCCGAGATCCAGGATGCTGCAACAGTCGTTGCCACTCAGGGCCCGTCAGAAAAGAGCGTTCTAGTTGCCTTCATCGTGTCTTCCACAGCCAACAACAAAGGGAACCTGGAAGTCGTGCCGGACATTGAAGGCCTTGGCCTCAAAGCCAAGGAGGCTTGCCGTACCAAGCTACCGGGGTACATGGTGCCAACGTACTTTCTTCAGCTGCCCTTTATTCCATTGTCTGTCAACAATAAGGCCGAAGCCAAGGATTTGAGGAGGTTATTTGCCAATCTGTCGCACGCGCAGCTTTCCGCGTTGATAGCAACACCGCGTTCCAGCAGGAGCACAGTAAATACATCATCTCTGGCGAAGCTCACTAAGGCATTGTCTACGTACAGTGGCCTCAAGCAGGATGACGTGACCGAGGATACGAGCATATTCGATCTTGGTGTGGACTCGATCACTGTGCTACGACTTGCGTCGTACCTCAAAGAACAGGGGTTTGATGCAGCAACGCCAACGGCCTTGCTGAGAAATCCCGTGATCAACGACCTAGCCTCAGCCCTTTGCCAGAAGATATCACACTCACAAGAAGTGGGGATCAAGGAGGCCGAACAACTCATGGCCGCGTGCAAGCATCGCTACTTGCCGTCTGCCTGCCGGACTTTCCACATTCAGCCGGAGGATATCGAGTACATTGCACCCTGTTCACCGCTCCAGGGGGGGATCGTCTCGAGATCCCTTGCCTCTGCAGAAGGGCATGCTTACTTCAACACATTTGAGCTCAAGCTTTCGCCCCACCTCGGCGAAGACAAGCTCCGCCATGCTTGGGATAGCCTAGTCTCAGAGCTGGCTATCCTCCGGACTTGTTTTCTAGCGACACCGTCCGGCCCCATCCAAGTCGCGCTCAAAGCGGTGCAGTTACCCTGGGAGCATGTCGAACTGCCTACTGAAGAAGAGACCCAACATGCACTGACATCGATGCGCAAGAACTGGCTGAGCACCAATGGCCGCAACGTTTCCGAGCCTTTGCAGGTCTACTTTGTTGTCAGTGGAGGGAAAACTAGTCTCTTTGTCAACATTTTCCACGGCATCTACGATGGCATGAGCTTTGATCTCATGCTTTCTCGCCTCGCTGCCAAGGTCGACGGTAGGGGGGCTCCAGACGGGCCCACGTTCATTGAAGCACTCACACATGGGCCACTTCAGAATTTTACGTCTAGCGAAAGCTTTTGGCAGCAGCACTTGAAGGATTGGATGCCGCTCGTCATGACCGGCCTGGGGGGTGTCGACAGTTCCCATCCAGTGGCTAGTAGCAAGACCGTACCTCAAGGCCCGATTGATCTATTCCGTCGCTCGGAAAACGCCACATTGCAGACTGTACTATTAGGTTTGTGGTCTTCTGTGCTACAGAGGTATCACTCGGGTGTGGCCGCTGTTGGTGTGATCACAGCGGGCAGATCGGTTGACCTTCCGGGAATCGAAAACACGATCGGCCCCCTATTCAACACGCTGCCCTTTTTTCACAAGTTTCGGAGACAAGATACATGGGCTTCGCTCATTCGATCCGCACATGACTTTGGGCTGTCAATCCTAGACTGTCAGCATGTGTCGCTTCAACGCATTCAGAAGTGGTGCTCAGGAGGACGACCGCTGTTCAACACGCTTTTTGCGCTTCAAATGGAGCAGTCAGAAGATTATGGCGTATGGAAGCTCGTTGATGGCGAGTTGAATCCTGACTACCCCCTTGCCTTCGAGGCAACCATGATGAAGGACGGCAACTTGAGGTTGCAGCTGGTGGCGCAAGGGCACGTGGCGACTGTTGCGGTCTTGGATGAGATGCTGGATGCTTTCAACGATTCTTTGCACCAGGCTATGAAGGATAGCTCCCAGCCTGTGCCATTTGGAGCGGGCAACGATGATCTATCATCTTCCGGCAGGACAGAATCCTCGAACGTCGGCGACGAGCCGCCATTAGCGTTCACATGGACAGGAATAGCGGAAACGATACGATCAGAAATGTGTACTCTCTCTGGGGCTTCCGAAAAGGACATCCGCGGGAACTCGACCATACTTGAGCTAGGCTTGGACAGTATTGATGTCATGAAGCTATCCGCGGCCCTGCGTCGATGTGGCGTTAAACTCGCCGCGTCTCAGATTATGCGGCTTCAGTCCGTCTCCAACATTGTCTCGTTGGCTGAAGAAACTCCCATGTCTCCTTCCCAGACCGACAACGCCACCACCAACTTCGACGTTATCCGCCAGAGGTTACGTGAGAATCTGACACGCAGTACGATCATTGACATGACAGACGTGGAAGATGTCTTGCCCGCGACGCCCTTACAGGAGTCCATGGTAACGGCAATGGTGGAATCCGACTTTCAATGGTACTTCAATCATGATCTGCTTCAACTCAGCGAGGATACCGACGTGGAGAGGCTCAAGAAGGCTTGGACGCAAGTAGTCGAGGCTCATCCGATATTGCGCGCAGGATTCTATCCTGTTGAGGATGATTCGCTGGACAACGCATTCTACCAGGTCATTCATACGAAAAATAATCCCTGGGTTGAATGTCTTGTCGCAGAGGGTCTTGACGAAGCTGACAGAGTCATGGAGCGTTGCAGGCTGAGAGCAAAGGATGGAAAGGGACAGACAGCGTTGCTGCAGTTGTCACTGATGTCGGTTGGTTCCCAAAGATTTGTCGTCCTTTCTATGGCGCACGCTCTCTACGACGGGTGGTCACAGGGCTTGCTCTACCGGGAGCTTCAGAATGCCTATAACGGTCAGCTACTTCAAGCAAGGTCGCCTGATGTCTTCTTGGGTCGACTGCTCGAGGCCTCAAGCGCACAATCACAGGAGTTCTGGTCCGATTACCTCCGGGGATCAAAGCCAACCCATCTCAGTGTCTCGCTACAAACAGAGCCATCTGCCACGCCGCGCTTTTCGGAAGCCACTTCAGACGTGAGTTTGGACACGGTCAAGGCGTTCTGCAAAGACCTCGGCATCACCATGCAGACACTTTGCCAGGCCAGCTGGGCGCTCATTCTTGCGCATTATACGAAACAGCTAGACATTGTCTTTGGCGTCATCATGTCCGGACGTGACTTTGAGGGCGCCGAAGAGCTCATGTTCCCGACTATGAACACTGTAGCGATGCGGTACATCCTGCACGGGACGGCCAGAAGCTTCCTGCAGTATGTCGAGGAGAGTATGAACGACGTTCGTCAGCATCAGAGCTACCCATTGCGTAAAGCACTCACGGCCGCCCGAGCACCGATGGGAGGGTTTTTCAATACCTTGTTTATGCTACAAAAGAGCGCAGAGACCGAATCCAGCACGCTCGTCCATTCCGTTCGAGGCGTGTCTGCGGTCGATTACCCGGTCTGCGTGGAGGCTGAAGCCGAGCAAGGACAAATATCCTGGCGCATCGCCGTTCAGCCTGGCTTCGCCCCGCTAGAGCCACCTTCGAATCTACTCAGACAACTGGACGGAGTTCTAAGTTTCTTTATCAAGTCTCCGGGTTCAGATCTGCTTTCCTTCACAGCGGCAGGGATCTCCTTGGGTGGTCTGCCTAGCTTTGCAATCAAAGAGGATGCGGATAGCGAGGACGAGTCAAAGATTGCCACGCCACCGACGGGTGAGGAGGACTGGAGCGGCATCGCCAACACGATCCGCGGCGTTCTCAGTCAAGCCTCTGGTGTAGACGAGATGAGCATCCAGATGACTGATACGCTCTACCATCTGGGCCTGGACTCCATCAGCTCTCTCAGGGTCTCGAGACTCCTGAGACAGCAGGATCTTGACTTGCGCCCTCGCGACCTGATACGGGCCGAGAGCATTGCCCATCTGGTGGAGATGGCGACCGCAAACCAGTCTGACAGCGAAGGGTCACAAGATCAACAAGCAACTGTGACATGGCAACCACCGCCATCACTGGATGTCGATGGCCTGCTCCTCCACCACAATCTGCAGTACAGTGACGTGGAGGCTATCCTGCCAGCATTGCCAATGCAGGTATTTGTACTGGGAACCTGGCAGAACACCAATGGCGATGTCTTTTATCCGACCTTTACGTACGAGCTGGACAGCTCGTGCAGCAAAGAGGAGATGGTGGCCGCGTGGGGGCTCGTCACAGCATCGACACCTATCCTCCGCACCCGCTTCATGGCAACAGGTGACAGACAGCTGCCGCTGTTGCAGGTGGTGCTCAAGTCGGAAGCGTCAGACTTGGTCCACTTGCAGCCAGGCGAGAGAACCGAGGCTGGCAGATGGCGCCTCCGTCTCCAGGTGCATCATGCTCTCTACGACGGTGTCAGTCTTCCGCTACTGATGCAGCGCCTCCTCCACGCGCTCGTATCAGGATCTCTCCCCAACAGCCCCCTCGATCTATGGAACAGATATACCACCAATCCCTACCTTCCGTCATCCGTCAGTGCCAGAAAGGCCTTTTGGACGTCGTACCTCTGGGGCGTGGAGCCGTACTCGGGGGCACGGAAGGGTTACCCCATTCGTCCTCGCATGTCATTTATAGCGCGATCGGCAGTCCGTGACACCTCTCTGCTCCAACGGCATGCTGCCGCCAGGGGCGTCGGTGTGCAGTCCCTCTTCCTGGCTGCCTATGCCAAGGTCCTCCTCGCCCGAGGTCATGAGGGCGGCGGCGACGAGGTGGTGTTTGGCGTGTATCTGGCCAACCGCCAAGAGGATACATCCCTGGACGGAAGTTTCCCGCGGCTGAATCTCGTGCCGCTGCGTGTCAAGGCCACCGGGACACTGGAGAGCGTTGCGAGCCGTGTGCAGAGGGATCTCCGCCTGATCATGAGCCAAGGACGTGCAGATGTCGGTCTGTGGGAGGTGGAGGCCTGGACGGGCGTCAAGCTCACGTCGTTTGTGAACTTTCTCTCTTTACCCGATGGTGATGAGGAGGAGGATGGTCCTTTCACACACGCCATGCGCGTACGGGTTGTCGAAGGTGGTGCTGCTAGTGAGGAGGAGCTCACCGCCCACGACACGTCGTCAGTTGGTGATGTCGTTGTGAGGGACGTTTTCCCGGTACGTGTTCGCGGTACTGTTATGCCTTGTTTCTATGAGCACGACTAACGCATACAGCCTGCTGTGGATATCGAAGCTTCACTCCGAGACAAAAGCCTTGACATTGGTATTTTTGGCCTTGGGGATGGGGATGGTGATGCCCAGAGCTTGGTATCTGAGCTTGGCCATGCATTGGACGTCTAGGCGTATATATCTGCATACCTTTTTCATTGTGTGTATTGACAGAGATTTTCTATCGACGTACGACTACTGTCGATTCATGTCCATATTTCAAAGCATCGTGTGCTCTCCAGAAACGCCAACCGTGCCGTCTATATAATCACAAAACGTGCGAATGTGCACATGTGTATGCGTGTGTGCGTGCATGCAAGCTCTTTCCCCGTGGTGTCCTCATAGTCTCTCCCCCACGTGATGTATTCATGCTTCCCCCGAAATGTGCCCATGCCGTCGTTTCCTCAGCTCAGACCGAGTACCCCATCATGGACCGATCTGGGAAGAGAATAATGTTCGATAACCGTACCACCTCGGCTTCCGCGGCTGAACTTGAGCTCGAAACGACGCTCTTCACCTCCTCCTCGCTCTTGATCCCGTCCCCATTCACCTTGGCCTCCTCGCTGTCCTCCTTTCCATTCGTCTTCGGTGGCGGTGTGGTCGAGCGTGTGGCAGCCGACTCCCACGGCGCCAGACCCATGGCTTGCAGACCAGCCGGTCCACCAACCTCGGCAATGACCTCAGCGCCCGGCCGCGTCTTTGCGTCCTCCACGATGCTGCCCCGCCCGGAGGAGTCAAAGTCGGGTCCCGGGTGACCCCTCTGGAACGCCTTGCGCTGCCGCGCGAGGTAGAGCGCGTTGGTCTGTGTCAGGGGTGCCGCGGCAATGTAGAGCATCATACTCACGCTCTCCGGGTGCGGTGTCTGCAGACCCGGGTTGTTGGAGGAGATGTGGTAGGGCAGGTCCGGGTGCCAGAAGATGTAGTCACCCGGCTGGAGTGTCGGCAGGGTGATCATGCTGCTGCGCAGGTGCAGGTGCGGGTGCCACTTTTCGGTGATGCGCTGCGCGTGGCCCGGCACGGCGCCGTGGATGATGGTGTCCGGGTCGCGCTCGAGCTTCCAGTTCTCGGGGGCGAGGTAGGCGTCCCACTCAGGACCGCTCCGTGCGGCGGGCGCGGGTGTCTGGGGCGAGAAGAAGGGGCGGAGCAGGTAGTAGGCGGTCGCGAGCTGGGGACTGGGCATGAGGCGGACCATGCCGGGCTCGATGGTGCTGAGGGCCAGGACACCCTGGAACATGCGGAAGATGGTGCAGGCGCCATAGCCGTTGTAGAGGTCCATTGTCGAGGATACGCGCGAGGCGCACTCCCAGGGGTCGTAGGATTCCCAGCTGCCCTGGAAGACGGAGCGGTAGGTACCGGCGTGGCCGTAGCCGTCGGGCTCCCAGCGCTCGAGCGAGCCGTTGTCGACCTGGGCGATGATGCCGGCGGAGGACTGGAGGGCGTTGATCCAGTCGTCGGCGCTCTGGGGCTCGTCGGCGACGGGGATGCTGTCCACCTTGCCCTGGTCGGTGCGCGGCTCGGCGCCGTGGACGCGGATGCGGTCGACGTAGGTGATGGGCAGGCGGGTGGCGAGGCGGTCGTCCGGGGTCGTCTCCCAGAGGCCCATCATGAAGCGCTGGGTGCGGAGGACGTGCGGGTGGGCGCGGGCGCGGACCTGGGCGGGCGTCCAGAAGTAGTCGTAGCAGGTGGGATCCTGCTTCTGGGCCTTGAGGTTGGAGCTGCGCTTGGTGTCGAGGTAGTCCATGGTCTCGGCGACCATGGACTCGGCGTCGCGGCCGGGCAGGGCCTTGCGGACGACGCCGACGCCGTACCGCCTGAGGTCGCGCCCGAAGCGCGCCGTCTGCGTGGGGTCCTCCATGTCGGCATACTCGATGCTGGGTATGAGGTGGGCGCCGAGGTCCTCAATGTGGTCCGTCTCGGCCTGGAGGGCCTTGATGAGGCGGCGGAATGAGGCCTCGATGGCCTCCTCGTGGCCTGCTATGAGCGCCCTTTTGATCTTGGCGAAGCGCGAGGGCAGGGGGACGGGATCGGGGCCCCAGAAGGTGAGGAGAGGGCTCTCGTCAATGGCCATGTCGCTCGCGCCGCGGATGTGGCCTGGCTTGGGCGGCGCTCTGGAGGCGGCGGGGAGGCCAGGGTCGAGGGTCGAGAGCGTGGTGGCCGAGCTGGCGCTGGTGGTGCGGGAGAAGTAGCCCTGTGCGTCCTCGTCCTCGTCGCGGATGGTCGAGGCGGTGTCGGGCGGCGTCGGACTTGCCGATGAGGGCGTCGCGAGGTCGTCCTTTGTCGTGATTGTGGGAGCGGCAACAGCAGAGGCAGCAGCATAAGGAGGACATGGACGTGGAGGTGCAGCAGAGGCGGCGGATGTGGTGAGAGGGGATGTGGACGTGGACGTGGGCGTGGGCGTGGACGTGGGCGTGGCGTGGGAGGGCGCGGGGCGAGGGACCCCGGATTTGCTCTTGCCCTTGGTGGTGGTGGTGCTGCTGCTGCTGCTGCTGTTGTTGGTGCTGTTGGTGGTGAGGGGAGCCCCCGTAGTGGTGGCCCTGGCCGTGGTGGTGGTGGTGGTGGTGGTGTTGGTCCCCTCGTCAGTGCCTGCAAAGGCAGCAGAGCCGCTGTAGGTGCCCGTAGTTCCAGTGGTCCCACCGCCTCCGTGTCCCCTCTGCGTTCTCACCCTGCGCGCACCTGACGCCAACAACCCCTGGTTATCTCGACGGACGTTCGTCGTGTGGGCCGACGACGGTCTCCATTGCTGTCCTCTCTTCCGCTCGCGCTCCTCCGAAGGACCGGCCAGGGCCCGCGCGCGTTCGAGGATGGAGCCTTGGGGCATGGACGTGGGTGGCTCATCGTCCTCCTCTCGTGGCCGTTTAGGGAGAGTCATGACTCCGACAGCGACCACCATGAGCAGTGCAAAAGGTACTTGGGAGCAAGTCGGCAAAAGATAGAAGAAAAAAAAGAAAAAAGACAAGCCGCCGAATGGCTCGGTCTCAGCTTGCGGTAGGTGAACGAACGAAAAGGCCAATGGCAGAGGGCGCTGTCCGCGCACGACGTGATCCAGTCGCCTTCCTGTGTCCGACTGGGGTGTGATGTGTCTCGTTGTTGTCTGTATTGATCGTGGGTGCTTGCTTTCGTTGAGTAAAGATTCGTCAAGGCAACGTGATGTGTACTCTAAGAAAACAGCCCCTTGACAGATGCCTGCCGCGTGCAAAATTGCGAGAGACTTTTACAAACGGGAAATAGAGGTACAGACGGACCTTTAGAGGATCGGGCGAGAGCAGGCGAGCAAGCAGTAAGTAGGTATTGCCGACGGGGGCAAAGATTGCATGCACCAGATTAGGCCCAGGAGAACGGAATGGCCTGGCCTGGCCTGTCATCTATACGCACGTCCCGGACCGAAGCCCAGATAGACGAGATGGTCTCTCCCTACTCGCTCCAGTCGCCTGGCCGGGTGGGAAGGCCATGTCCATCCGGGGCCACCAGACGCGATGTCTCTCTCTCAGGACTTCCTCTCGCTTGATAAAGCCATTCAGCCGGCGCCTGCAATGGGGCAGCTGGAGCCAGGCGTGGGGTGAGGCATCGTGGGTGGATGGATGGACGGATCGAGTGAGCGTGTGTGGAAGAAGGGGATGGACGTTGTTGGGCGAGAGCCACAAGCAGAGAACTTGTCGGCCCTGCACTCCGGCCCTGTGGACCCTTCCATTCGGGGCCTCGCGCTCCGCCCCGAAGTCCCGGGGCCCATCCACTTGTGACCTTGCATGCAAGATGATTGGCGGGTTCCCCATGGACGCTGGGTGCTGGACGCTGGGTCGGACCGCCAACGCCTGTCTGAGGCCGATGCGCCTACCCGGCAGCGTGCTTCGATCGTGCTGCTAGCCGGGACGACGGCCATATTGCTGCATGTTACAGATGTCGTTATCATCGAGCATCATGTTTGATCTGTATTTATCAGCTGTGCTTACATTTTAGCCGCCGATAGGCGAACCAGAGCCATGTGTATGTGTATCATGTGCGTTCGCTGGACTAGAACGCCTAAAACTCCGGAACACCATGGACAACATCGAACATCTAGACCAGGTTTGACCTTTTACGCTACATGGCAGACCAAGCAACGACGTGATAATGATTGAACTTTAGAGACACCTCAGGGGAAAGCCGGGCAGACCGCAACTGACGGCCACAACCTCGCGCCAGGCAGGGTGAATACAACGTTGCACGCATGCTTGCATAGACATAATCTTCTTGGCACCAGACAAATACAAACACCATTCAAGCAAGTACTATGTATATCGATTGCGACCTGTAGATCGGGAGATTAGCAGCCGGCACAAGAACCGACGTGATGCAATCCACCACCCGGCGTCATGCTGAAGCACTGAACGGACATCAATCATCGATCAGCACCGTGATCGTCCTCACATACAGGCACAAGCACAGCTGCTCCTCGCCCGGGCTTAGCGCGCCGCAGATCCCCGGTCCGAACACGCGGGTATCCGCCTGGCTCTCATGTCCGACGCATGCACGTCACTGCGAGCCACGCAGATCGCCACCACTCTCTCGTCAACAGCAGACTCTTCATCTCCTTCACTCACGAAAAAGGCCTCGTACAGTTCATATCATGTCATTTCATTCTATGGATATCCCGGGTGTGACTCTTAAAAGTACAAGCATTCATTCGCCATGAGAGAGAGCGCCAAATAAAAGGGAAAAAAGAAAAGGAAACGCCAATCCGGCTTGCGACGGCCAGCGGAGCTCGCTTACAGCCTGGGCTTGGTGTCGGGCTTCCAGCCCTCCTCCATGGCGATGAGCTCGGCCGCGCGCTCGCCAATGGCCAGCACGGTCACCATGGGGTTGATGCTGGGCATGTCGGGGAAGACGCCGGCGTCGGCGATGCGCAGGCCGCCAATGCCCCGGACCTTGAGCTTGGGGTCGACGACGGCCGCGTCGTCGTTGGCGGCGCCCATCTTGGTCGTGCCGGCCGGGTGGTAGACGGTGTGCGCGACGCGGCGGGCGTACTCGCTAATCTCCTCGTCCGTCTGCACCTTGGGGCCCGGCGCCACCTCCTTGTCGAGCCAGTCGGCAAAGGGGGCCTGCTGCGCAATCTTGCGCGCGGCCTTGATGCCGGCCACAAACGTCGCCGCGTCGTAGCCCTCGGGGTCGGTGAAGTAGCGGAAGTCGAGCGCCGGCTTGACGGCCGGGTCGTTGGACGTGAGGTAGATGCGCCCGCGCGACCGGGGGCGGGGGATGTTGGGCGTCATGCAAAAGGCGTAGCGCTGCTTGACCTCGGGGTAGCCGAGACGGCCCGTGTTGAGGGTGAAGGGGATCTGGTAGCAGTGCATCATAATGTCGGCGGCCTCGCCATCGTTGCCGGCCGCGTCCTTGATCTCGCGGCGCAGGAAGACGCCCGCGTCCGAGTCCATGGTCGTCTGGTTCTCGGGCACCGGCTTGTTGAGCTGCCACATGATGATGGTCTCGGGGTGGTCCAGCAGGTTCTCACCCACGCCGGGCAGGTCCTTGACGACGGGGATGCCGAGCGCCTCGAGCTGCTTGCGGGGGCCGATGCCCGAGTGGAGCAGCAGGCGGGGCGTGTCGACGGCGCCGGCGCTGAGGATGATCTCCTTCTTGGCCGAGAGGTGCAGCTTCTGGCCCGACTTGAGCGTCACGTCGATGCCCGAGGCCACGTCGTTCTCGACATGCAGCTTGGAGACGTGCGCCTCGGTGAGGACGGTCAGGTTGGGTCGACGCTCCTCGCCCTTGAGGATGGGGTGGATGTAGGCGACCGACGCGCTGCTGCGGTGGCCGTTGTCCGGGTTGTACGAGACGGAGAAGAAGCCGACGCCCTGGTTGAGCTGGCCCTTGTCCGCAATCTGCTTGTTGAAGTCGGGGATGACGGGGATGCTCAGGGCCTCGGACGTGGACAGCACCCAGTCCTTGCAGAGCTGGTTGCGGTGGCGCGCGTGCACCGGCTGGATGGTGTTGCGCAGGTTGTCCACGAGGCGCATCAGCGTCTCAAAGTCCCAGCCCTCGCACCCGTTGGCGACCCAGCGGTCGAGGTCGTGGCGGAAGGGGCGGAAGGAGATGAGTGTGTTGTGCGAGGAGCAGCCGCCGAGGACCTTGGCACGCGAGTGGCGGATATGGCTGTTACCCATGGGCTGCTCGGTGGTGCCGTAGTCGTAGTCGAGGTCGCCGCCCAGCAGCGTCAACCACTGGCGCAGGTCGAGCACGTTGCCCAGGTCGAGGTCAGAGGGGCCCGCCTCAATCATGAGCACCTTCTTCTCGGGCAGGTAGGACGACAGGCGCGAGGCCATGACACAGCCAGCGGTGCCGCCGCCGACAATGATGTAGTCGTAGGCATTGGCGGCGTTGGCCGGGAGAGAGTGGACGGAGGCCATTGTGGGCGGGTTGCTAGGTAGGCAGGCTGGTCCTTTCCGTTGGGCTCGAGGCGAGGCTGGTTGTGATGTCGCGCGGGGTGAGGATCAGCAGTGATGCTGGTGTTTGGGGGGAGAGAGGGAGAGGAGGGTGAGGGATGGATGGGAGTGCTGGAAAAGATAGAAACCGAGACAAGCAGTTAGCCTCGTGATGTTTATCAAGGTGGAGTCTTGGCGAAGAGATTTCGCCATGGCCTGATGGCCAGGACCATCGACCTCTCAGCTCTCACCGACAAGGAATGAGAGCACCCGTCCATCCCTCTGTCGAAGCTTTGCCGCCCACCCATGATCGGCTTCGGCGAGGACGACTTTCTGCGAGGATCGCCATACACTGTACGGCGGGCTAGGGCGGATCCTGCTGGAGGAATTGGCGTCTCTGGTTGGATGTCGCGCGGTGGAGGCACAGGGACGATGGTGAGGGCGTCAAACTCTATACTGTGCGCGAGTCAGACGGAAGCGCAGACGCGGGCGGGCGGTGAGAGGCTGCAGAACTGTGTGGGCGAGGGGGTCACGCACGGCCCGACTCGACTTGTGAGGCTTAGCTGCCGCTTTGGGACTGATCCCACTGGCGGCAGAAATTTTTCTCGACCCGTTCCACGCGTGTCAGCGTGATGGATGCAGAGGAGCGCCGTTTGTTCTGCTACTGTCTTCTTCTCTCCACTGGCTACTGTACGGCAGCGGAGCTCCTCGCCATGCACCCAGCGGCATTTGTCGATGGCCGCCGTTAGGGTTTGCATCTGTCAACGCCCACGTTTCTATCTGCATTCATCTGCCCCTCTTTGCACCGTGTCAAAACAGTGTGTTTCAGCCTCACCGCCTGCAGTTTCCGGCCTTTCCGTGACGTATGTACGGATACGTAAAGTAAAGTACGTACAGAGAGAGAGCATGCAGGCAGAGAGAATTCGCGACGTCGTGCAGCAGCAACGCCTCGTTAGGGAGGCCAGAGCTTATCGCGGTCCATACCGAGGTGAAAAGTTCTGAACGGAGACAGTGGCCTGATCGTAGCAAGAGCCCAAGGTCCTCCTCCACACCAACGAGAAACATCAACATCAGTGACGCCGACGACGTACATGAGCACCATTCCCTTATCGCGGCAACTACCACAGCGCCTGGTCACCCTCTGGTACACGACATTTCCACGGCCGGGAACTAACAGACAACCCATCATCCCCAGGCAGACACGATCATTCACGACCGCAGACGACATGACTTTCGCCAAAGAAATTCACACCTTTCACTCGGGCAAGGCCCAGCCCACAACCTCGGACCCCTCCAAGACCTTCCCGTCCATCGATCCCGCGACCAACAAGCCTCTTGCGACCATTTACACCACAACGCCCTCGCAGCTCAATGCCGCCGTAGAATCGGCCACCAAGGCGTTCAAGCAATGGAGCCAGACCCCCGCCCCCCAGCGCTCCGCCATCCTCCTCAGAGCCGCGAGCATCCTTCGGCGGCGCAATGACGAGCTCGCCCTGACCGAGACGCTCGACACCGGCAAGGCCCTGGGGGAGACCAAGACGGTCGATGTCATCACCGGTGTCGACGTCTTGGAGTACTACGCGCACTTTATCGCCGGCTCGCAGCCCGGGGACCACACTACCCTCCGCCCAGACGCCTACGTGCTCACCCACCACGAGCCACTGGGCGTCTGCGCCGGCATCGGCGCCTGGAACTACCCCATCCAGATCGCCCTCTGGAAGTCGGCGCCCTGCCTGGCGGCCGGAAACACCATGGTGTACAAGCCCAGCGAAGTGACGCCCCTCCACGCCAACACGCTGGCCGAGATCTACATTGAGGCCGGTGTGCCCCCTGGCGTGTTCAACGTGGTCTACGGCGACGGGCCCGCCGTCGGTGCCCCCCTCGTCGCGCACGAGGGCATCGCCAAGGTCTCCTTCACCGGCCAGGTCAGCACCGGCAGCAAGGTGGCGAGCGAGGCGGCCAAGGGCATGAAGGGCGTCACGATGGAGCTGGGCGGCAAGAGCCCGCTCGTGGTGCTGCCGGACGCCGACGTCGACGAGGCTGCCGATGTGGCCATGGTGGCCAACTTCTTCTCGACCGGACAGGTGTGCACAAACGGCACGCGCGTCTTCGTCCCCGACACCCTGCTCAAGGACGTCGAGGCGGCCGTTGCCCGGCGGTGCCGCGAGGGCGTCCGCATGGGCATGCCGCAGGTGGAGAGCACCAACTTTGGCCCCATGGTGAGCGCCGCGCAGCGGGACAAGGTGGACATGTACATTGAGCACGGCAAGACGCAGGACAGGGCGCGCGTCGTGTACGACGGCGCGTCCGACGCGCAGAAGAAGCAGCCCACCGAGGAGGGCTACTGGGTGCCGCCCGTCGTCTTCTCCGACTGCACGGACGACATGCGCATCGTGCGCGAGGAGATCTTTGGTCCCGTCATGTGCATCCTGCCGTACGCCACCAAGGGCGACTACCTACCGGCCCTTATCGCGCGCGCCAACGACACGCCCATGGGCCTCGCGGCGGGTGTCGTCTCACCCGACCTGGGCATGGCGCAGGACGTGGTGTGCCAGCTCGACGCGGGCATCACCTGGATCAACACCTGGGGCGAGTCGCCGGCAGAGATGCCCGTCGGCGGTTGGAAGATGAGCGGCGTAGGTCTGGAGAATGGACCCGAGGGCATCAGGGCGTACATGAGGACCAAGAGCACGCTGGTGCAGCTGGGGAGGGGTGCCTGCAAGGGCGTATTTGCCAAATTGTAGGGCGATCTATGTGGAAGCTAGTCATGATTTTGAGATATCAAGCGAAATGAAAGTTTAGAACTGATCCATGGTGGAGGCTCTTGAGTTCCTCACCGACGAACCACAAGATAAGTGAGCCTACCCTGCGTCAGTGCTGCCAAGTCAGGTCTCGCCACTATCTACAGCATTGCGTGCCGCCATTCCTTTCATTCCTTGTTCGGAATTCAGCGAATTCAACTTCTCAACTCTTCCAGCGAATCCATCCATCCATCTGTCGGGCCAAAACGAGCCGACCATCCTTGAAGCCAAAAGCCAATCATAGATGCCATATCTGATCAACGCCTTATCCACCCAGCGGGTCCCCCTAGTACGTACGTACTCTTTGCCCCTTGGGTACCGCGTCACGGTTCAGCCATCCCGACTCACACAAATCTGCAATAATGGTAGATCCTCCCGATGTGCCGACCTAGAATGGGGGCCTCCTCGTCGACAGTACTGGCCGCACTCCGTACTCCGTGGGCAACAACTTGCCGACCCGAAGAAGATGGAGCTCAGGATAATCGGGCCTTCGGACAAGATCTGTCCAACGAACAGAGCCCACCCAGCTTGACTGACAGAAAGCCTCGCATTCGTTCCGTCACTCGCTGGATGTCGTGGGCTTGCTCAAACTCCAATGTCTTCAAGTATATGCAATCACCAAGACGACACTGTCAAGCTGACGACCAAGACCCAGCCCTCGACGACAAACACAATGCCGGAAAAGACGGAGAACATGGACAATAGCGACGCCGAGAGTATAGGCGGGCAGCGCAACGAGTTATCCCAAAAGAGGCTGCTCATCTCCATCGCGGCTCTCTCAGTCTGCCTGTTCGTCTCCTTTGTCGACCAGACCAGCGTCTCGACAGCAACGCCCGCGATCGCGGGCGAGCTCAACACCGGCACTTCGACATCGTGGGTGGGCGCTTCGTTCCTGATAGCCTCGACCGCTTTCCAGCTCATCAACGGGCGGCTGTCCGACATCTTTGGGCGCAAGAACCTGCTGCTCATCTGCCTCTTCCTCATGGCCGCGGGCGACTTGGCCTGCGGCTTCTCCCAGTCCGCAGAGCAGCTGTTCGCGTTCCGTTCCATTGCTGGTATTGGCGGAGGCGGCATCAACAGCCTGGTCATGATCATTGTCAGCGACATCACCACCTTGGCGAATCGAGGCAAATACCAAGGTGCGTCTCTCAAGGACAAGTTGGTGATCCAAGTGAGCTAACAGGTGCATGAAGGCATGCTAGGTGCCATCATCGCCCTTGCCAATGGCATTGGCCCCTTTCTTGGCGGCGCCGTCGTTGACTCGTCCACATGGCGCTGGGTATTCTGGATGATCCCCCTGATCACGGCACCGACCACTGCTGTCATCTGGTTCTATCTGCCACTGAAACACCGATCGGGGGACTATGTTGCCAAGATGAGGCGGATCGACTACGGGGGCATTCTTCTCAACCTGGCATCCACGCTTCTGCTTCTCGTGCCTTTGTCGGGGGGCGGTGTCACATATGCCTGGGCATCGCCGTTTGTCGTTTCCACCCTGGCGCTGGGGGCCGTGCTCTTTGTCCTGTTCGTGCTGTACGAATGGAAGCTCGCCAAGCTGCCCATCATGCCACTGCGACTGTACCAGGCCCCTCACTGCTCTGCGTTGTACGCCCAGACGTTCCTCACCGGGCTGGCGTACTTTGGCAACTTCTTCTACCTACCAATCTACTTCCAGTCGATACTGCAATACTCGGCTTTGGAGTCAGGGGCTCTGATCCTCCCCGTCGTCATCACCACGTCGGCCACTTCGATACTGTCGGGCCTGTACATGGCCCGAATGCACAGGTACATGCACTGTATCCTCGTCGGCTTTATGCTGTGGACGCTGGGGAACGGCTTGACGCTCATGTTTGACCGCGACACCAAGATTGGACCTCTGATTGGGATTTTGATCGTCGAAGGCGCCGGCATTGGACTGACGCTGCAGCCTACGCTCGTCGGCATGTACGCCAACGGACGCAGCGAGGACCGCGCCGTGACGACCGGCCTGCGCAACTTTATACGCACCATTGGCGGTGCGTTTGGACTGGTCATCTCGGGTGTCCTGCTCTCCAACACGCTCAGCAAGGACCTGGCCGGCAGTCCCTTGATGTCGGCTGACTTTATCGCCGAGTTGACGTCGTCGACTTATGCGCTCGATCAGCTTGACATTGCGACGGAGGAGAAGGATCGCATCTTGGATGTGTACATGTCAGGGTTGCACCGCATCTTTATCTTTTACACGTGTTGCTCGGGACTGAGTATCCTGTTGACAGCCTTGGTGGGCAACACGACACTCAAGCCACCGGCGGAAGAGAAGCCTTCGGTGACGGAGTCCTCGGAGCAGCAATCTGATTCTAACGTAGGCTCGCTTGGCGACCAAGATCCCGAGAAGGGAACTGGTGTGGTGGATGAGGCTGCTATAGGCACGAGAGACGGCGATGGGGGAAACGAGCGTCAAGGTGGTGGGCCGACCACATAATCGTGAGAAAATGGCAGTGAGAATACAAATCATGAGGCCACCACGTGTATACGCATGACGATCGCATCAAGTGTCTCTCCCTTCAGAAGTTACTGATTGCGTAGTACTCCATGCTGGATAGAGAACACAACTGGACCATCCTGGCCTACACGGTGCCTCTCATTCAGGCCTGCTTCTCCGTGCTCACAGAGATTCGACGGCTAGTCTAATCAGAATCCAGGGACGGGAGCGAGTTCGGACCCTCCAGTCCACAAACCGACTCGTGCTGCGAGCCTTATCGCGCATCGCATGACGGGGCGTTTCTCTCCGACCGACCATGGGCACGATTGTGCCCACAATTGACATGGTCGGAGGTTGGAGCTGCCCCTCAATTGCCCCTCGTTGATTGATTCGGACCCCTGGAGTTGGCGATACCCTCCAATTCCTTATCGCACGTTTGTTGGAGATGACCGGTTGCGAATGGCACATCAGACATCCACATCACTCACGTCGGGTCCAACACCGCGCGAAATCGGCATCATGTTGGCCGCGATAAGAGCATCTGGCTGCTTGTGCGGCTGCGATGCGCCGATCTGCATGTCGATATAACAGCATCATCTCAGCACCGAGCGGCCACTCCCTCCCTGTTGGTACTTGGAACATCTTGCTCTGCTGCCCATACCCTCCCTCTATACCAATTCGTACAGCATCGTGCGAGCTCTCTCCGTCTTCAACATGCCCGAGTCGTACCACCCCCATCCTGATTATGGCTTCGCCCGCGACTTCAAGGGCTACGGCGAGAAAGGTCTCCAAGGCTTAAAGTGGCCGAACAATGCAAAGATTGCCGTGTCCTTTGTCATCAACTACGAGGAGGTACGCAACTTGGGCTCAGCACTATCCATCTTCACCACTGACAAGACGATCTCTAGGGTGGCGAGCGATCTGTACTGGAAGGTGACGGTGTCGACGAGCTTGTCCTGCGCGAGAGTCCCTCCTCACAACACCGCGTCAACGAGCGCAACTACAATGTCGAGTCTGAATTCGAGTACGGATCACGCGTCGGCTTCTGGCGTCTATTCAAGATGTTCAACGACCACAAGATGAAGTTCACCCTCTACGGCGTGGCCTCGGCCGTCGAGAAGCAGCCCGAGGTGGCCACCCGCTGCGTCGACGAGGGCCACGACGTCGCCTCGCACGCGTACCGCTGGCTCGACCACCACGACTGGTCCGTCGACAAGGAGAAGGAGTACATCCGCAAGGGCATCACCAGCCTCAAGAACCTGACCGGCTACGCGCCAAAGGGGTGGTACTACGGACGTCCCTCGCCCCACAGCCGCACGCTCATCCCCCAGGTGTACGAGGAGATGGGCGAGGAGCTCATCTGGGCGAGCGACACGTATGCCGACGAGATCCCCTACTGGACCGACCTGCCCCTCGAGCGCGAGAAGAAGGACCCCAAGGGCTGCCTCATGCTGCCCTACAGCTACGATTGCAACGATTTCAAGTTTCATTGCCAAGGCACGGGCTTCCGCGACCCGCAAGGGTTCTTCACACACCTGAAGAACGCGTTTGATGTCTTGTACGAGGACGGCGAGAATGGCCAGCCCAAGACAATGACCATTGGTCTCCACTGCAGGATTGTCGGCCGCCCTGGTCGGTTCAAGGCGTTGAGGGACTTTGTCGAGTACATTGAGAAGAAGGAGGGTGTCTGGGTGGCTACCAGGACTGAGATTGCGCTTGCGTTCCGGGAACAGTTTCCTTACAAGAAGGGCCAGCTAGCATGAGCATATAGAAGTAATCGAATTTCACACTATATATAGCAAGGACATGTGTGAATCCACTTGTAAAGTGTCAAGAGCGGCGAATGCAGACCTCACCTGACTGTAGGATCCCTTGAACTCATCAGGCCTTCTTCACGTACCTGGCCTAGTCCGATTGATATGTACTAGCGAGGACTCTTAGCGAGGACTCTACACGAGCCTACAGTCAACCTTTTTTTGCCTTTATTACATGATCGATGGAATTGAGACTGCTGGCTCTCTCTATCTTCTATCTAAGACCCTGCACTCCCCCAAAGTCCCATCCGGAGGCATCCATCGGGTCATAATGCTGCCCATCATCCATCGCCTGCATCCCAGTCATGTCAAAGTGCTGGCCATACGCTGCACTCATGCCGTCAATTTGCGCCCCTTCATCTTTGCCGTCCCCAAGCATTTCGTTCCACATGCGCCATCCCTGCCAGCCGCCAGGAGCCTCATCGTCCACCTCCATAAAAGCTTCCTTGACAGCATCTGATACCATCTCACTCATCGAATGCTCCATTGTCTGAGTTGGCTGGCTCTCAGGCGGAGGGGCCCGCTGAGCGGCACCGGCTGTATCACCCTGCCGTGACTTGCGCGCCGACGGCCGTTGCAGATCCAGTGGCATGCTCGTGCCCTGCCCGTTCGGGTTCACCAGTGTCTTGAACAGACTGCCAGACAAGGCGTCGAATATGTCGCGGTACTTGACGGCACCAGCCCACTTTTCGCCAAAGATCGTCAAGCTCTGAGAGCAAGCTTGTGTCGCCTCGAACACATCGTACCCGAACAAGTCGCGGTTCCTCCACGTGCAGTACACAAGGGTGAGGCCTGCGACGAAGCAGCTATGAAGGGAGATCATTGTGTAGCTCAGGGTCTTTTGTTGGTTCAGTCGCTTGTACGCTATGCAGACGCTCGCAGCGGAGTGGGCGGCTGTGGCGAACCGATGGTCGGAAGGGTCGAGAGTTGGTAGGAGGATGGTGAGAAGGGCCAGTATTGACTTGTGGTATTGCCTGCGGAACAAACATTATTACAACCACGATTATAGGTCAAGGTCTCGATAAGAGGACTTACAGGCTGTAGAAGTCGTGGGAATCGTGGTTGGCGCTCTCTGGATCGTACATCCAGGTGATCTTCTTTCTGTCCTTGGGTGGTTGAGGTACCGTTTCAAGCCAGTGATCCAAGTCTTGCCGCATGCTGACCATCTTTTGATCCAGCTTCTGTCTCTCGTCGGGGGGTCCGGCGAGGACATCCTTATCGACGCGAAACACGGTCCGGTGAATGCGTGACTGGAGTCGGTCGAGCTTGGTGATGTGTATAAAGGGCTCAATATTGGACCACTTGCTTGACGATGCCTCGGCAGGCTCGCTATGAGTGAGGTCCCAAAACTCGACGCTCGTGCTGGGATCCTATGTCGGTCAGACAGGCATTCCCCCAAAAGTCAGAAAAGGGAGGAACTCACCCCGACATTGATGTCACGGTCCGCAATGGCAAAAGCCCTCCCTAGAAGAACACTCGTGCTACGATCCAGGCTGTAGCACGACCAAAAGACCCTGCGCCGTATCTCAAGATCTCGCGCGTTGCAGTGTCGTGAAACAGCCTTCCGCTCACGATGCAGACCCAGCTCTATCGCCAGCGACACGGCGTAGCGCACCTGGCTCCATGCACCGGAGCCGTACGGCGATCGTTGCCCGTGAACAGCGAGTAGCAGGAGGAACTGCACTGTCCCGAGACTGTGCTGCTCAAGAATGTAGTCCATGGGCTCAATGGCGGCTACCAAGTGCCTCTCCGAGTCTACGCCGCATGGGTTCCGCGTCAGTTGCAAGAACCTGGCCGCAATGGCGTAGATGAGATGCATGATACTCCGCTCGATGACAGGCAGCTTGGGCTGGTCGTACTGTTTCTCAAAGAGCGCCGAGTAAACCTTGCGGTCGAGCAGTGGCCAACGCGTGTGAAGGCGGTCAAAGAACGTATCAAACAGAAGCCTTGCCTGCTCGGGATATGGGAAGTCAAACACGCTCTCGATGCCCATCATTGTCGGCGAATGGGCCATGGTGGGTGAAGAGAATGACGGGGGCACCTCCTGGACATACTGGCTGCTCTTGGGGATCGCGCGCCCACCGGACTTCCTGAACAAGGAGGTTTGTATCATGCGTGCAATGGTTGCCCCCGAACTTGAGCCCAGGTAGAACGGCCCCGGTGAGTTGTCCGTCGTGCCCGTTGCGCACAGTGAAAGGTAGGCAACGCCGTCGACGATGGAGTTGCTCTCACCACCCTCCATCTCATCGGACTGCGATCCATGGTGTGAGGGCGGAGACTCTGGGTTCTGCGCCAGGGAACCTTTCCGTCTGGGTGAGGCATCTGTCTTGCTGGACTCATTCTCAAAGTGATCCTCCGCATATGCAGGCAGGCGAGCTTCAAGAAAAGCAATACGCTCCTCGAGTGCGTTGATGTACCTGCAGCTGTCAGACATGTGTCTACTACTGGGTAAGTACTCTGCAGGGCCGCCGTGCGTACAGTGTCTTGCCACCAGGATAGTGTGGACGAATGGCTTTCTCGTAGATGCATTGGTTGCCGGAGCGCTCGCAGGATGAGCAGACGGGCGAGTTACCGTCACACTGTGTTCACGTCAGCCCCTTTGCGTACTTGCATTCTTTGAGCGTTCGCATAGTACTCTTTGCTTCCTCCTCTTGCACCTCTTGCACGCAAGGGCGACTCGGGGCTTGCGAGCCGGCTGTGTTGGCAGCGTCGAGCTCGTGCTCGATCCACCGATACTCTGCGCTGATGATCCCACGTTTTGGGGCATGATTGTTTGTCGGGCCAAAACCTAGCGATCTCCGTCACTCGAATCTGGTCCTCATTCGATGATGTCCCGTGGCGAGGAACCAGGTCACTTGGAGGCGGATGTTGATGTCGCGCCACCAGCCAAGGCTCGCTTCTTTCAAGCGCAAGCCACCTGTCGGAACTTACGTCCCCGAATCATGAAAAATCATTGACTGCGTGCTGCGCTTGCATATCCTGACTCTTACTTGCTGCGATAAGCGCTGTCCGCGTCAGTGCGGTTTGTCGCGCGCGCGGAGACAAGCGGGTCTTATCTCTACCTCTGGAGACGGGGAACGAATGGGGATCTTTTCCCCAACTCCTTTATCTTCAGCACGTCACGCCTTATCAGCAACATGGAACTCAATGTCTGGCATGGCTTGTCGACGCCCGTTGGTGCAATTGACTACCGGCATCTGGATCGCTCAGCCTTGTGTTTGGCTGTCGGGTGCAAAGCAACCGACAACGTGGCGATAACACCTCAGCCGAGAGTGTCTGATGTGAGTATGTATCATCTTGCAAACATCAACTCGGACGAGCTCAGGGTATAATATACAAACAATGCCAATGTCATACAGAAAGCCCGTCAACCCACCATCGTTGCAACTTGAAGCTTGACTTGTCTGAATCGCTCAAAACTCATCATAGACAACATGGCTCGACGAACTCGCATTCCCACGCGGGCAGAGCTGACTGCCCCTTTCCAGTCCAAGGCAGCATTTGTCGACTTTGTGAAGGCGCCTGTCGATAATGAAGGCCATGTCACAGTGGGTGATCCAAAGTGGTCCAACAAGGACTTGGAGCCGACGCCCCCGGAGCATCGCACGTGGACATGGTACGCAAGGTTCTCTCAATGGCTGTTCACGAAGATACTGACTGTCGAAAAGGTTCAATCTTCCCCTGTACTGGTTCTCCAACCAATTCAGCTTAACGGGATGGAACACTGGCTCCTCTCTCGTTGCCGTTGGTCTGGTAAGTGGCTGCCAAAAGGGCCTCTGAAGTAAGCAACTGACGAGGACGCAGACATGGCAACAATCCTTCATCTCGTGTGTCCTTGGCGCCCTCCTGGCCTCCGTGATCGTGGTTTTGATGGCGCGTCCTGGCGTCAAGTACCATATTGGATTGTGAGTACCTGGATACCAGGCAGCAGACCACAGCTAACACCGGGAAGCCCTGTTCTCTGCCGTTCGAGCATGGGAATGTATGGATCGTACTTCTTCATCTTCATTCGCGCCATTGTATGCATCATCTGGTATGGGTATGTCAAAGTCTGCTCCCTGGGGATAAACACGATCTGACGTTGCCTGCAGAATCCAAACCTTTTACGCTGGCTCGATCCTCTCTGTCATGCTTCGATGCATCTTTGGCAGCTCCTGGGAAAACATGGCCAACATGTTGCCCGGCGATGCCGATATTACATCCAAGGTGCTCTTGGCCTTCTTCCTGGCCTGGATCATGGAGTTCCCTTTTGTAAGACCGGCGCTTCTTACGTACTCTTGCGACCTCAACTAACAATGACAGATGTGGATTCATCCTAGACATATCCACTATATTTTCACCGTCAAGGGCTTCACCATGCCCATTGCTGCCTTCGCCATCTTTGGCTGGTGCATGCACCTAGGGGGCGGCCTCTCCTCGATGAAGATGGCGAGCGATGTGGCCGAGACTCTCGCCGACAAGACCCCCCTCGGCTGGATGATCATGAATGGCATTAACGTCATCATGGGTAGCCTCTCGCCCATGTTGGTCAATCAGCCTGACTTGTCCCGCTACTGCGCGAAACCCCGGGATGCGGGTGCCCTGCAGGGTGTCAGTGTCTTCATCTCCTCGGTCCTCGTCTTCTTCCTCGGCCTTGCCTCCACCACGTCCATTCAGAGCATCTGGGGCGAGGCATACTGGAATATCTGGGACCTTCTCGGCTCGATTCTCGACCACTACTGGAACCCTGCCACGCGCGCCGGCGTTTTCTTTGTGGCTCTGGCCTTCTTGCTCGGTGTCTTTGCCACCAACTTTGGCGCCAATTCGATCCCCTTTGGAGCGGATATGACCGGTCTGTTCCCAAAGCTCCTCACCATCCGTCGTGGTCAGATTCTCTGCTCGGTGCTTGGTGTCGCTGTGGTTCCCTGGAAGCTCATGGCGAACGCCAATGCGTTCCTGTCGTTCCTTGGCAGCTACAACATCTTCATGGCACCACTTTGTGCCGTTATCATTTTCGACTATGCCTTCATCCGCAAGGGCAACGTGCACGTTCCGTCCTGTTATGACGGCAGCAAGCACGGCCTCTATTACTTCTGGTCCGGCGTCAACTGGATTGGCGTGATTGCGTGGCTGCTCGGGACGACCATGGGTATTCCGGGCCTCATTGGACAGTACCAGCCGCAGCTCATGAGCGACGCCTCTCGTTACATGTACATGATGGGCTGGATTCTCACATTTGTGACGTCTGCCGTCGTGTACATGGTCGCCTCGCTCCCGATCAAGTCGAGGTGGAGGATCTTCCCGAGTGGTCGCGAGGATGCCCCTTTTACCTGGGAGTGGCTGTCAAACGAAGGCAGGGAAGGTTTCTTTGACGGTGACCGGGAGAACCAGAGTGTTATTTACGCGCCTCCAACTCCTACTGGCACAGACGGCGAGGAGGCCCGATTTGGAGAGAAGGGAGGTGATAAGATGATCTAAGTTAGCGTTCGTCAAGACGAGCAAAATGATTGACTTCAAGGCTTGGGTCTTGGATCTAGCAATTTTATTTAGACGCTTTAATACGACTGTCTTCCCGTTCATGCAATTTAAAACTAGCAGACGCGCGCCGAAACCAACTAGGCCTCGTCATAATTCACTGGAATTACAGAACAAGTTCATGTAGCTATGAGAAGTGCAAGAAGCGAATTCTGAGGACTCCAAAGGACTTCAGTAACGTAAGAAATTCAGGCTCCCAGACAAAAATGACGAGATAAGAGTTGATAGGGACTCTCGCTTCATGTTAACCACTCACGCCTTTCCTTATCGCCGGAATCGGATGCCTTTCTTTGGCAGTTCCGAACAACGTGGGAGGCCGGCTTTCGGCGCTCCTCAGATCCACCTTCGGCGGCGAAACAGCCGACATGGCGGCCATGCCATCCGTCAGCTCCGATAGACGGCCTAGACAATCATAAGGGACCATCAGAGCCTCGACATGCTGCGGGTATATGTTCACATGCATCTGACAGCTCGTTTCACAGATTATCAGCGACAACAATCCACTCACTCACTTCTCGACTATAAAAACTCTTACAAATGGATTTGTACAAATTGACCGCAAGCGAGGTCGTCGCCAGGACCAAGGCGGGGGAACTCACCGTGGAGGACTATGCGCGCTCACTCCTCTCCCGCATCAAAGAGCGTGATGAAGCAGTCAAGGCGTGGGCATATTTAAATCCAGACTATGTGATCGAACAAGCCAAGAAACTGGACCAGGTTGCCCCTGAGGCTCGAGGTCCGCTACATGGCGTCGCTGTTGCTGTCAAGGACGTGATATATACCAAAGGTGAGTCCGCTTCTGGTTCGACTCGCGCTGCGCGAGCCGTACTGATCGACTTCAGATATGCCGACGCAGTTCAACTCTCCTATATATGAGAACGACGCACCGCAAGTAGACGCGGCTTCAATCATCATCCTTCGTCACGCTGGCGCCTTGATCCTAGGCAAGACCACGACCACTGAATTTGCAGCCACAACGACGGGCCCCAAGACATCCAACGCCCATGATCCTAAGAGAACGCCTGGTGGTTCATCTTCCGGATCAGGTGCTGCTGTTGGCGACCTTCAAGCACCCATTGGATTAGGCACGCAAACGGGGGGGAGCACCATCAGACCAGGTTCGTTCAACGGCATCTACGCACTGAAACCAACGTGGAACGCAATCTCTCGCGAGGGACAAAAGATCTACTCGCTCTTGTTCGACACCTTGGGTCTCTATGCACGCAGCGTTGCCGATCTCGAATTATTGGCGGACGTTTTTGAGATCCACGACGACGAGCCAGCGAATTCCTCCTTCCAGATCCAAGGCGCCTCTTTCGCCATCTGCAAAACAATGGCGTGGGATCATGTCGGTGACGGAACTGCAAAAGCAATGGACAAGGCGAAGGCTCTTCTCGAGTCGCACGGCGCTACGGTACAGGAGATTTCACTCCCTGAGCATTTGAAGGACTTGCCAGCGTGGCATGCCACTGTGCTCAACTCAGAAGGCCGTACTGCTTTTCTGCCCGATTATCGCAAGGCCAAGGACAAGCTGGCTCCTTTTCTGCATGCGCACGTCGAGAACACGCATGGCATATCGCGAGCCCAGCAGGTTGGGGCTTGGGACAATATTGCCGCAGCAAGACCCCAGGTCGATAAGCTGCTTGGCCAATATGACGCTGTCATTGTCCCCAGCGTGCCTGATGAGGCACCCACAGGCCTTGAGAGCACCGGTAGTGCAGCATTCAATCTGATCTGGACGGTATGTATAGACCAGGACCGCTTGTTCTGGCCACTAGCTAATATGAGAAGGCTCTGCATACACCAGTCGTCAATGTTCCTGGTTTCCAAGGCGCCAACAAGATGCCCATCGGCCTATCTCTCGTCGGTCCCCGATACCACGACCGCAAGCTGCTTTCTGTGAGTAAGGAGGTGGGCGAGATTTTTGAGGCGGAAGGTGGTTGGACGAGGAAGAATATTTGATACCTGCATGCTGCTTTTCCTACATGCAGGCAGACGTGAACATGATATTTCTCTTTGGCTTTCTCGGTTCATTCCTTCGTCTTCTCCAGTGGTGTCACCTTCTTGACCACCTTGGCCGGTACGCCCAACGCAACGCTCCAGGCGGGAATATCCTTCGACACCACGGCCCCCGCGCCAATGGTGCAGCCCTCGCCAATCGTCACCCCGGGCAAGATGACCACCTGCGCACCAATCCAGCAATCATCCCCAATCGTAATCGGCTTGGCAAATTCGATGTTCTGCCGACGACTCTCGACTTCAGTCTCGTGCGTGGCGGCGATGATAGACACGTTGGGTCCCATGGCCACGCGGTCGCCAATCGTGACAATCGCGCAGTCCAAGATGGTCAGGTTGAAGTTGGCATAGAAGCGCTTGCCAAGGCGGATGTTACATCCGTAATCAATGGAGAAGGGCGACTCGATGATGACCTCGTCGTCGTCAATGTGGCCGATGACCTGCTTCAGCAGGAGGAGGCGCTCTGCTGCGACCTCGTCAAAGGTCTCGACGGCGGGGTAGTGGTTGTTGTAGTTCATGGCCCATCTCCTCGCCTTGAAGCGGACCGCTTGGAGCTCCGGCACGAATGCGTCATATCTGTTGGACAAGTCAGTTCCCAGAGCTTTGGGCGCAGCGTATGACAGGTCTTACAGCATGCCAGAGATCATCTTGTCGTACTCCTCGCCCTTGGGCACATGGTTGAGCTTGGTGGCCTTTTCCAGCTCTTGAGGGTTCTTCTCGGTGGCAGCCATGGCTCCTGTCTACCAATGTCTCGAGATTCTATGCGTCTTATTCTTGAGCGCAGTAAATAGGAAAGACGACGATCATATGATGCCGCGAAAAGACAAGAGCCCCGCGCTCATGATTCGTAAGAGTTTGGAGAATTCCAAAAGAGGAAGTAGTGTCAACTTTTATGGAGTAAGCGGGGCCGGGGTCCAGAGGGTGGGGTTTCTAGCCTCGGACCGACGAAGCGAGGGAAGCTCCGCAAGACTCCGCGGATGTGCCCGAAAAGGGCAACGGATTTATGCAACTATAAGGTGTCCACGTAGATACGCGGTCTCCAAGGCATCTCCCTCGTTCGACGTTTTACAGAAGATGAAAAACGTGTCAATTGAGGTTTACGATTATCTAGACTGATATAACCCTTTCATTTGAGATGAAATGGCCCACAACGGCTGCCGATTCCAACGTGCCAGCAGACGATTGCCCCATTAAAAGAAAAGGTACGCATGCTGCGAGCCCTCGTTCTTGTCCACACATGTCTGGTGCCCCGAGTCAGTCAGCTTGTCAAAGTCTCCTTTCTGTGCAATAGAACTCACAAAGTCCATCCAAGGCACGTTGTTCTGGCCTCTTGAGTTCAACTTTCTCTCCGTCCACACTTTGTTCATCAGCGCTGTCATTCCATAGTGCGGGAAACCGGTGCACGTCTTGATCTCTTCAATGGAAAGATCGACATAGTGCTTTTGGTGCTCTGAAGAAGTGTCGACGCCAGCCATGAAAAGTGGAAAGAGCATACGCTTATAGCAAGGGGATGTTTTGGGGATGTTGGCGCAGGCATCGAGAATTGCCTCTGCTGACTTTCGGATTCGTGTATCGTCGCATGAGATGGTGTATGTATCCGGCCATCGGATGATTCGAAGCAAGCACGCGTGTCGAAATGCTGTTGCTAGATGTGCCCATTCGGGCTCGTTGCTAGGGAAGACCGCCGATTGAGGGTCCCAATTTCGTAGAAACTTCTCGGCGTCGCGGAGCACGACGATAAACTCCTCCGACGGAAGTTTGCCCGCAAGTTCGGCTTTGGCGGCCTCTATAACGGTGCCGATGCAGAAGAAGATGTTTGGAGGGCACCCAAATGTCATGTATAGACCGAAGCTCCAGTTGTCATAAACACAAGCACGAACCTCATGTGGGTATGCCAGCTTCTCTGCGCCACTGAATCCGCGAAGCACATCGAGCCTAGATCGTATTAGACCGTGTTCTTGAACTTTAAGAAAAGCAAGTACCATGAAAGAGTTGCGATAAAGAACAATATGCTAGCCTTTGATGGATGCGACATGTCGACGTTCTTGACCTTTCTCTCACACAGAAACGCCACACCGTCGAGGTGGGCGCCATGTGATGAGACACCGTGCTCACAGACCTGACTCGAGTCTTCAGTGCTAGAAATCATACAGAATTGTCCAACTTACATCGTGAAGCACAAGCAACAGAACAACAGCCAGAACAGCCTCTTCTTCGCACTCGTCCAAGCCTCCAGAGCTCTCTCGGAGTAGCATGCAGCCAAGGTCTCGCAACGCAGCGACACGATGCTGCAGGGCGAGTGCCATCATTGAGCGACCAGTGATCCTTTGTGATGTACAAACGTGACAAGCTGACAACCCGAGTAGAGCATGCAGAACGCCTCCATGTTGCCTCGCGAGCGGTAGGATGTGTTGACGAAAAGGGTTCTCCATGCCTTCGACAGCAATGGCCAGCTCATTGACGACGACGCTGTCAACTGTGATGGTGAGCTCGATCGGAACTTTTGCAATGTTATATGACTTACTGTGGGATACCAGCCACTCGTTCGCGGCCAGAATGGATTCGACGGATGTCGTCTCTCGATCAGCCGCTGGCGCTGCTTGTATTAGGGGCGGTGCGAAATTCCACCAACTCGAATAGGTACTTGATTCTGGTGATGTGACACAGCTTTCATCGCGAGCTTTTTCCAGGTGATTCCCGGTTAACTCGAGTGGTTCTTCTGTTGGCTGCGACAGGCTTGACGAGACAGAACGTGCTCTCACACCGGGATCTGCTCCGCTGTAGTCCCAGAATTTGAATTTGGGAGGATAGCCTTCGCACTGGAGCCCCTTCTCAGTGCATCTTTCACAAACTGGTCGCGTTCTGTCGCACTTGCGACACTTTTTGCGGCAAGTTCCGCACGCAGGATCTTGGCTCTTGGTCAGCGTCATGACTTTCTGGGGAGTGATGACCATTACCTTTGCGCACAGAAGTCGGGCCTTTCATTGTTTCTGATGATGACGTCTCTCGGGTATAAGAAGAGCGAGTGCGCGGCTACTGTTCTGAAACTCTGGTCACGTCGGATTGCAGTCGTCAAGGCGCGGAGTATTGACGTCTTGAAGCGGAAACTCCGTCGGGGGGCCACGTATTTGTCCAATAGCTGCCCTAAACCCAATCGGGCGGGAGTATTCAACTTCCTCCATGTCCACACAGTAGCCTGCGTGTGTCCACTCACACTCCATCACCGGAATTAAACAATAGCGTTATCACGCCACAGCCAGCTCCCAGACCAAGCCGATGCCACAGCAATCATCAGTCTGTGATGTCTGTCATAGGCGGAAGGTGAGTCCATCTCCTCGTTCACTTAAGATCCCCCATACTCATCCATCGATGGCTCAAGATCGAATGCTACGGGTCCCCGCCCCCGTGTGCTCGGTGCAAGCACCATAGCATCTCGTGCACCTTTGACCGCCCTAAGCTGAAGGCGAGCGGTTCACGAAGTACCTGGCTAGAAAGAGTCCGTCGGCAAGATCTATCGCATTGGGCTCGACTAGCACGCAAGACTTGGGCAGACAAATCCTCTCCGACAAACTGCCCAAGGCCCGGGATCTCTGCATTTGTCTGGACAGAACATTGACCTTCCAGTCAGACGAACCGTGGACCATTTTCTTGCACTCTACTGTTCAACATGCTTTTCTAGCATCTCTTCCCTCGTTGAGCCAGCACTCTTCAAGCACACACTACATCTTGCCTACGAAACTTCGGCCACCGGTGCCAAAGCCTATGTATGTGCATTCCTGCTGCTAGCCGCCGCGTCTCCGGCGAGGACAATGCGGCCCCAGCTCCAGTGGCTGGCGATGCCTTCCTCGAAGTTCGCCATGCCGGCCGTGAATCGCTTGTCCCACACGTCCTGGACCTTGAGATTGTCGGTGACCGGGAATGCCTTGAAATTGTCGAAGTACGTTTGCATGTGCGGCAGCGGTCCGGTCCGGCGTTGACCATGGTGGAGTTCCAACGGGAACGGCGGCGCCGCAGCTCGGCTCGGCTTGAAACAAGACTCCGGCGCCAGTGACTGTCTGCACGCTCCTCAACTACAACACAATGCCCCAGGTCAGCCTCGACCAACAAGGTCTCCCCAAGTTGTCTCCCTCGCATACCCTCATTTTTGACCACTCCACTATGTTCAGAGAAAAGATCTTCAGTCCTCTCCCTCTGGCATGTCGATGCTTGCCTGGTTGGTAGGTGGTGCAACTTCCAGGGGGCCACCAAGACGTACCAGAAGCGGGAGCACCTAAAGCGGCACCATAGGGCGTAAGTGATCACACCCATTTCTTTAAGCAAGCCTGCGAAGCGGGCTTACGAGTGTTTACACAAGGAAGCTACGTACGCCTGCGTTATTACGGGCCAAAGGTCTCATGAATGACACACCAGACGGAAACTTTTATGTTTTGAATGAAGCCCTACGACGAAGAAAAGACGATCCCCACTCAGCAAATGTCTTGTCCGCCATTGCCCGACAAGTTCCAGCTAATGTTCTCACCGCACGGGCTCTCCCGAACTGTTGTGCCGTCCACCCTCAGTGTGATGGAAATGTCCCTGGTGTTGGGGAACTCGTCGCGTGCCGAGAGACGAACCTCTCCGCCGCCGGACACAGTCCCGCCAAGGATAGACAGGTTGTAGCAGTTCTCGATGAGGATGGCATTGTTGCCATTGTCAGCCAGATCGACGGTTCCAATCTCCGCGCCGCCGGACTGGGACACGCAGAAGACACCGCGACCGCCACCGCGCGAGACGACACGGTCCACGTAGACGTTGGTGTCGTAGCTGCCGTCGGGCAGCTGGCCGTTGTTGTTGGCGAAGCGGAGTGTAGCGTAGCCGGTACCAGCACCGACGTTGTTGCCCTCGACGTAGCCGACCTGCACATCCGTCGAGGTCTGGATGAGAAGGCCAGACTCGCCGCAGTCGGTGGCGATGACTTCGCCAATGGTAAGACCGTTGATGTTGAATGTCTCCACGGCATGGCTGCCGGCGCCAGTGACGCGGATGCTGTCCATGCTCACGTCCGAGTTGGACGCAGCGTCACGGTCAAAGCGGATGCCAATGCCGCCGCTTAGGTTCAAGACGATTTCGCCGAGATGCAGGTTGCTCGTGCCGTAGAACTGCATGCCGAAATACGGGTTGCCCGTCATGGTGAGATAGGGAATCGAGACATCGGACGTGCCTAGAGAGCGAATGGCTCCACGGGCATTGTTGAAGCCGACATCAAGCGTCCCACAGACCTCAAAGGTCTTGCCGCTGGGAATGTCGATGCTGCTCGCGCCAATGCCACCTGAGGCAAGGACTGACACGCGCTGCCCCGCAGAGACGGAGTCGATGGCAGTCTGGATGGCCAGGCGGTAGTCGGAGCCAGCATAAACCTGGCCGCCGTTGGCGGTGGCCACGTAATTTCCGCTGCTCCCGTCAACAGTCGCTCCCGGGTTGCCAGCGCCGCATTGTGCGCAGGCAGTCGCGGCAAAGGCCAGGAGGTTGGCGAGGAGTGAAATACGAGTCATGGTTCTGGGCAGGGAACTGACAAGTCTGGGGATGGTGTTCAGAGGGGAGCTCTGTACAGAACATTTGCACAACCTCGAGAGATCATGTTTATATATACCCGCGTTGTGGGTTTCGCGAACATTGGAGGAGAGTCTGGATGTCGGAGGGTCAGGTTCCGCCTGGGGAAGAAGGCTAAGATCTGCCCCTTGCATCAACCCTAATTTCTGCATGAAACCCATAATGTCGCATCCCAACTGCCGGCTTCGGTATATCATTGGCGCGGTTTGAAACTTGGGGTCGGATACACACACTCGGATTGATGAAACCTGGGGTTGGCGAGCAGGGGTGAAAGGGAACCCCATGAAACAGGTTTCTCCGATTCGCGATCTCGTCGTAATCATAGCCCGGAAACTTTGAGTTCATGCTTATTCTGACGAGACTACATCATCCCAAGTCTCGATCCAAATGCGGGGATGCGAACTTGACGATATACATGGTCAAAGGGGCTCGCTCGAGACTTGGCCGCGCATAAGACCCACGGCTTGCCGGTCGCGAGAAGGATGGGACATGGTCATTTAGATCGAAATGGAACAGAAGCTCCGAAGATCCACGCTGTCCATCTTCTATCTCATCTACCGAGCAAGGACGATACTCTCAAGACATGTCGCGGGGTAAACCCCTACAAAGACATCGACGTGATGCGCGGCCTAGCAGGTCGTGACGCCATCATGATCCCAAACTACTACTTCCTTCCTCAATCGAACCTACAATATTCAAATCTGTTGCCATTAAAATAGACTAGGCGTGGAGACGATAACGCTGGCGTCAGCACACAACGATTTACGACAGTCTAGCGAGCCTAGAAGCTCACGGGCTACATATAGCTCCTCATTCCAGGATGATTACACAGGAGTTGATAGTAATCCAAACCTTTAATCTTCCTCGATGGTCACTTTTCCACATCATGTCCAACTCCGTAGCCCCAAGGATCGAATCTGCGAACAAGGAGTATGCCTCCAAATTCGAGAAGATCAATATCGGCCCAGCGCCAACACAGTAAGCCGCCTTTGTTTCGCTTCTAATGCCGTGCCCCAGAGTGCCTGTCAGTAGAGTTTCTGACAATTCGCCTATACATATAGTCATGTTCTAGTGTTGACATGCATGGACGCACGACTTGACGTCTTCCGCATGTTGGGTCGCCAGATCGACGAGGCGGATGTCATCTGCAACGGCGGTGGACGCGTTCATGACGCACTGAGATCGATCATCTGCTCGCTGCAGCTTCTGGAGACACGAGAGATTATATTAATTCATCACGTAGGTCCCACGTGATTGCATACACTGTAGTCTCGCTAAAAGGACCAGACTGACTGCGGGTTCACGCATGTCAACGAGGAGGAGCTGCGATCTAAGATTAGGAAGAACATGAACCACGTGGCGGATTATCTGGCATTAATGTCCTTCACTGACGTCAAGCAGAGCGTGCTCGATGATATCCATCTGCTCAAAAATGAGCCCTTGGTGATGAATGTGCCCATCACTGGGTATGTGTATCACACTGAGGTGGAGAAGCTCGGGAGGATTCAACAGTGAATCAATGGGCCACGTAGTCGTTATTTCTCTGCGATACGTAAATATTCCATGAATATACGCTGCAAGTTCATCACGAGCTCTGTTGACCGGGATACGGAGCGTCGAACCCACTTGCAGGGGACGTTTGTTTAACGACGGTTGCATAACGAGTCAATGTTTACCCAAGTGCGATAACTCCAGAGGGGAAGGCACAGCCCAGATGTGGGCTGACACCAGAGTGCAACACATCATGCATGATGCATCTGACCTTGCCAATGCTGCCCGGAGGGCTCGAAGGGGACAGACATACTGCGAGCACCAACAGCGCCGGTGGCCCGTAAGGAAGGTGGGCAAGGGAATGGAAGCACCGCTTTTCAGCATAGGAAATTATACCATTCATTCTCAACTGTTTGGGACTTACTCCGGCACATGTAGGGATCACTTCAACCCTATGGCACAGCTTGCGCGCCCTGGGAAACAATCATCATCAATCGTCCCCATCGAGCGAGAGCCCGGCGTCCTTCCACAATACACGAGCATCTGTGCCCCAATGGACAGCTGACAGCATATCAATATATGCACCATTTTCCGACAGGCCCTGACCGGTCGCTCTCGCTGACCAAACTCCATGTCGGCAACAGCCCAGTCCGGGCAGCCTTGAACACGTCTGACAGTCTGATTCGCTTCAGATTTCGGATACATGCTGCGCAATGCAGCCTGTTCGCCCCTCAGCAGCCGCCTTGAAGCAGTACATATAGAGAGTACGGCTTCAAATGGAACCGGGCGTGTCGCTCGTTCGGGCTCGTCGGGCAAGATAATGATGGATGCGCACGCTGTCCAGCGCGATCCCGACTATGGCATGTCGCACATTACCAGTCTTCGCGAAACCGAGTATCCATATCTTGACCACCGGAAACACACATACCTCGACTATACAGGCGCGAGTCTGCCCTCCATCACCCAGGTGGAAGCGCACCATGCCCGGTTGGCGAGCACAGTAGCGGGCAATCCTCACTCTGTCAGCCCAGCCTCGGGCACGTCCACGGACCTCGTCGACGAGACGAGGCGTCGCATCCTCCTCTTCCTCCACGCCGCGCCAGAGGAGTATACCGTCATATTCACGGCGAATGCGACGGCAGCGGCGAAACTCGTCGGCGAAGCATACCCCTTTGACAAGAGGACAAGGCTGGTCTTGACGGCCGATAACCACAACTCCATCAATGGCCTCCGTCAGTATGCGCGACAGGCCGGCGCAGACGTGGCGTACGTCCCCATCGCGGACGCCGACAGCTTGCGAATATCCACGTCTGAGGTTGGACAGGCCCTTCCAAAACTCAACACCCCCATGAGGGAGACCTGCTCGTTCTTGCGTCCACGTCGCCGTCCCCGAACCGGTCTCTTCGCGTACCCTGCCCAGAGCAACTTCAGCGGCGTCCAACACCCTTTGTCGTGGGTCTCGTTAGCCCAGTCGCGGGGATACAAAGTCCTGCTCGACGCAGCCGCCTACCTGCCCACCACTCCTCTCGACCTGTCACGGTGCAAGCCCGACTTTGTGATCCTGAGTTGGTACAAAGTCTTCGGCTTCCCTACGGGTGTGGGATGCCTGATCGCGAGGCACGATACCCTGACCACACTCGAGAGACCGTGGTTCTCAGGCGGCGCCGTGGACATGGTAACAGTAGGGCGCGAGTGGCATCGAATGGCCGACGGCAGTCAAGCGTGGGAAGATGGCACGCTGAACTTCCTCGCTATCCCTGATGTCCACGTCGGACTGAACATTCTCGTCCACACGGTAGGGTACGACCCTTTGCGCAAAAGGCTTCGACTGTTAACGAGGTGGTGCATCGACGCTCTGGACTCGCTGCAGCACGGATCGGGCCACGGGGTTTGTCGTATATATGGCCCACGAGACGTAGAAGCGCGGGGAGGCACGATTGCGTTCAACGTGCAAGATGTCGCGGGTGTTCTGGTGGACGAGTACTTGGTCGCCCGGGACGCGGCGGCAAACAACATCTCCATCCGCGCCGGCTGTTTCTGCAATCCTGGCGTTGGCGAGACCGTCAGCAGGGCGAGTAAGCAGGTCTTACGCTCGTTCGCGCAGGAACGAGAGAAAGATCGCGGTGGCATGGGAGCCGTCCGCATCTCCCTTGGCATCGCCTCGACAGTCGGGGATGTCGAAACCTTTGTTAGATTCATTGAGGATACGTACAAAGACAGGAAGCTCGGGTAGGCGAGATTGCAAGTATAAAGGTTTCAAAATTGTCAATATCGCTATGTGTTCGTGTGTGCCAGTTGACGTTTGTGCCCAGTCTTCCCGAACCACCCATCCAAGCTCAAAACAAAGTAACAACGCCGTCCTCATGAGTCCATTTCTACATCGTATTTGTGACAAGGGGAAGGATGCCTATGAGATATTTGCGATCCAGTGATTGATCAAGTCAAGTCGTGTATGTGCAAAAGGTGTTTAGAAAAGGAATGACAGCACGAAAACGAGACACGTGAACACCGTGGTGATCGTGTACTCAAACTCGTACCAAAGGTCCTCTCCTCCAAATGCGATCTTCTTGCTGGCGGGAGTAGGGTGGGCAACTCCAGTCTTGGGATCCCTGACCAACAGCTGCTCGCGGGATGGGACGGATGGAGGATCGATGGCGTACGAGATGGGTGTCCAGAGCGAGCTGCATATGAAAATGAAGGTGAGCGGTGGCCAGAAAGCATGCGTCAGCAGACAAAGAAGCTTCTCGCGCAGTGTCTCCGATATGGACACGCAGCGATACGACGCAACGGTCGCCGCGACGAGGGTGAAGTAGACAAAGAGCAAGTGGTAGATGGACCAGTAGTTCACCAGGATAGCCCACATGCGCCTTGCCAGACCCTTCCTGTTTTGAGGGTCTCGCTCGTGGAGTGCCGAGTCCAGAGAGCCTGTAGGCTTGAAAGCCTGAGCCTCACCACCGAGCCATGCTGGCAAGATGAACGCCCGAATGATGCAGAGTGCAATGTAAGGAGACATCCACATCTCATAGCGGGCGCCACGCCGACCGGTGCGATAGCCAGCGGGCATGGACAGGACAAGCTCGCAAAGACGGTTGGCCATCAGGGAGGCAAAGCAAGCGCGAATGAGCCATCGAAGCTGATTGTCGGTGGAATAAGCGACGAGAGGCTTGCCCATGGCCAGGATGATAGGAATGGCGAATAGTGATACGGAGAGCATAATTGTGTAGAGGTTCAGTGTCGCATATAAAAAGCCAGAAAATCGCTGCGCAACAGACATGTCGCGGACCTTGTCACCCCACAGGGAGAAGTTGAGCTTGAAAGATGTGTCGACAGTGCCAATCGCCCAACGGGTGCGCTGTTTCAAGTGGCCGCCAAAGTCTTCGGGAACTGTACCAAACTGGAGAGGCTCGTGGACGTATGCCGTCTTCCAGCCACGACCCAAGAGATGAGTAGAGGTGGCCACGTCCTCAGCGAGCGAACCCAGAGGAAAGTTGCCAATCTCATCCAGAGCATCGCGGCGAACGATGTAGCCAGAGCCAGTGCACCACGCAACGCCCATGGCGTCTTTGATGGGTTCGATCACATGTACGAAGAAGTCGAGACTCTGTGCCAAGGGGTCGCCACGGGGAGTGTTATAGAACAGCTGGGGTGGGCAGGCCATGGCCACCTTTTCGTCGCGAAGCAGATGGGGAAGCAACGCACGCAGCCAGCACGACTCGGGGATCATGTCGGCATCCAGCGCAGCCATGTAGAAACCAGCGCCGCCAGGAAGCGTGTGAACGTGGTCCAGGGCGTAGTTGAGGTTACCAGCTTTGAAGTGGTGAGGAACTCCTGGGAATTTGGGTCGCGCAACGTAGAAGGTATTGGGATATGTGTGCGCTATGGCACCCATTGCCTTCTCGAGGCTGGCAGACTTCCCGTCATCCAGCAGCAGAACACGGAAGCGATCCCTGGGGTAGTCCTGGTTGCACGCTGCAATGACCGTGTCCATGACTACGTCGTCATCCTCACCGCAGCAGGTGATGAAAACATCGACAGTGGGTACCTCTTGCCCGACGAGCCTCAGCTTCGGACGACCGCGATTCTTGATGGCCATCATTGTCCACATGTTGTGCATCAGCGGGGGAATGGCCACGCAGAACTCAATGGCGATGAAGACCCATGCCTGGTAGTAAACCTCGTTAGCCGCGTTTTGCGCGTAGACCACGCAGGTGATGCGGAGCGTCAGGTAGATAACGTAAAGAATGGCGTTCAAAATGGTGAGGACGGGAATAGCATAGTACACCTTGCGCCTCCAGCCCTTCCAGAAATCAGAGTCATCGCGCTCGTGTAAACGAGCAATGCCGGAGTCGCCCTTGACCGGGGCCTGGGCGAGCACGGGAGAAGCTGGGCGCGAGAGAAGGTTTGTGTGGCTGGCGGAAAAGCTGTGTTGGCTTTGGTTGATGTAGCTGTTCCTGTTGCTGTGGCCGAGCGGAGTTGTGCGCCCACTCTCGCCGCCGCCATAGACGAAGCCAGGTGAAGGGGACTCTGCTCGGGGGTCAAAGCTGTAAGGCTGCACCGGCTGGTGGTACTGGTGCATGGAGTTGCCGGTCAGAGTGTTGGTGCTGGAGCCCCATTGCGAAGAGGTGATGCCAGTCGCCGTCGAGGCGCTGTCGGGCTGGACTGTCGCAATAGGCCTTATGGGCCTTGCCAGCTCTCGAGGCGAGCTCTGGCCTGACTGGGGTGCAAAGTGGCGTGGGCTCGGCGGCGGTTGTCGAAGGACATCGATTTCAAATTCGTCGGGTGAGGCCTTCATGATGGTTGAATCTTCCGGTGTTGCACAAGCAACCCAGACGATGAAGAGAACGAGTGGCTAGAGGAAGCGAGTCCCCTTGAGGAGCGCAGTCTTAGCTGAAATAGTCCTGCGTAGCGTGGAAGGTTACCCCGGTTGGTGGTTGGTGAAGTAAGGCAAGATGGTAAAGTGTGTGGAAGACGGGGAAAGTTTGTCTGACAGACGGAACAAGGAGCAGTCGGACACAATGGGGGATGGACGGAGGGATGAGAAGGTACCGTACCGCCTAGAGGAAGGCACGCTGGGACGGGGCAGTACGTATAGGCATGATGGTGCCGGCACGTTGGTACGTCTAGTATGGCAGGTATGGAATTTGGAGGATGCCACTGCTAACACGGGGCGCGTCAGAGAACAGTGGATATCTGCTAGTGACAAAGGCAGCTGCGATTTTCTTGATTTGAAGTTAGCCTGTCCCACCTGACGAATGAATCTCGCGAATTGTCGATTGCTCGGCCCCTCTGGTGAAAAGTTCCAATGCATTGTGGCCCATGGTTTGTTGACGTTGCGCCTGGCAAACACGCGCACTGTGCGTTGTGTCGGAGGGATCTGAGTCGGGCCCACCCTTCGCGCGCCTTGTATGCACTGATCTCCACCGTCACAGGGGCTGCAGCAGCCGCCTGCAGTGGCCCTGCAGGACACTGACATGACTTTGAAGTTTGCTGCGCTTTGGCTAGACCAGACCGTGGACGTCATGTCACTCCAATTTAGCGTGCGCTCAGGGGTCAGGGGTCAGGGGCCAGATCAGCGTGTGACGCGCTAGATGTCCCCAGCACACCAATGATGCCCTAGCATTCGACATGGACTGGAGCTGCGAGGCTGCAGAAGCAAACATGTGAAGTTGAAAATCTTTCGCTTATCGGCTTGTGGGAGCAACCATGTCGCATCTGCCAGACTCGAACCTACCATGTACTTTGAGTAGCGTTCACCGCTCAGTCGGTCACTGTAGTCAACAGATCGGGAGTATGCGGGACTGGAAGGATTGGACTGGATTCTGGAGACTACCAGGAAGCAGAAAGCGCCGTCTGCTCAAAACGCTGAAAACAGCACCCTCCCGCCTGGATACGAGATGATGCAAACCTTATCCCACGCTGGATCCGGAGGCAGCGGACTAGGGCCAATGGGCGAGCCCGAGTCCCCTGTACGGAGTAGACGCGCTGATAACGCGGTCTGGAAATAGGTACCTAGCCCGCTGCAATTTGCAACTTTTGCACTGGCAAAGCTAAGTAGGAACTGTTATTGCCGAGCGCGCCGCATTGGCGCGCCGGCTATCTCGGGACGCCTCGTACTGAAGTGGAGACTCGGACAAGACACACAAGCTCCAGCTGCCGTGTCTCGTGTTCAGCCAGCCCACTGTTGGTCTCGTAAAAAAGGAGTTAACTTGTCAAGAGGTGACAGACACGCCGTCACGAAGAGGCGGTGCTGTGCAATGCTCCATCGTCACGACGCAGCCTCGTCATAGACAGCAACAGGGCCTAATAGCTCAGCAAACCGCGTGCGGTTTGCACGCTTGGCATCAAGCTTAAAAGTCCGAACTCTGTTGGCGCAGCCACATTCCGGTCAGGGAAGAAAAGGCTGTATTATTCCAGGGCTGGACTCGCTGGAGTGGCATGTTTGCGGCCTTTGAAGTTGGACGTTAGTAGCGGCGGCACCGCCCCCTTTTCCACATTAGTCGCCCGATTCTCTTCGCGATCAGCAAGCTCAGCTGGAGCAGGCTTATCATTGCCCATCTCAGGACGCCATACTGTGTGAACTTGACTCATCGTGCACGGCAGAGCCAACCAGACCACCCCCCTGCGCATTCGGCCAACTCCATGCAATTTTCTCCAGTGCCTGCATCACATCCCATCCACAACTCATACAAGCCGTTGTCTTGGCCGGTTCCATCCTTGCAAGATTACCATCGCCCATCCTACCGTCACTCGCTTTTTGCCTTGTCTGGCAGCCTCTCGTTGCAGGACGGACGTGCCATATGCTTCTCGCCATTGTCAATATACCGTCTCTGGAATTGGGAAACATTCTGGATCTCGCGACTTCCTCCGACCTACGACCAGCATTCTAATTAGACACGGGCAAGAGAAAGAAGAAGTAAAGAGCCGACACCGTTGCAGTTCACCCGAAGCCGCCTTACTCGGCCGGCCACTCGTTCATCCCTTTGGAAGCGCCCGCCTTGACGGTGCAGACACTCGTTTTATTCAGAACATCACATCATGGGCGCCCTATCAATATTAAGCGGCGTGCTCGCGCTGCTGCCTATCATCTGCTCTCTCGCAGTCTTGATCGGTCTCGACGTTGGCCGTGATTCCTCGTCGCCACCACTGTTCAATCCTGAGAAGCCGAAAGGTCCCGATGGCAAACCACTGGATAACGGCATCAAACACAAGTCATACTGCGATGAAACAATTGGTATTTCGCCACCGGCAAAGGGCGATCACTACACGCGTAAGACTCGTGCGCACATGCGCTTCAGGCGCCGGTGGCTAACCGAGAATCGCAGTCAACCCGAATCCATGGAACTGGGAAGAAGGCGACGAGGGCAGTCTCTGCCTCAATGTCACGACCTTCAACAACCAGACGTATCCAACCGATTCCTCCGCGCCCGAATTCTCCGTCACATGGCAGTACCCTCCAGGGCCGCCATCGTCGCCTGTGCACGCTTACCCCAACGTCAAGGTCGATTCTGGTGTCTTTCCCAACCAAATCAAGAACATTGACGAGATGATGCTCGACTTTGAATGGACGTATGCTGTAGGCAACCTGACGGTCGAGACCACGGACGAAAAGGCACTCAATGCCAGCAACGTCAACGCCAACGTCGCGCTCGATCTGTTCTTGGACCAGGACAAGAAGAAGGCGCAGATCAGCGAGGATGCTAGTACGGAAATCATGGTGTGGTTCGCGGCGTTTGGGCCTGCGACGCAGCCCATCGGCCGGGATGACGGCTCACTGGATGAGCAGGAGCTTGACGGCACCAAGTTGTAAGTTGATGTAGCCCGCAGTCCTCATCTATTTCCCGGGTGCTGACCCCATCATAGCACGCTGTACTCTGGCAAAAACGGCGTCGGTCAGTTCGTCCTCACCTGGTACTGCGAGGACCCCGCCCCCAAGTTCCACGGCGATCTCCAACCGCTCGTCGACCGCCTCGTCGAGATGGGCGACACCAACTTTCCCACAGAGTCCGATTACATTGGGTACATGGCTGTGGGAACCGAGACGTACTTCTCCGACGACTATGTCACCTTTCACGTGCCCCAACTCGCGATCGACGTTCACTTGAAGGATTAAATGCGCGGCATAATGCCACCAAGCAATTAAGAATGCGGGCACACTGCACCTGCGCACGCACATCCATGTGTTGCGCACGTTACACGTCTTGGAGCCCGGAAGAGACTGGGTGCCACATGCAATTGCCGCTCTGCGCCCGGTTTGCCAATCGGGTAATTCAAGCTGGTCAAAACTGGCAAGTCTCCCGCCGCACCTAAGTGCAGTCACACCAGGGCTTTCGATTTAGGATAAATGAGCGACTCTTCGGTAATTTTGATTGAAACATGCCCATACATACGGCGCGGGCGCAGCGGATTGATTGAATTTTGTCATGACGAGGCCGAGGCCAGGTCGGTGGGATAGAAGCACACGCACAGCCTTCGTAGATAGAACAGCGGTCTACCAGAAGTGACGTTATACGGGAGCGCGACAGCGTGATGAGATATAATACAATTGAACCAAATTTTGAGCATCTCATCGAGTTCCGTTCTCTAGTATCGATTCCATTGCTACAGTGAGAACAACCCAGAGGTCTCCTCAGTTGTGTGGCGCGACTGAACACATTTCGAAACCCAGTACACGGTAGTTAGTTATCTTCGAGGCTTAGTTAACCTTTACTTGTGTATTCGCGTACCCTACAGTCCGATGTGGAATACTTTGACTTTCAACAGCGCTCCGCGTTAAATTAAATTGGCCGCAGGATTTTTCGTTCGGGGCTTGAAGGCTTTTTGACCGCAGCTAGCGGCACCAGATTGCGTCGACAAGGAGACGTGCCTCCATGGTTTTGTTTGGATGTCTTGTCTTGTCTCGTCGCTATTGACAATTGACAAAATCGCGAGGTATGCGAGACTAGAATCGCAAATGTGAACAGCAAGTCTAGGCAGGCATGACGTCAGCATCGATGCCAAGGCTTCCATGGGTGCTCAATCTCCATTATTGATGTCGCGTTCCACAACGGCGAGAAATTTCCTATTCTTTCCGCACGATGCAATGTTTAAGCGCCGAAAATCCACCTCAGGCTGGTTTCAGCGATGCCGGTCTCGAACTCCTCCTTTGTGACTAGCGCCCAAGGCCCGTTGCGCCCCACTGACACGCCAGCTGCGAGCCGACGTCTGTCGATGTGAACTTATCACACGCGCTCACGTTTCCAGTCATGACTCTAGACGTGTACGTATTCACATGATCAGGGAGTGATCGAGAGGATGATTACTCAATGTTCACGTCTCTTCTTAACCTGGCGATAGCAACTATGATAGTCAAATTGGCTTGTCCTCTTACTGCTGACGCCCCCGCTAGCTCACCGCATATGAACCACGCCGCGTGTGAATGCCAAAATTCCCCACTATGATGGGATTTTTCGTATACCAAGCAAGTCTGATGTATACGTAGGTTCGCCATATCCTACCCGCAAAGCGCCCATAGTGTCTCCGAAACTGAAGTGTGCGCCCTCCCGCCCAAAGCCGGGCTCGCCAGTCTGACTGAAAATCAAAAATAGGAAAGACAAGAACGCCTCTAGGAACGCTCCATATCACCGCACGCTAACACAACGCAAAAAGCTGCTCAATCGTGTCCCCAATCAAAGCCACATACTTGGCAAAGTGATCCGCATCTCGGCCCTCAATGTCTTCCAAAAGCTGAAGAACGCCGGCAATGCGCTGCGTCACCTCGCCACTGGGAGCGGATGCGGCAAGCGATCGGAAGACCTCCATGGGGCCCACGGCAGAAGGCGGCGGGTCGTCGTCGTGTGCTGCGGCCAGCTCCATGCACTGCTTTGCCCGCGCTTGGAATACTTCCAACTCCTGGTAGACGTGAGCCGCCTCCTGAGCGAAAGACGAAACACTCTGCGGCTGGGTGACACTGCCGGCCCCTGCCATGAACTGAGAGAGAATGGCCTTCTAGGGCAAACAATCCTCGGTGGAGGGAATATCAAAGCCGGCAGCCTTGTAGCAGGCGGCGGCCACGACCATGTAGCCGCTGTCATTGGCGTTTTCGAGGCAGACGGGTGATGTGGGAATCACGCGCGGTGGCTTGTCGAGCTGGAGAGCCTTGCTCAAAACGCCGGTGATGAATGTGCGGACGTGGTGCTGCAGGCCCAAAGAGGGACAAAAGTCGTACGCGTAGACGAAACGGCGGCGTTGGTCGACGTGCAGAAGGAACCAGAGGGTCGGGTTGGAGGTGTCCTCACCAGTATCGGCTGATCCGCCTCCAAGGTCGTTGACCGGAACGCCAATGATGGAAAAGATGGAACCAGTTGTGTCAGCGCTGTCGTCTGTCGATGGATGGTTGAGCTCATGGTCCAGGAAGGTCGTCGGACAGATGGAACACTCCGCGATGAGCTTGATGCATGTTTTCATGGAGGCCTCGGTCAGCTCCCCGGATGAGTTGCGTTCGGGTCCCTGCGGTGGGGTGGTACTGGGGACTTCGTCTTTCGCACTCTGGGGCCTGATAGGCAACGGCGTTGTCTCAAGCGCAGATTTGTTGCCTTCAACTGAGTGCGCGGCAACTATCTCGTCCACAGATGCACGAGGCTCGGACGAGCGTTGGTGTTGAATTGTATCGTCAAATTTGCATACGGGCTTTACATCCATGACGGTCTCATTGTCTGTCGTTTCCAGGACAGACTTGTTTCCATCGCTGACACTTGGACCACCTCCCTCGTGAAAGTTCTCTTGTTTAAAATCGACGCTGCGGTCGTCATCAATAGTGTCGAGCATTTTGGTATCCTCGCGGTACTCTGATGCGTGGACGGAAGGGACGGGCGTCAGCGTCTTCTCGCCCTGCAGAGTTTCCTTGCTGGCATCGAAGTAAATTTCATGCTTGAGTTTCGAACTCTTCACGAGGGCAGGCGGTGATGGGGTTCGCGAAGTATGGGTGAGCTTGAAAGGGCTCGACGGCTCTGGAGCGTCTCCGCCATGTTCATGTTCCGTGCCTGGCGCCGGCGTGGCTGAGCGTCGGGCTGGAGGTGCGATGATGAGCTCCAGTGTGTTGCTCTGGTGAACTGGGTCTGTGACTGGTTAGCAGCTGCAGTATATGGTGTCGAATCCACAGTTTATGGTAACCTGCCGGTTTTCTTCCTGGAGGTCCCGTTTGTCTTTTCAGAGTTAACGGGCGTAGAGGCGTTGTCGACTGTCTTGGACTTGGTAGCAGAAGAAGCCTCCGAGGCCGAGTTCTTTGGCTTCTTGCGGGGTGCATTAGACGGAGGAGGGCTGGCCTTCTCGTCCGAAGCGTCAGCCGTGCTGTCTCGACCTCGTTTCTTGCTGTAGGGCAGCCCTGAGATTGCAATGCCCAGCTTGTCAGCGGCCACCTGGATGTCAGGGACTGTCAGTTTTGTCTTGTACCTTTTGGCTCCAGTGTTGTCTCTCAGTCTTATCTGCATAGCGGCCTCCAACTGGTCTAGGACGTCGGAGAATGGCTTCCCTTCCAACTTGACGACATAGCGGACGAAAGAGTCCGTTTCGGCGGAGAACTCGTCTTTGGCCTCGTTGCCCCAGACTTTCACCAGACGATCATTGAGCTTCTCACGCACCGAAGGCTTGTTGGACGCAGAAGTGTCTGCTTCCTCCATCCTAGAAGCTTTGACGGACCTCTCTATCTCTTCGCGGAGATTATCAAAGAACTTTGCTCGCTCCTTTCGAGTGTGCTCTTCAGCGAGAGCTTGTTCTCGCTCGAGTTGGCTCTGAGGGCTGGGGGTCATGAGAAACGCAGAAGGGGAGCATGAAGGGAGTTGAAGGTGTAAGGGTGAGGTGAAAGAAGGCAGGAAGGCAGGGCGGTTTCGGCTCAGCTTGATCGGCCACTTGTGTGAGTCAAGAGTTTGATGCCATTGTGCTGCTTGAAAAGCTTTAACAAGATGAGGTGAAATGGAGCGTTCTCTCATCCCAAGAGCAAGTGAGAGGCCCACTGAGTCGGACTGACCAGCTGACCAGCATATTCTGCCCGTGAGGTATCGAGGGCGAATTCTCATGCACGACTACATGGGACTTCAATTTGAATACATCCAGTCAGTTGAATCTATTAATGAGGGTAAAAGCTCTATTCAGAACATCTGAGAATTTTGTTCTGACTTTTATTAACCCTCATGCATGTGCAGACAGCATACATCAAGATCAAGATGACACTGGACGATAGTGATTGAAGTGAACAATGGCGGACTCATAAGTTGGAAACAATCTCATACTTGGCAAACACGACTTCTGTTCTAGATGGTTCCATTGCCTTTCCAAAGGAAACAACCCAACACGGGTATACCAACTTTCTATCGCCAGTCAAAATATAGGCGAGCTTGAGTGATATGAGCTTCTTGCAGAGGCACTATTGCCTTGCTATCTCATTCAAGTGCTGGACATCGAGTGTGAAGAGACTGGGCTTGGCACAAGGCCGAGTTCTGCCTTGCGATGAGCGTCTGGAATCAGCACGAGCTTACCACATGCTGGCCTCAGTCCGCCTTTTCCATCAGCACGCTGCTCCTCTGCCTCGGTACATAAGCGAGAATGGCTCGTATGTGTAGTATGTACGACCACTTTCGCCTGTTCCCTTCCGTCTGCGATTGTGGAGAGTGTCTGTCATCCGCCCTCGAGCATAACACCCGACCATAATGGCCTTGTCCACTTTATCACGGTAAACACGAGCAGCAAAGCCAGCACAGATGCCAGCACATCGTCATCATGTCGCCATGCGACATCGCATACCCAGAAGCCCGCTTAAGTAGCCCATCTTTCTCAAAATAGAGCGCCTCTTTCGTTGCATTGCGGCTGTAATTATTAATTGACGGTTCCTCGACCGAACCTGGACCCTTGCGGGGATGCAACGATGCTATACCCCATACGGCAACTTTTGGACCATTGCCGGCAGTTCGTTGGACTGTGCCACGGCAGCTGACATGGGTGACACTGCAGATCTTCTCGTGTTCTTCTGGCTGGGCGTCGGCGACAGATGTAATACCGCGCCTTGGTGGTGGGTTAGCTGGCAGGCTCAACGCACCCAGCAAGCACGCCTCTTGGCTAATGGCTTGGGCGTCGTCATGATCGCATCAAAATCCACGAGGAGAGACTGACTTAATCGTCTGTGTAACGACGAAATGCGTATATAAGACCATGGACTTTTGCTCCCAAGGCTAGGGAGATCTCATCACTGCTCTCATCTTAGAAGATCATCAGACACCATAGCGACGACAGACTCACAAACAACACCGAACCTCCAACATCACAAACCACTTCGACATGCTCGCTCAAGGCCTCATCACATTTTTCCTCGCCTCCACGGCCTTTGCTGCCCCGGCCCGCCGCGAGCAGGTCAAGTCCATGTCCTCGTCGGCTGCCAAGGAGTGGACCGTGCTGGACATGTCCCGGGACTGCAACAAGGACGACACCAAGTGCACCTGGACCTTTAGCGTTGACAAGAATGAGGACGGCTTTGAGCCCGTGGACTGCGAGTACATCATCGAGGGCGATCCCGCCTCGGAGACGCCCGGCGTCACCCCCCAGTCCTGCGAGCCCTTCACCATCACCTCGGGCTACGACAGCAGCGGCTTCACTGTCCTGTCCATCGTCGACTACGACACGGGCAAGATTGTGTGGGCCGGCTACAATGACGACGTCCTCGAAAACGGCGAGACTGTCACCCCTGACCGCAGCTGGGCCGTCTCTGATCTCCCCTGATTGATTGTGGTTGCTGGAACATGTCCTTGAATGCTAGAATGCTGTTATTGGTGTCGTCGGGTTGTTTTTCTTTCAATTTCCCTTCACGTCTGTCAGCATAGATGCCACGCTGGGTTGATTACGATACACACGACCCTTACTCAATGAAATCAAACTTCAACAATGCGTGTGAGCAAATCGACGTGATTATGCCGGCGAAGTGAAGTACATGTACACGTATATCGGTCCACAAGTGTGGAGAGGAAGCCCCTTCAATTGCAAGTCGTTGGGCGTCCAAGGGAGCAGTCACATTGCCGGCTCGAGCCGCAATCCTTCCAAAAATCCCCCAATTATGGAGTCATGGATGATGGATCCAGAATACCACTCCTTGACGGCTAGGCTAGAATCGGAGTGCCGTTGGAAGAACAGTGCAACATCGCAGCATTCGTATCAACGTGGAACGGACTCACGGAGTCCCTATGACGTCGTCGAACGTCAACATGAGAATACCTCACTTGCCAATTGGTTTCAAAGCTACATGCCCGGCGAATGAAGTCCGAACCTCTCGACACTCTTGAAACTACAATCATTTTCGTTCTGACTCACTCCACACAATGCCCGGCGACAAGCTCAACTTCAACTGCGCCGTTGTCACCGGCGGCGCTGGGGGTATCGGCCGTGCCATGGCCGAGTACTTCATCGCCAATGGAAAAAAAGTCCTCCTTGCAGGCCGCACGGAATCCAATCTGCAGGAAACGAGCAAGGCCATTGGCGCGGCCGACTACTATGTCCTTGACACGGGCAAGACGGCTGACATTCCGTCCTTCGTCGAGAAGATCACAAAAGAGCACCCCGAGCTAGACTGCCTCGTCAACAACGCCGGCGTGCAGCGGCCCATTGAAGTGGCCAAGATGGATGCCGTTGATTTTCTGTCCAAAGCCGACCAGGAGATCGATATCAATATTCGCGGACCCATGCATCTGGCGCTGACATTGTTGCCGCACCTCCAGTCCAAGCCATCGGCGACCATTATCAATGTCTCGTCCGTCTTGGGCTTTGTGCCCTTCTCCATCATCAACCCGGTCTACAACGGCACCAAGGCCTGGCTGCACTCGTGGAGTATGACCTTGCGCACGCAGCTGGCGCAGGCCGGCACCAACGTGCGCGTGGTGGAGATTGCGCCCCCCATGGTTGAGACGGACCTCCATCGCGAGAGGGTTGATCCGGGCGATAACAAGAAGGAGAAGAACTCCATGGCCTTGAGCTTGAAGGAGTTTATGGATGAGGTCTCGGTGAAGCTGGAGAACGGTGACGATATGATCACGGCTGGGCTTGGCAATGACATGGTGCGGAAATGGTATGATGCATACGGGGGGATTTACTACAAATCTTCTGGAGGAAAGTAGCTCTATGAATTAACGAATAGATAGTGAAGGTGCTGGACCAATTTGAGCTTGACAGCCCCAATGACACCCGCGAGTGCTTGGTGTTGGAACTCCTGGGTCCAAGCATGCCTGATGTTCTCGATGTCCATTTTGTTAACGACAGACTTCCCGTTGCTCTTGCTAAAAAGGTTGCGCGTTAGACCATTCTTGGTCTCGACTACTTGCACCAACACGGAATTGTACATGGAGGTATGCTTGACCACGAGCTTCCAGATCCATGTTTTGACTAAACAGAACAGACCTTCACGCGCGCAACATAGTTTTCACCCTCTCGCTGTCGGAATCGAGTGGTGAGGACGAGCTGTTGAGGACACTGGGGAACCCGAACTTGGACAAGTCCGACGGGTGAATGGTGAAACAACTGAGCCTGGGTAACCAGAATATCTTGTTCGACCTGCACAGTATCGTATTTCGTGGGTACGTCTTTGTCCGAGTCGATCAAAATCGTGGACCATGAAGAATGATTCTTTGATACGGACCCCCCGGCGACTCTCCACACACCACCTGCCGAACACGCGCCCGAGGTCATATTTGAAGACAGTCTTGATCATCGCGTAGATCTGTGGAGTCTGGGCTGTCTGGTATGTTCTCCGTGCTCCCAGTCTGCCACACGGTTGAAAGAGAGCTGCTAACCATACGGGCAGCTATTCGAGCTCTTCGCTGGACAGTCTCCGTTCGACGTCTTAATGTTGACTCCTGGTGTACTCACTGGCCAAATGGAGGACTCTGCTACCGACTTTGCTACCGACAAGCTCCCGGAGCGCTGGGTAGAGAGGGCCAACCGCGTCAAGGAGCGATCAGGAGATTTTATCGGGGCGGGAGACGAGGGAGACGGAGCAGTGAGCACTCACACGCTGCAACAGTGGCTGGAAGAAATCTACTTCCATCAAGGCAAGAGTGCAGGACTAAGCGGCGAGGATACCCGGGCATTGGGAGAACTCGTGAGTAAGATGCTCTGTTTTGAGCCTTGCTCGCGAGCGATTGCCGCACATTTGCTCAAAAACACCTGGTTCACCTGAGGGGGTCGAATTGCAGCATACGGAGAGGGTAGATTCGTTTGCTTGACTACGTCTAGCTCCTCTTCAGTCATGAAAGCTCAGTTTGAACGCCTCATGCCGCAGCGGAGCGTGTGCTCGAGTCTAAAGGGCGCGAGTTCAAGGCAAAGGCCGTCATCGGGTGTAAGAGCTCCTACATCACCTTGGATAGCCGTTCCTGCTGACGGGTTGCGGGCAAAAAGAGCAAAAGAGCAGATTCAAATGGAATTGAAATTTGAACAGTTGGACGAACAGGGAATTGAACCCTGGACCTCTTCCATGCTAAGGAAGAATCATACCACTAGACCATTCGCCCGATTGACTGATGAAAGAGTGAACGAAAATGCGGTATATATTCCTGGTGCAATGCAAATTCTCTCGGCCGACCTTCAGTGGACTCCCGTCGGACGGAAATGCCTCAAGTGGAAATTGCGGGGGCCGGCAAGTGGTTCAAGCGTCGCGAGTCAGTCGGTCGACTAATTATGCGGAGGCTCGATGTTGGGGGTCGAGCGCGACGGAAAAGCAGTCCCTGGACTGGAGGTGAGAATTGAAGCTGCCCAGAGTATGTCTGAACGCATGTTACATGTTCATAATCAAAAAGAAAGGATCAGGTAGGCCTTCGTCGGGTAGGATCATTGAGGCTTGCGACGTGATGTCGCCAATGCGCCGCCATCTCGCTCAAAGCGGCTAGATCCGGCGAAGGTTCCCCCTTCCCCTCCCTCATCCTCCTCCCGTCCAGCGCTGCCTCTTCTCCAGTCTTCTACACACAACGACATTTTACACAACAAGTAACAGGCTCCCATTGTGCGCTTCCGGATCTGCGCAATGCCCGCGGTCAAGAGGCCATGTTTGCAGTGCAAGGGTACGTTATCCTTATCCGTCGAGTCACACGTCACTAATGGGTCTGCTACCCCCAGAGAGGCACGTCAAGTGTAAGCAGCAGTCCCTGGGTGACAACAGTGTTCACGTTCAGGCTCTCACATATTACCACCCGCAGGCGACGAGAAGCGCCCAGTCTGCAGTAGCTGCGAGCGGAAGGCGCTGGAATGCTCCAGACCAAGCAAGAAGACTGTCTTCCGCCACGACACCACGGCCAACTTCTCCAAGGACCAGCAGTGGGTCAACAGCGCTCCTCGGCAATGTGAGTTGGGTTCTTCCCCTTTCCTTCTCCAGCCCAGCCTCTGACTCTTCTTAGTTCAGCTTGAGAGGCAGTCTCTAGATCCAGACGGCGAAGATGGTGGAGAAGACACCACGTCGTTGTCTTGCCACAGTGAGACCCCCAATGGTGAGCGTACAAGTAGTCATGCTGCTACCCCAGCCCCAAGTATCAGCACTCAACCGCCAGAGAAGAAGCGTCGTCTGACAGAGATTAACCTGCCGCCTCTGAGCTCCCCCGAGTCTGTTCATGTCCACGGGGTGAGTGATCCTGCCAACCTGCAGAACCTGGTCCTGCCTCCTATATGCGAGGGGAACGTGCCGCCGCCCTGGGACTGGACCGGTCCCAACGCGAGATCGGCACCGTCACCTCCTGTTCACCATGAAGACTCGGCCCTCCGTCACTTCCCCTTGCAGGACGTGCAGGAGGCCTGCTTGATGAGGTACTACATTGATGAAATCGGGCATTGGCTGGACCTCTGCGACGAGGAGCGACACTTCCAGCTCGTGGTCCCCGTCCGCGCGCGTCGACATCCATATCTGCTCAATGCCGTCTTTGCCGTCGCGGCTCGTCACCTGGCGAGAATGCCACAGTACCAGACGAAGCAAGGCATCGTCTACCAGGGCCAGCACCTCCCCGACCTCGACAGGCACACGGCCGTCGAGTACATGCTGCAGTGCATCCCGGCGCTGCGACGCTTCCACGACACGGAAGATGACGAGTACCGAGATAGCATCATTGCCACCGCCGTCATCCTGCGACAGCTCGAGGAGATTGACGACGAGGACGACGGCGATGACCATGTATCTCATCTCCATTTTCTTGAGTCGGCGCCTACCAAGCCACAGATCAACTTCCTACCCATCATTGACGCAGTCTTGAGGAGTCCCCCCTCTCAGTCCTTGTTTGGCCGCCGAGGTCTGATCCGTGCTGCCTACTGGATGGCCCTGAGGCAGGAGATTTACCATTCCTTCACGCGGAGACAGGCCCCGCAGATGATCCTGGCGGCAGACTACTGGCCCAGTGCTTCGAGTGCCAACAAGGCCGTCATGCATACAGTGCAGGTCGTCAAATGGCGATGGGGCAATGGCTCGGAGCAAGAATGGAGTACGTTTGGAGAGACCGCATACTTGACACCAGCTGACGAAGCAGACCGCCTCATGAGGCAACAGGAGCATCTGGACCAAGATGTCCTGATGGATATCCAGCCCATATACTACAAAGAGGCCGATCGCACATTGGGAGAGATCTTTCCCACCGTATGGTACTCGACCGTCTTGGAGACGACCACGATCCAGCAGGCTCTCATGGCAAAGTCAGTCCTCTACGCGGAGAATCCCGCGCTCAAGTCTAACGCGGCCACGCGCAACATCTGGCGAAAGGTGGAAAGCGATGTGCGCGGCATCATGATCCAGCTCTGTGGCATTGCGCTCTGCCATCCCGGGTCACCCCCCGCCATCTTGAACGCAGCGTTCGTCCTTGAGATGTTTGGCGACTTTTTCACGGATCACTACGAGCGGGAGGCCATCAAGAAGGTGGTCGAGAGGTACCGCGCACAGCATGCCTGGCCGGCAAGAAAGCTCGTGGACATGTTTGGATGATGGAGGAGGACATTCGATGGAGGCTGTCTATATGTATCATCACGCTGCTCCATTTTGAGCCGGCGCCACTTTCCAGCCCTTGCGCAGCCCCAGCAATGTCCCTCGAAACACGCCGCGCAGCGTCAACGCAGAGCAGGTGAGCCACAGGATGACCAGAACGATGACCAAAATCGTAGACCATACCCTGCACACCGGCGAGTCGAGGAGCTTGCCCAGCTGGACAGTGGAGTTGGTGTAAACACCCTGGGGGCCTGTTAGCGACATGGCCCGGCACATGCCCGATGGCAACAACGGTCACTTACCCAGGGAAACACAATCGACCAGGATGGGATAGCAAAAGGAAACGGCTCACGCTTCCTGATCACCTTGAGAATCACGCGCCCGATGCAGAAGACGGCAAACGTCCACCAAAAGGTGGCCTGGCCCCAGGCGACAATGCCACCCAGCATGCTGGCATAGCCAATGGGCGCGACAGCCTGCTGCGACACAAAGACGGCGGATTCTGGTGACGGATAGGGGCCCGAGATGGGCTTCAACTTGGTCATGGCTTGGCCCAGCGACTGCAGGGCAAAGCTGGCCTGACCCCACGGACCACAGAGCACCATGTCCGTGTAGATGAGTGTGGCTGGCAGCGGTCCGGCCGTATTCCCCTCGTGCGGCTGGAGCATGCGTATCAGGAACAGGACGTCCAGCATGACGGCGAGCGGCAGCGCCAGGCCGACGAGGAGGAACCCCATGATGAGCATGGGGACAAGCTGGTCGCGCTCCAAATGAGCCGAAGCCGAGCTCGCTATGGTGCCCGCCCCCGCTGCCGCTGTCAGCGCGGCAATGATGGGCAGCTGCGTCGTCGGCGTCAGGCTCTCCACGAAGCCGCCCTGCGCCCGTATAGCCTTGAGGAAGAGGAGCGGGACGCCGACGCAGCACGCTGTCGCGAGGCCCGCGGCCACCCACCACATCGCATAAACAGCGTTCGCCCAACTCCTACCGCCCCAGCTCGGCACGACCACGAGCGAGACCATCATGACCGAGACGGTGAAGGAGACGCTGATGCTGGCGAGGCATGACGCCTGCGAGGGGTCGGTGCCGACGCCGCGGAAGAAGGCCTTGGGTTCGAGGACGATGCGCGAGAAGAGGATGAGGCTGAAGAGCAGGAGGGTGACAATGTTGATCATCCAGAAGACGACGGAGATGGTCTGGAGGCCGGTGAACTGGTACTGTATCTCGTGGAGGATGACGGCGGTGATGCCGGTCCCCTGCGGTATGAGGAAGAAGGGTGTCGAGAAGTGTTGCAGCGCCGTGCGCGCGGGCGTCGTCTGGGTCACCTGCGTTCGGGCCCCCATGATTTCCACTTTTCAAGGTTGGCGAGCAGAATATTCCGGGCGTATAATGATGGAGAAATCCAGATCTCAAGCCTTAGTACTCCCGGGGGATATCAATTCATTTTATTCGAGAGTCTCGGGGCAGCGTCGCAATGCTGGGCATACGCAATAAAGGCTTGGCTTCGCGTGGATGTGCGGCATGTCGCTGCCGGGGAGGCATTTCATTAGTGCGCGCGCGACGCCGTCTCCAGTTTATTCGCAGCCTCAGAATCTTGATTTCTGGATGCAATGACCCGCCCCGTGCTTTGAGATTGTCGGATCGGGCGAGGATCTGAAAGCTTGGCCTATTACCGCCGTGTTGGATCTTGGATGTTGGATCTTGACAATCCGTGAGCTTGTCCGTCTGCCCTGCGCGACCGTGCCTGCTCCTGGATTATCTGCTCAGGAGAGACAGACGAACCCTACATTTCAGCCTCTTATCTTGCGCAGAATGCGTTTTTTGCGACACGACATGCACACCGTACGCCCAAGTACCGATGGCGTCGGGCGCCCAGTTGACGCTAGCCTTTTCTCCACATCACATCCCCCTCCCCGGGCCAGGGTAGGAGCCGTCTGCGTCATCAAGCAAACTTAAATTGGTCTGTCTTGATAGTGCGAATGACGATGCTTCGGTGACACTCCTCGTCTCTTCTTTGTCAAGCGTGAATCCTGGAACAGATTTGGTCTGTTGATTAGATGTGGACTGGACTGGCTTTTCAATGTCATGAAAGAGAAAGTCTGTTCCTGATCATCCTGCGAACTGCTCAAGGGAAGTCTAGTTGGGAAGCCACAACATGTGTGATGATAAGCCCACCTTACAGCAAGGCTAGGCTCGATTGAGATTCTGCCATTCGCGGTGGAAAGGCGACACCGAAAGGGTGAGAACCCGAAATAGTAAAACCGGAAGGTAAAGGACCTAGAGCATAGGAATCAGAGGAGGGATACTCTAAGAAAATAGCTTTACACGATTGAGAACGTATAAATAGAGCCTTGACGGCTGTCTCTTTTGTAATAACATAAGGCACTTGAACAACCTTCTCCACATCGTATCACAGCATGTTTCTCAGGATTGTGCTGCGCGGGCTTGCAAGGCGCAGGGTAGCCGTGATGCATCGGACCTCGAGAGGTGCACGTTCACTTCTAGATGGGTGTTACTCTCCCGTGCTTTCATAAGGATTGATCATGCTGCGGCCTACGTACATCGCGTACACTCATATTCTGGTCTGTATCTGTTTGGACTCGTGAATCAACCGCTTGTCTCTGCGTACGAATTCTACGTCCGATACGGCTCACACTCGGCCGCGTCGCTATCCCAGCCAGCATGACGCGCACGCTCCGTTCACGCAAAACAACGGGCCTTCCATCCGAGCCACAGCCAGATGCCATCGCCAAAGAGACTGCTGAATCAAAGCCAGAGAAACCGGCAGCTGTACCAGCGGGGTCCAAGAACTTCCTCTCAGAGGTCTCGAATGCACTGCTCTTCCCGAGGGCAGCCAACTTCGAAACCTGGCTTCACGCAAACCACGACTCGACGCCCAAGGGCATCTGGCTGCAGTTCAGCAAGAAAGCCCACTCTGTCCCCTCCATCACGTACGACGAAGCTCTAGACATTGCGCTGTGCTACGGCTGGATTGATGGGCAGTGCAAGAGCCTGCCTTCTGGCACGCACTCTGCCCGACGCTTCACGCCGCGTCGCAAGGCAAGTCTGTGGTCGAAAAGGAACGTCAGCAAAGTCGTCGCGCTTCAACATCAAGGAAGGATGACAGCTGCAGGGCTCAAGGAGGTCGAAGCTGCCAAAGCAGACGGGCGATGGGAGAGGGCATACTCAGGCGCCAAGGACGCCACCGTGCCCGGGGACTTTGAGACGCGCCTGAAGGAGGTGAAAGGGGCCTGGGCGTTCTGGGAGGGGCTGAACAAGACTGCGCGGTATGCTTTTCTCGTGCGGCTGGAAACTACAAAGACGACCGTCGCTCGGGAGAAGAAGTTGGAGCAATTTGTCAGGATGCTAGCGGACGGAAAGCTGATTTGATTATATTCGTCACATTGCATGGCTAGCGGAGGCATGTTCCCAGCGCGCTCACCAGCCTTCCTCGTCGTCCTCTTCACCGTCGCCATCGTCGTCGTCCGTCTCGCTGGCGATTCCATCAACGAGTGAGTTCTCATTGCCTGAACCGTCTTCGCTTTCCCCGTCTTCTTCTTCTCCTCCTTCGCTGTCATCGTCCGAGCTTTCCTCATCTTCGTCGCTGCCTGGGGCATGGTGACGGCCACGCGCACGGGCAGCCGGTGTGGGAATTTCCTCTCGGAACTTTGCCAGCCGCTGAGCTAGCGTGAGAGTGCGTGATGACGGCTCCTCATCTTCATCTTCATCTTCAACTTCATCTGCATAGTCTGAGCTGGTCGAAGCGGCTGCGACGCCGTCACCCTCCACCTCATCTGACGAAATGACCTGCGCTCTGCCGCGGGCTGGCCCACGCACCGGCTCCTCCCTGTCCTCCTTCTCGTCTTCATCATCAGAGATGACGACCACCGGCCGAGTCCGAACCCGTTTCGCGGGAGGGGCCTCGTCTCCCTCGTCGCTGGAATCGTCAACAATTTTCCGTTTCGATTGCCGTGATGGACCGGGCTTTTGTTCTTCCTCTCCCTCTTCCTCACTGCTGATATCAGGGCTGGAGAATCGCCCAGCATGAGGCTCGCCAGCTTCTGTCTCCGACGAGTCATCGACATTGACGGGGCCGGGTAGGAGCTCATCTCCAGAGTCAGTCTCCAATTCCACGACAGAAGCATCATCCAGTCCCTCGTTCTCGTAGGCGTCTTCGAAATTGGCAGGGTTGAGGAAGTCGTCGTCCAAATCATCTCCCGAGTCTCCGCTGTCTTGATCCAACGGCACTCCGCATTGGTACCGTTGCCACAGACGAACAAAACTGGGCCCTGCAAAGTCATAGTCCTCGCTATCGTCGCCGCCTGCCCCCATCTCCCATTCTATCATGGGTAGGAACTCAGTCTCCCCGTCTCCGGCCAGATCTTCAAGCGTAACGTCTGGCGGCAGGTGGCGCTCTATAGCGCCCCGCGCGTGATATTTGGCAAAGTCGGGGAACGTGTCGACGTCGGGCCATGTCCACCGGGTGGTTTGAGTTTCAACAACACGCCCCAAATCCTCCTCGTACTCTGCATCGTAGCAATGGACATGCTCCGTCACAGCCCATCGTTTCTCGCGGTCCGTCATAACATCTTCTGCTATCGCTAGATAGAATCTTTTGAGACGATGGCCGGTCATAGCGCCAATCCTGTCAAGATTGTCACGAATTAAGTCGCACCAATCAATAGGGATGGCGAGATGCCCTATTTGGGCGAAGACGTTGGCCCAATCCTCGAATATCTGGCGAGCATCGACCCACCCAATGCCACCGACCAGAATAATGTCGCGGTCCGCATTGTAACGAATCAATGCGTCGCCGCAGTCGCCAGCCTCGATGCCCAAGACGTTTGGAAATTTCAATGTTACTAGGTTCCTTGACTCGTGATGTATCGAAGACACCCGTCGCAGCGCCGCGGTCTGTGGTTCGAGCCATAGGTCATCAAAAAATCGCGGCTCAACCCTGGGCCCGTAATTCACAAGGCGAAGGGTCAAGACGCGAGGCTTTGGGTTTTCCAGATCCGGACAAACAAATTGCCATACGCGTTGGCGTATTTCGGGCGGTAGACGTGAGAACTGGTGAAAGACGCGGTCGTCCCCGCTTCTAGAGAGGTCACTGCGCTCATCGTCAGAGCTTGATACGTCGCTGGACTCATGGGCTTCGTCGTCGATGAGAGCGGCACCAGAAGATTGTGAGGATTCGGAGTTATCGTCGCCGGATTCATTTGATGACTCGTCGGAGCTGTCGAGAACGATTCTGTTTCTCGCCATACTGGGTTGAGGCGAATGCTGAGGGCGGCGAGCGCAAATTTGTTGAGATGAAAGTTTGATGTGTTCACGATGCCTGGCGTGAGTGAAGACTGAACGCGACATCACGTGATACTTCCCGCCTCTTCGCTGTCATCAATAAAGAGCCGGTCTGCGACGGTTTGAAAGCACGCGTTGCCCAAAACTGACCTGCGCCCGAACACTAATTAGTTGATGCCTTGAAAACAGTCCAAATCTCCTAAGCCACATAATTAAGGACCTGGTCTCCTCACATCTTTGGCCATTCCTTGTAGACCATACAGGGTAAGTAACATAGAGTAACCATTTCCGCAAGGACCCGATCGCCTCGGCCGAGATCCTGGCCAGCCATTCGAACCTTCACGTGTTTTTGATGAGAAAATTGAAGATTGATCGCACGTTGCTCGCACTCAGAGTATCATCAAACATTATCCCCTTGGTCGTCAATCCTGGCCTTTGAGCACAATTCGGGCCAGCCTGGTTCTTCCGCCAACATCGCTTAGTCACCCAAACACTCCTGCTACGTACCTCGGTGGAAAACTCTCCATCACTCTGGCTTCGTCGGTGAACCCTGCTGGACCTCTCATCGAAATACTTGCGTTCTTGGAGGATGGATCAATCAGGGCTGAGGATCATCTTCTACCTCTACCCATGTCTCGTCATTCTCACCTTACTCGGGGCACAGGCTTTTGAGTACTACCGCGATCGTCGAGGCGCGTCGCGTCACACGGTGCCGAGCAGCGAGCAGAAGGAGCATGCGCGGGTCATCAAGCGCAAGTTCACGAGACCCATATGGCTACTGCAACTCGGCCTCTCCCTCTTGCTCCTCGCCAGCATCGTGGTCGCCGTCCGCCAAGCGGTGGTTGACCTGTCTGAAAATGGTGGCAAGATTGAATTTCCCTTCAGCGCCTATATTGTACGTGGACTGTTGTGTTGCGTGCCGATGATGGAGATTTCTGACCAACCTTCAAGGCGTCTCATGTTGCTGTGCTGCTGTATTTCCTGGCTGGGCTGCTGCCAGACCCAGAAGGCCCATGGACACCGGGCTCGGCGCATTGCTGGGCATGGCTGATAGCGACGCTGGTGGAGGCGACCACTCTCGGCATCTTCGCTTCTGTGCCAGAATACCTGCGCGTGCCCAGCAGCTTCATCCACGCCATCGATACTCTGGGGTCGTGCAGGGTCGTCGCCCTGCTCTTGATGGCTGCCACCTTGATCATCCGGGACTACAAGCTGCGACCTGCCGAGCCACCATCGGTTCCGGAGGAGCGACAGTCGCTGTTGGAGAATGGACATGCCTCTGCCGAGTCGTACGGCAGCGTTCCGACAAAGCCTCCCAGCGCGACCAAGAGGACGCAAGTGTCTGGCACAGGCTGGCTGGACTACTTTGCTGGCTTCCGAGTCCTCTTCCCCTACCTTTGGCCTAAAGACTCGCCACTGTACCAGGCTATTGTGCTGGTCTGCCTCATTCTCATGGTGTTGCAGCGCGCAGTCAACATGCTGGCTCCGCTGCAGCTAGGTGTCCTCGTCGACTCCTTGGGTGAAGGCCGCATCCCGTACAAGAACATCATCCTCTACGTCGCCTACCGCGCCTTGCAGGGCAACCAAGGCCTCATCGGTGCCGCCAGAGGTGTGTTGTGGGTCCCTGTCTCGCAGTCTCTCTTTCGCCGTTTGTCGTCGGCGGCATTCGAACACGTCCTACGGCTGTCCCTCGAATTCCACCTCAACAAGAAGACTGGCGAGGTGACGAGCGCTCTCAGCCGCGGCGCATCCATCAACAACTTCCTGGAGAGCTTCTGCTTCCAGGTGTTCCCCATGGTCGTTGACATTTTCGTCGCGGGTGTGCTCTTCTTTGTCAAGTACGATGCCTTTTACACCATCATTGTCTTCTTCATCATGTGGTCCTATGTCTTCCTCACCATCTACGTGGCCAAGTACCGTGGCCGACAGAGGCGAGACATGACGACAAAGAGCCGCGAGATGGAGGCCGTCAGGACGGATGCAATCCTCGCCTACGAAACTGTGCAGCACAATTGTGCCGTCGAACGGGAAACGATGAGGTTCACCGATCACGTTCGTCTACTGCAGAAGGCCGAGCAGCTCGTCGTGTGGTCGTTGAACGGTTTGAATCTGACGCAAAGTTCCATCTTCACCCTGGGCACTGCCCTTCTGGTGGCCGTGTCCGCATACAAGATCTCCATCGGGCAGCAGACTGTCGGTGGGTTTGTCAGTCTGATCAATTACTTTGTGCAATTGCAAGGTCCTCTCAACTTCTTCGGCACCTACTTCAACATGCTACAGACCAATCTGATTGAGGCTGAGAGATTGCTTGAGCTGGTAAGTCTCTGTGGCAGCCTGAATGATCTGATGGAGCTGACATGATTCAACAAGTTCAACGAGACGCCTGACGTCGCCGAGAAGGAGGACGCTGTGGCACTTTCATCTCCTCGAGGCGAAGTCGCTTTCCACGACGTGACCTTTTCCTACCAGGCCAAGAAGGATGAGAACGTGCTCAAGGGCATCAGCTTCACCGTAGCGCCGGGGACAAAGACGGCCATTGTCGGAGAGTCGGGCAGCGGAAAATCGACATGCCTGAGGTTGCTGTTCCGGTTCTACGATGTAGCTGGCGGCGGCATCACCATTGACGGTCACGATCTCCGAGACCTGAAGCTTGACAGCGTTCGTCGGAACATTGGCGTTGTGCCTCAGGATACGGTGCTGTTCAATGCGTCCATCATGTACAACCTGCTGTACGCCAAGCCTGGCGCTACGGTGGAGGACGTACACAAAGCCTGCAAGGCTGCGAATATCCACGATCGTATCGAGTCCTTCCCTGAGAAGTACGAGACCAAGGTTGGCGAGCGTGGCCTCAAACTATCCGGCGGCGAACGACAACGTGTGAGTTATTTTGATAATCCTCATCGTGAACTACCGGGCACTGACATGACCTGCTTCTAGATTGCCATCGCACGTGCCATCCTAAAGGACTCGCCAATCCTGCTACTGGACGAGGCTACCGCGTCACTTGATTCTCACACGGAGAGGCAGATTCAAGATGCCCTTGAGCGCGTGACGGCGGGACGAACTACAATCACCATTGCGTACGTGTTTGAGGAAGCCTTTCTCGACCTGTTGCTAACAATGACAGCCATCGACTGTCGACCATCACCACGTCTGACCAGATTGTGGTCCTCCACCAGGGCGACGTTGTGGAGCGCGGCACGCACGACGAACTGCTGGCGCTGCAAGGGCGATATTACGCCATGTGGGAGAAGCAAACGACGACCGAGAAGAAGGAAAAGGAAAAGGAAAAGGAAAAGGAAAAGGAAAAGCAGAATGCCGACGGGAATGGTGCTACGCAATAGGAGCCGTTTGAAGCCAGCCCCAAGAACAGGAGGGCCGTTCCCCGCGAAGTCACGAGCTGCGCAGCGGCACCTGGCCAGTCCGTTTGCTAGGTACACCAATGCCCATCCAATCATCGATTCATCATTGCCATTCTGCTTGGCCGACTGACCGAGTTTCACGACGAGCTCGCCGCTCCAGGTTCAAGCCCCACAGCGCGTCTGTCAAATGGCCGTCCCCGGTGCTAAGATGATAAGAATACGTAGGAGGCACTCCCGGGATACTGTCTCCGGCTCTCTGATCTGTCGACCAGAGACGTCATGGCGCGAGACAGCAGCTCCGATGCAGACCCTTGTCTTTTCCCTGATCAACGTGGTCATTGACTCCAACATGAGAGCAGCATCATATGCGATGTCTTGTCGATTGCTTGTTTGTTCGCATCGTAGGTGGTGGGTGCCCGCTCACGAAATTGCTCCTGCCAAGCGCGGGCCCCCTGGGATCGACCGACCAGCAGGCAGGAGAGCAGCCAAGGCCACGCGCGCTAGTCTATGCGCGGCCCTTGCAGACATCGACGCTAGGCAGTTGGGAGTGATGCCTGCCCCACGCCCCTAGTCCAATGACTGAATAAGTCGGACCAATATTGGACGGCCAGACGGCCGTTGGCTACCGAAATGAGCCGGGGAGAGGGCGACGGTGACATGGCGCACAATCTGATGACATCAAGGATAAGCATGAGTATTCATTAGCGTCTCCGAGGCTGGAGATCGGCACGCGTCGTCGCTGGGCCTCTCTGCAGCTCTGCTTTTGTCTCGACGCTCGAGCCTCATTGACCGCGAACGAACCAGACAGACAGACAGGCAGACAGACCCCTGTCGCACTCTGCATGCTGGGCCGAGTGTCTGGTAATACATATGAATCTCGCCCGCGTCCCGACTTAGACGTATATATCATCTTACATGTCACCCTTTGGCACGCCCTCGCTTGTCAGGGCACCTGGAAACCGATCGACTTTGGGCAGATCCTCTCTGACGCCCGCCGCCCAACGACCTGCGAGCATGGCGGAGGGCAATGGCCGTTCGCGCGAGAGCCAGCGCAGCCACGACCCTTTTGGCGTGCCTCGTCGAACAACCAGCGCGAACCCCTCGAGGTATGTGCGCCATTGGCCAACTGTGGCAACCAGCCCCAACTGACCAGCTGCTGTCCCGGCAGCACGCGCGAACCATCGCTGAACTTTGACGGATTCGCCGATGACTTGATTCCCAATGGCCAGACGGGATCAGGGTATAGCCCCTCGGTCGCCTCTCGGAGCATGCGCTCGAGAACCTCGGCGGGCTCCCTGGCCGGGTCGTCTGCCGAGACATGGGACACCAATGCCACATCATACCTGCCAGCTCTGCAGGTCAAGGGCGCAGGCGAGGAGGACAACCTGCATCCGCTCGAGGAGGAAGAGTACGACCCGCGCAGCTTTGACATTGTGGCGCCGCTAGAGCAGGGCCAGGGCCCAAAGGCATACTCGCTGGAGGACCGCTCAGACCTGCTCTTCTCCAAGGAGCACATGAGGAGTATACTGGAGGACCCGCGACTGCTCGGCGACTTTTCGCGATTCCTGGCCCGCTCCCGCCCTGGGTCGGTAGCGCTCCTCAAGTACTACCTGAGCACCGAAAAGGCGGTGCGCGCCATTCGATACGCCAACTCCGTCATTGCGAATCTGGGCACGTTGGATGGTCACGATTTTGCGGAGGGAGACGGTGGCAACATGGACACGGTCAACCGCACCCTCCAAGAGAAGCATGATGCTGCGTTTGAGACGCTGGCCATCGACGAACTGCCCAGATTCATTACCCATGTCTGGGTCGACATTGTAAGCCTCTCCATGCGAAGAAAGATTATGGGTTCGATGCCGACGGATCTTCGCGACGCGTCCGAGGGTCTGGCTGAGGTCTTTTGCCTCAGCGACCCGTCGAGACACGACAACCCGATCATCCTGGCCTCCGACGAGTTCCACCGCACGACGCAGTATGGCATGGACTATGCCATTGGGCGCAACTGTCGCTTCCTGCAGGGACCGCGGACGAACCCCTTTAGTGTGCAGCGGATCAGGGAACGCATAAAGGCCGGGCAGGAGCACATTGAAACATTCCTAAACTACCGCCGGGATGGGTCACCCTTCATGAACCTCCTGCTCTGCGCGCCACTGTTCGACTCCAAGGGCCAAGTGCGCTACTTCCTGGGTGCCCAGGTCGACGTCTCCGGCCTGGTCAAGGATTGCACCAAGATGGATGGCCTACGGCGTATCGTGGAGGATGAACAGCAGGGCGTTGACAGGAAAGACCAGGCACCCAAGTCCTCCTTGGAATGCTGCCAGGCGCTGGGCGAGATGTTGGACACGAGCGAGTTGGAGGTGGTGCGTCGTCACGGCGGAGCGATACACCAGATGCGCGACCACGACGCGCAGGGACAGCAGGATGCGAACTGGAACACGCCCTACCTCGTCATCGAGGACGACCTCACGCCTCATTCGTCACCGCAGGCGACGCCCGTCGTGCCCGACATGTCCCAGCCCGGGACAACACCGAAGCCGGCTTCTAGTCCTTCCAACGGACGCTTGGCAGGCGTATACGAACACTACCTACTGGTCCGACCGTCGTCCAACCTGCAGATCCTCTTCGCCTCTCCCAGTCTGCGCGTACCGGGCATGCTCCAGAGCCCCCTGCTGTCACGCGTGGGCGGCTCCGGCCGTGTGCGCGACCAGATCGGCCAGGCACTCAGTGAGGGACAGGGTGTGACGGCGAGGGTGCGCTGGATCACGTCGACGCGTCGAAAGTCGTCGCCCGAGGCGGAGCAGCGTGGACGCTTCCGGTGGCTGCACTGCACGCCGCTGCGCGGGGTGAACGGGACCATTGGCATCTGGATGGTGGTGGTGCTGGACGACGAGAGTGCCAATAAGGGGTCGTCGAGAGATGGGTCGAGCGGCGCGCATTCGTACGAACAGCGGTCTGGACGACAGGGCAAGGTCGCACCGCCGATTGACGCTCACGGGGACCGCAGAGCAGCGGCTTCGGTGCATGCGGACAGTGTATACCAGGGACAGCAACAACAGCATCAGAGTCAGCATCAGAGTCAGCATCAGAGTCAGCAGCAGCAGCAGCAGCAGCAGCAACAACAACAACAGCAGCAACACTGGGCTTGAAGATGATCGACCAGGCACCAGATGGTCCTACTTAATTTGGAGTCTCTCTCTTTTATCACGGGCATAGGGAGCTCTCTCTGCAAACCGAGGGTGGTCGCGCGTCGTCTGGCGAATATCTCCTGTATCATATGTGCGTTGTCTTGCTCGAGCTGGTATGCCAGACGTCGTGTGGTTAGCTGAGAAGGGTGGGCGGCAGGAGAGGGCACTATGAAGCTGTCTGACGATGCAATAATGTAATGAATCTGGAACTAGAAGAGCTCTTTTTCTGGTCTCTGTGTGAAGTCTCCTATAGATTGCGTAACACAATCCTGTTGATGACCGGGCGAATGTCCAAGACTGGACTGGAGCCATCGATGTCCAGTCGTATTGGTGGATGAAGCCGCTGTACGCACTTGCGCAGCCCCAGCGCATGCCTGCCTAGCGCTGCTGAATGCTGATAACAGGCCGCTGGTGCTGGTGCTGGTGCTGGTGCTGGTGCTGGTGCTGGTGCTGGTGCTGGTGCTGGTGCTGGTGCTGGTGCTGG